GTGTTACTATTTGTGAAATCCTCAACTACAGCCCATTATTCGTTTTGAAGCGATCACTCATCATCACGTCGCGGCAAAATGGCGTGGCCGCCCATTACCAACGGAAGACTTGTTACAAAGACAATGAGTAAACTCGCATCACAAACAGTGCCGCAATTCAGAGCAATGAACGAGGTCAAGGACCTTTTCATTTGGAAAGGTTTGTGACATTGACCTACGGAACAATCGACGCTGCTAAGCAACATTTAAACCCCCGCCATTCCTGGTCTGATGCGAAAAATATTAAAATTACTTTACTGCGTTTCAAAAGTTTCATTAGTAAGTAATGTTGTCAGGTTAACAGGTACAGAATTGCGTTTAATAAACTCATTCGTTTGTCTATCGATTAGCGAGTTCGTTAAAGCGCCATGGTAATTACATGGCAGATTATTAGCCAGACAATGTTCCGAATCTAGAAATGCTCCTCTTGTTCCACCGAAATATGAATATTCATGCATGAAATTTAATTTTAAAAACTAGTTTTAAAGTACTTCACGCGAGTGTGCATGTTTTACAAAAGTGCATGTTTTGGCACCTTTGCCATGGTCATTAATCTAGTTCATGTCTCGAAAGTATTAATTTAGTAGTCCCTGAAGCCAGATTCAGTGCCAAATGAAAACCACTCGAACTCCGGAATAACGGAAAATGATCAAGAGTTTTAGTCGAAAGAAATATTCACACTTCCTGATTTAAAATCTGAATACAATTCATGGGCGTATAGCCTTGCGATATATATGAAACAAAAAGACGCACTATCACTATACTTTAAGTTTGTATTTATTTAAATATTAACACATTTCAAATAAAATGGACTATAATATATTACTATCATCAAATCTAACAGAGATTCTTTCAAAGGAAACTGCCTTTGAGTTTGAATACTTGGCTTCAAAGCAGTTAAATTTCCTGGATATTTTTCGAGTTTCCATTTTCAACTTTCGACTTGTATATTGCTAAACAACACAGCTATTATAGTAGCTACATATGATAGTATTTCAAAAAAAACCCTTTCATTTTAGATTGTGGAACTTATTGCTCCGGGATATCTCCATGACGACTGACTAGCCCTGCTGATCTCCTCAATCAGTATCAGACAGATTTCAAGGTAATACCCATTATTTGCGCAGGTCGTATTTTTAGACACTGTTGGATGAAACTGGTGCTTTGGACACCTAAAGTACACACACGGCCGGTGACGCGGGTTTTTACGAAGCGGGCGATTTTGGCCAGCGATTTTCGCTTCCCAGTGCATGTTATTCAGTTAATTATGTACACACTTTCGTCTATAAGCTGGGCGAAGTAATCTACTGTGTTGAGCTCACTCAATAGCATACACCAGGAGAGGAAAATCGCCTTTTATCGCAGAGGCTTAACAGTCACATCCAGACGCTTCGATGAATTGATAATTATATCATTTATTACTACATTTAACAGATAAATTAAGCAAGTTAATCGCAATGAACTCAAGCGCTGATACTGAAGCTTATTTTATAGAGCACATCTGCATAATCCAACTTTAGAATTCAACCAACAATTCAATTTGTAAAGAATTACATGCAGAGTATTATGCCTCTGTCATCAGCACGAAGTAATCTCATAAGATCACATTATATCAAAAGTTACGCAACTATCTACTTTGATTAAGTATATATTACAATATTTAGGTACAATTATACAATTGCGCAAACGAGAGGTTTTCGCGCGCATCTGTGGCTATCTTTGCACGCACTTTCCTTGTAATTTCTTTGCGCAAAAATACCGCATCACCAAGGCGGTTCGTCGAGTTCAGCAATCCTGCATCGTGGCTCCGAAATGTCTGTCTTTTTACAATTTTAGTCCTCCGACATTCTGGTTTTGTGTCGTTCGTCTTTGCGCGATGGCGTTCTGTTGCGCCATTCTTTTCTTCCGAAACAACTGCGTTAGGTCTGGTAATGTGTGCAATGATTGCAGTTCGAGTTTTTCGATCATTTTTGTCAGCAAGACATCATCAACGGTGTCTAAACAGTCCAGGAATTCGCAGTTTATCGACCTTGGACAACTCGTGTAGGTCGAGTGACTTTGCGCTCTAAGTTCGCTTAAACCAGCGTGGTACGAAGCACGCGTAGGCTGGAGCAGAGCTTTCTGCATTTTTTCCTATTCGTAGTAAGACTTCCTTTAGCTTTGACCAATCCCAAAAGTGTGTTCTTCCTATCAAGAGACGGATGATGTTATGTTAATAACACAATAGACGATTTCAATCACGAGATATTGATAATACGCACAAGTCACGATCGTAGCTAAAGATATACACTCGTCATCGCTAACAGCCTTTGACTTCAAAAAGCTTTTGTGTTTTTAATCTTTTTAAATGCAATTTTCAATGAAAACACGCTAGGAATGCGCGGAAGTGCTATGCACACAAAACACACTTAAAAATATTTCCTAAATGATTTCAATTTCAGGCTGTCACAGGCTGCATGTGCATGCCATTTGTTGCTTTGCGAGAAAATATCTTTATTCTGTATCCGTAACCAAGGCAGTTAAACAAGTTTATCTCAATGTCTACGACTTAGTTCCGACTACTTAAGGACAATATGCGTCGCAACAGAGCCTGGTACTTTGAAATTAATCATGCACGAAGTCCATTCGTGGGCAACTTTGATTCTTAGCGTGATCTGATAATCGTATCGTTTCATTCATGCCTTGAATCTGAAAGTTGGAATCGTTTCGTTTCTAGCGAAGTGAAAACGATAAACATAAAGCGAAACTTCTAAGTATTAGCGCACTTGAATTGACGCCAAGATTAACAAAATATTGCGAAAATCCGAACATGAACTCTACGAGGAAATATCAATACATAACAAACAATTGAGATAAATATGCGAAAGTGACAGCCAAGATACGCGCCTTAATGCAGAATAAACCAGTATGATGCATCCTATATCATCGCTCGCCGATATGGTTTAAAACAAATAATCAAAATACCAATAATTTTCTTATCTTTCTGTTCTGTAATTTAGGACTCTACAAACACATGAATACAAACTAACCTTGATAATAGATCCTCTTCAGTCACGGTAGTGTCTGAAAAATCGTTGCAACCGCGCAAACGTTTTCACCCAAAGTGCGCAAGTGGTATTAAGTGATACGACACCGAAGACTGTCTACGACAAGCTTTTGGAATGCGTGATTGTCGTATGACCTTATTCCACAATCATTCAAAGCCCCGTCTTGACCTATCATCTGTTACATTTCCTGTTATTTGCTCTCAAAAAGGCTCTGTGGTAACATTCAGTCACGATGGCCCAGCCAATGACGCAATATCACCCGACCGCCATGGACGACTGTTGAATGCTGCCAATTTCCGGTCTCAAGTAATTTCGTGTTTGTATATTTAGAAGTTAAACATACACACATGCAAATGATGCAATTTACCACATAATACACGTGTAAAAGTACTGTACAAAACAAACCAATGCAACATACTATTGTGCGTTCAATGGTTGCGTTATTCTCTATAAAATGTCCCGTGGAACTTGTCCTGTTGACTTGTTACTATGGTCTAAAGTCATTAGCTTAATTATTCATCATCTTACAAGAAACCAATTTCCTGAATTCTTTACAATGCTTATTTGCTAACTGCTCCTTTCATTTCTATGTGGGAAGGTGTAACCACGAGACAAGAAATAGCGTGATGTAGTTTGTTATTCTGCGCTTTTCCGCGTCCTATTAATGTACCCAACCCTTGGACTGCCGATTAAAACTAGCACGGAAGACGAGCATCACCTTACCAGCTAGGCCAAACACCTTTTTGGCTTGTTTTTGTGAACGTTTCTCAAAACGTTTAATTTAATACAAGCATTTGGTGGGATTTAGTTTTTTCCTCTTTTCCCAGAGCAACCACGCGTGATAACCTTGGCAATGCTGGGAGGAAGGTTCACACCTAGAACCACTCCTAACTTTCATAATCGTTCATCGAGCACTTAAATCGGGCGTCTACTGAATAATTTCGTATGGCTTGCTTGTAGGAAAAAACCATTTCCTTTGTAAATAAATAGCGCTGGGAATAATGCAAGATTTTATAGGAAATAGCATGAATTTTAGTGTATTTTATTAAAATTTTTCACATCTTTTTGGTTGTCTGGTCAGCATTTCAGGAATAACATAGAAATATTCAGTGTTTCAACATTTCCGGAAGGTGGTTTACATATATCTCATGGGAAACAACGGGCGTTGTACTTTTATCGTAGGTTTGCGGTTCACGCCTCAATCACGATAACCAATAGCTACCGTAGATAGAAATTAGTTTATATAATTAACCTGTTTTTTCAATTTAAGTACTTACAAGGCCACACGTTTTAAGTGCTTGAAGGTCAAAGAGAAACTCTTTGACTTTATATCAAATATACTACCCTCGCGCAATATCGTACTTAATGACTTTCACATGGTTTTTCCCAGAGGACCTGTAAGGATTATGATCATTGATCCAGCGTTATTTAATATTACAGGAGGAAACCTAACGTATGCTAACTTTATTTATACTAGATTCGGTTCTATCATAACGCCAAACATTTTAACAGACGGAAGCCGAAAGAGAGAGCTCTTTGTTCTAACTGAACAAGGAAAAGTTCAAACCCACCAGCAAATACGTAAACGGAAGTGCGCAGCGTTGTAAAGTGCGGTTTTGTGCGAACTTGGCCAAAGTTATTTTTTGTAAGAATAGAATCTAGGTTGGGTTTTGATAATGAGGGAAAAGCACCAAGGTGAACTGACCTTCCAAAATATGACGTGATTTTGTAAGAATAGAATCTAGGTTGGGTTTTGATAATGAGGGAAAAGCGCCAAGGTGAACTGACCTTCCAAAATATGACGTGTGTGACTGGAGTGATGCATGTATTGTTTTCAAGGCTACGTCATAGATTATTACGTAATTAGTCAAGGGATATTGTAAACAGCTTATTGCGAAAACTTGAAGTACCCACTCAAACCTTTTTTTATTTAGGATTGTATATACACTGACTTGTTTTGTCTCGTTCTTCGGTCTAATATTTACAAAATGCCAACATTGTGATATTCCGCAATGAGAATTTCTTATTTTCCAGTGTGTAATCCAGTAACGACCGACCACGGCCAACTACGACAGTTTACGACAGTTACAACAGATAGTGTACACGTCATCTTCGTGAATGTTTCACAGCCCAAAAACGTAATTACGTTCTTTTTTCCGGATTTAGTCTGGGAGGTTTAAGCAGTTTTCCTGCCGTTTTCTTTGATTTCTTTTTCCCTTGTTTAAAATCTCTCCAGCTGTTTACTCGTTCTTGACGACTGTCCTGTATTTAGCGAGGAAAACGGTTAACATAGCAATGCCATCGGCTTAATTGTTCGTTTTATTGCTCGCCCTAGGCACGGAACACTGACCTATATTAGATCTAGTAGATTCTGGTCACCACCAGAATATGGGAGCACTCAGTTTTGCAGCTTGTGTCTGGATGGTTGTTTTAGACTATGTGCACACAGCACGGCACAGAGTCACGTTTTCAAGCGTTTTCATTTTCGTTTTGGTGCCAAAATGGTACCGGTTTCAAACACCGTTAATGTACAATAGAAGTTGAAGCTAATTTAACATATTCGTAATATTTGCTCGTGTGGACAACGCGTCAAAACAACAAAAATAAATAAAAATGATTTAGAATACGCTCGAAAACTACGCTCGTGTGTAGAGACCCTTATAAACTCAATGATGTTATTATTCATCTGTTACCTTGTTTTCATTCAAGCACAAGAGATTTAGACTTAAAAGCGGTTAAAAAATTCTTGCAAACAGTTTTCAAAGCGATCAATCAATGAAATGAAATGTGAAAACCGCCATATTCATCTGTGCGTCGCCATAATTCAGTTAAATAGCAAAAAAAGGAGACCAACTTTGAAAGAGGAAAAATTGAGTGGAAAAAAACGCAGGAGGAACGCGCAGAAACACTGCAAAGATTAGTCAAAGTCTTGTGGACGAAAGTGTCAAAATTATCCCCGTTTTTTTTGTAGAAACGAGAGCAGGATTTCTAAAGATGATTTTGTATGTACCTCCCACTTTTTGTCCCATTCTTTCTTCTTTTTGGCCTTTTCCTCCTGCTGGATTTCTTGCTCTCGTTGTCTTTTCCTGAGATGCCATGAAAATGATTTAGGTGTAATTAAAACAAGATGGGAAGAGTGTTGGATGTGTGGAGTGTTAGATGGATGGAGTGTTAGATGGATGGAGTGTTGGATGTGTGGAGTGTTAGATGGATGGAGTGTTGGATGTGTGGAGTGTTAGATGGATGGAGTGTTAGATGGATGGAGTGTTGGATGTGTGGAGTGTTAGATGGATGGAGTGTTAGATGGATGGAGTGTTGGATGGATGGAGTGTTAGATGGATGGAGTGTTAGATGGATGGAGTGTTGGATGTGTGGAGTGTTAGATGGATGGAGTGTTAGATGGATGGAGTGTTGGATGGATGGAGTGTTAGATGGATGGAGTGTTAGATGGATGGAGTGTTGGATGGATGGAGTGTTGGATGGATGGAGTGTTAGATGGATGGAGTGTTGGATGGATGGAGTTTTGGATGGATGGAGTGTTGGATGGATGGAGTTTTGGATGGATGGAGTGTTAGATGGATGGAGTGTTGGATGGATGGAGTGTTGGATGGATGGAGTGTTGGATGGATGGAGTTTTGGATGGATGGAGTGTTGGATGGATGGAGTGTTGGATGGATGGAGTTTTGGATGGATGGAGTTTTGGATGGATGGAGTTTTGGATGGATGGAGTTTTGGATGGATGGAGTGTTGGATGGATGGAGTGTTGGATGGATGGAGTTTTGGATGGATGGAGTTTTGGATGGATGGAGTTTTGGATGGATGGAGTTTTGGATGGATGGAGTGTTAGATGGATGGAGTTTTGGATGGATGGAGTTTTGGATGGATGGAGTTTTGGATGGATGGAGTGTTAGATGGATGGAGTGTTGCTTTGATTTGATTGGCAAGGATTGATCTTCATTACTCACCTTTCCACAGCATCTCTCTGTTCCAAGTGTTTTCTTCTTAATTCATAATCAGCAAATAATTTGATAGTGGTTGTCCTCACAAACTTTGCAAACTGAAAATGAAGATACGACTATCAGCTGGTTTACATTTTCAATTGCCAATGAATAAGCAACCAAATGTAAGCAACCAAAGGAATGCTGTCTTAACTTCTAAAAGATACCAACCATTTCTGAATCATCTTCTTCAATCGTCGTTTTTCCTTCTTTTTTTGCCAGCTTTCTCTTTTCTGACAACTGAAAGGAAAAATAATAAATTTTGATGTCAGGTAGGTGGCTTGATGACAGGGGATAATAAAGGTTTATGTTAGCTAGGGAAGTAGCTTGATGACTGAGGATAATAAAGATCTATATCAGGGAGGTGGCTTGATGACTGAGGATAATAAAGTGTATATGAGGAAAGTAGCTTGATGACTGAGGATAATTTATACCTTTTGCTCAGCCAAGGCTTTGCCTTCATTTATCATTTCCTTAACTTTAACAATTTCTTTTTCATCATTAACAAGCTTGTATGCTTTATTCAACTCTGAAAATAAAAAACTACTATTTAAATGCAATCTCCACATTTCATTTCCACATATTTTTAGTCTACAAACTCTTACCATCAAAGGCATTCTGTGCACGATCTCTGTCATCTGCATTTTTATCAGGATGTATAAGAATTGATAACTACAAGGTGAATTTATTGCTATATTAGTGTTATAAAGAAAAATAAATTCAATGTAGGGCATTAGAGTTAGATCAAAATAATAAATAATAAATACCCTTCTATATTGCTTCTTAATTTGTTCTGATGTAGCTTCTGGAGGTAACATGAGAACCTAAAATTAAATAAATAGTTTAGTTGCCAGTAGGCTACACCCACTAAAATCTTGACAAGAGGTCTTAACCAGGAAAAGATTGAGCTATTTAATAAAATGGGCAATCTAGGTCATTTCATAAACTGTGTTTCAGTTAAAATATTTATACCTCGAATGGATTTAAATTGAGGTATGTTGAACCAGGCTTCAACAATCTGTCGATTTGCTGCTTGCTCGTTAAAACCGAGTCTCGTTGCTCAATCGTTTTTACCTAAAACATTCAGATATAAAACATGTTTTAATATCAAAAAATCAGACTCAAAACTTTATATTTGTGCGATTATAAATGGAGAATGATATATCTGAGTGTAGGAACATCTTCTCCATATAAAATGCTTATATTATAGCTTCTTGAAATGATATAATACCTCTTGCAGGAAGTTTTCAAAACGACCATCTTCTTGATTTTCACTTGAAGAGCCCGCCATCTTGAATTTCAAAAAAAGCAGTGAACCTCCAGTGTATTATAATAAAATTATAGTTCAGTGGTGAACTAATAATAGACACTGAGCTATATAATAATTCCATAGGAATTATTATATAGCTCAGTGATAATAGAGCATGCAAGGCGCGTTAAGGAGGACTAGGGCACAGAGGACTACAATAAATCATCAAAAAAAGACCTTTATCAAACTATTGTTATAATTTAAATGCCTGATCAATTCTCTAAGCCCACAGGTGCACAAACATGCACAATCAGATAAAATCTAATGCATGGCACAATTCGTTGTTCAAGGTTCTCACTTTTAAAGTTTTCACCCGTCCATGGATTTCGATCCAGAACCTTTCTTTCAAAACGTGTTTTGTACATACGTATTTTTTACGTCTGGATATAAGTCTGGACGATAAAAACTTTTCATTGCCATGCATTATTGTGTAGAATTTTGCTTTTAGAAGTTATGTCAAATACCCAGGAGCAGAAAGGCTTTTGTGCTTGTGACAAAGATATGTAATATATGCACAAAGCTGACAATATTTTACGCATCCAAGGGCTTAGCATAGTGACGGAGCATTCAAGTTATAACAATACTCAATAGTTTAATTTCTAAATATCTTCTTTTTTTACACACCCTGTACGTCTCAGTGAGCATCAGAGTGGGCTTTGTGCCTTAGTTTTGTGTTTAGTGTAGCCGCTCGATTCGTCGAGAATCTTTCTTATCTTTCTGTCCGATCTTTCTTCTTTATTTCAAGATAAAAATCAGTTTGATCCGTTTACAAATGGGGATGCCTGATGCCAGTTCAGGCTGGTAGATTTTATGAATAAATAAGCCAAGTATTATTAACATAAATAACAATCTTTGCCTAATTTATTCATACAGCAAGTTAACTTGCCAACCTGTGCCTGTTTGTGTGGAATCATTTGGGCTTGGTCTTGGTCTTGTTCGGAGCTAAAATTTAGTCATCTCTCGCGCTGTCGTTGGTGTAAGAACAGGTAACTATGCCTTTTCTTTTTGTATTCGCTTTCGGTGTTCGAGAGACCGAGACGGTACAAGAAGAGAGACAGCCTAAACAACAACGTAAGTTTCTAGTTTCTTAAAGTTTTGTAAAGTTGGACCGTAAAACAGGGTGTGTAAAGCTGGGTGTGTCTGCGTCCCAGGGAACATTGGCAAATTAGCTCGATTGAACCAAACTTGCAATTGGGTACTTCAGGCTTGCACCATCGTCGTAAGAGGAATCAGTCCCACACCAGACAAGTTTTAGAATATATATTTCCTTCTTGTATGTACAGCTTTGGTATATATCTCATTCTCTCCTATATGTAATTGTGCGAGCGTTTATATAGTGCATGCTCGCCTGGATTAAAACTGCCGTAGCTATATGGCGCGCAAACTATGGTAACACAATCCAATCGTCCGATAACTAAGATGCTGCTATTACCATAGAAGGCAATTCATTAGTTCGAGTTAGCGCGGTGTTAGCACTGTTCAGCGCTGCGTTACTTGTACATCTAGGCTCTAGCGCAATAGTTGTTCCTCTGACTTCCGCATTTAAGCTGTGTTCTAGTGCTGCTAGAAGTGCGTAATCAATGCGAACCGCTTATGCTGTAAAACTGCTGAGATTATACAACTATATTTATATAACATTTTTTGGTTCAACTGGGTAGTAGGTTCAAATATTCTCTTATTGACTTGAAATTGCTTTTTTTCTGGATATACAGCTGGTGAAATAACATCACTTCGTGAGTCAGAGGAGAAATTAAAGTCAGTCCAACAACAGGAGTCAACTCGACGTGAAAATGTTCTTTTTTTGGTGAGATATTTATGTGGAGCAATCATCGCATTTTCAAATTCAGTTGTTATGACTGCATAAAAAACTTCACAAGTTTGAAAGTTCAAGAGAAAAAAAACTGTAAAAAAAAAATTGATTATGATTGAACTGTCAATTGAAACAGGAACTAGTGATTTGTTTTAAACAATCAAATGAACTATAGAAAGTGTGAATCTAGTTTTTTGTCAGTTGTTAGAACTGTGTTGATGTAACTTGCTAGGGTAAAGCAATTGTCTTGCATTTGTCAACATTCTAGATTTGATTAAAATAGCTTAAATTAAACCATTTTGAAAATAATGGAGCAATAAGCCATTGAAAATCAAGTGGGAAACAATGTATCTTCATACTAGCATCGGTTGATGCTAAAAGAGAACATTTGGGAAATGAAAGGATGCTTAATGGCGGATATTTTAATGTGGCATAAACCAATGACTTGAGATGTTATTGTCTGCAAACTAAACCAATAAATGTAGTTTTTAATAGTGACTACGGGACAGGCAGGCGTGTCACAAAATGTTAGATTTAGATTGATAGACTTGTCTTTACTTTATTTTTTCTGGTGTCTTTGAATATCTACAAGAACAATATTCAACGGACTTGTTCTAATGTGATTATGTGAACGAGAAAACCTGTGGTGTTTTGTGTAAATTAATGGTGTTGATTGTCTACAGACAAGACAGAATTATAACTAAAATCAAAACAAATGTACAAAGATGACTATTCACATTTTCCTCAAAGACCGGAAAACGCCAGAAAATGGTCGACCCGACCATGGTTAAATACGCCGGAAAATGGTAGATTCGACCATGGTCAAATACGCCGGAAAATGGTAGATTCGACCATGGTCAAATACGCCGGAAAATGGTAGATTCGACCATGGTCGAATACGCCGGAAAATGGTAGGCTCGACCATGGTCAAATACGCCGGAAATTGGTATACTAGACCATGGTCGAAATGCCGGAAAATGGAAGACTCGACGATGGTTGAATATGCCGGAAAACGGTGGACTCGACCATGGTCGAATACGGTGGAAAATGGTAGACTCGACCATGGTCGAATACGCGTTTTCCGGCGATGATGGTACGAGGAAAATTAAACTTTGTAGTGGAAACACACACATTCAATTAGAATCCCAGAATGCATTTTTGCAAAGAAAGTGAGAAAGTGGGAAAGCATGGCGTTAAAATTATCGTAAAGAATTCAATTTTTTTCTTGTGTTTAAGTCACTTCAACGATGTCTGAGAAAGCTGAAGGTATGCTAAATGTATGGATATATACCTTGTCTATTTAACTGGGGAAGAGCGTGGGTGATAACCAAGTATTTTTTACTTTTTAACACAGGAAAAGGCGAAAGTTCCAACTCTTCTGTGCAACTAGTGAAAAGCGAAAAAATAGATGGTGAATCTTCACCTAAAAGGGTAAGTTTTCATGCAGAAAGCTATCGAATTAGATGACTACGATTCATACAGTTTTTGAGCTGTTTTTTAGACCCAGTTTTATTGATAAAGAGCATGTTTTGAAGTAAAATTATCGGCCATTATATTTGCAGATCAAACTTATGGACAATGTCAACGATTTGAAGAAGATGAGTAAAGACTCTTTATTATCAAAGTAAGTTTAACTTTACCCCGCAATAATAAAAGTTTATGAGTTGCACTTATCAGTCCACGCATTCAGAAAAGTTTTAAGATCAAAAACGGAGTAAACAAAACCTATAAGAAATGCTTATGTAATGTACATTTGCATGGGTACATTTATGGCAAAACATATGAGGTGCATTTGACATGGGTCTCTGAAATTCTTTAGGAAACAGTTCCTAGTGCAAGTAATTTGTGGTTTGGCTAGCTTGTGGGATGTTTTTGTCATTTTGTGGATTGTATTAATACCATTATTAGGAGATGATTGTGGCCAGCATAAGCCCTTCTAGTTAACACCCCTGATACAAATATTTAGCATTAATAGTTGCTAGTAGTGACTACTATAGTGTTATATTCTTGATAATGCCTGACAATTTTGCCCTATAGGTTCCAAGAACAAGAAAAATATATTGATCATCTCGAAGATAAAGTCAATAATACTTCAAATGGTAAGTAGAAAACTATATTTCTATATAACTGACAAGACCCTTGGTCTTTAACTGCTTTGTTTGATGTCCCATGAGCATTTGTCAGTAAAACAATATTGAGTATCTTCCTTATCTGTTTTGACACAAAATTTTTTGGTTCAACTGGTAGTAGGTTCAAATATTCTCTTATTGACTTGAAATTGTTTTTTTCTGGATATACAGCTGGTGAAATAACATCACTTCGTGAGTCAGAGGAGAAATTAAAGTTCCAACAACAGGAGTCAACTCGACGTGAAAATGTTCTTGTGATGCGCTTGGCAACGAAGGAACAGGAAATGCAGGAACTATTGGTGAGATATTTATGTGGAGCAATTATCGCATTTTCAAATTCAGCTGTTATGACTGCATAAAAAACTTCACAAGTTTGAAAGTGCTAGTGTTCTTCAGAAACTCTTGAGCTGTGGGACTGATCAAGTTCAACCCACACAAAAGCAAGCGTTGTCTCGGGCAGTTCGTCACGGTGAAGTTGTGAAGTTGTTCAAGAGAAAAAAAACTGTAAACTCTGAACAATGTAAACATTGGTTGACTATGATTGAACTGTCAATTGAAACAGGGACTAATGATTTGTTTTAAACAATCGAATGAACTATAGAAAGTGTGAATCTAGTTTTTTGTCAGATGCAAGAACTGTGTTGATCTAACTTGCTAGGGTAAAGCAATTGTCTTGCATTTGTCAACACTCTAGATTTGATTAAAATAGCTTAAATTTGAAAATAATGGAGCAATGAACCATTGAAAATCAAGTGGGAAACAATGTATCTTCATACTAGCATCGGTTGATGCTAAAAGAGAACATTTGGGAAATGAAAGGACGTTTAATGACGGATATTTTACTGTGGCATAAATTAAGGACTTGAGATGTTATGACTGCAAACTAAACCAATAAATGTAGTTTTTAATAGTGGGGACAGGCGGGCGTGTCACAAAATGTTAAATTTAGATTGATAGACTTGTCTTTACTTTATTTTTTCTGGTGTCTTTTGTTGAAACAACAATATCCATTGTGAATATCTACAAGAACAATATTCAACGGACTTGTTGTAATGTGATTATGTGAACGAGAAAACCTGTGGTGTTTCTTTAAATTAATGGTGCTTATTGTCTACCAAGACAGAATTATAAACAACCAAATAGGTGTAACTAAAATCAAAACAAATGTACAAAGATGAACTATTCACATTTTCCTCAAAGACCTGGTATAATCTGTGTAAAACTCTTATCCAAAGCTATGGTGAATAGCTTTCTGTCATTCAGACACCCTTCACCCTTGATATTTCACCACAATTGCATGTGTTGTTTGTTACATGGTGGGGGATGGTGAAGGGTAAGTGGCAGAGTTCTCCTCTTCATCACCCTCGATTTGTTTTCCACAATCTTCCTTCACCCACTTCCTCTGCTCCACCGGAATATTATGAGGTTCACACATACTTCAGATTTTCATTTCCCATATCATTTGAATGAAGGTCACACTGGTGTGACCCAGGGTCTGGACTTCTAGTTTTCCAGGGACCCACACCATGGATTGTGTTCACCACAGGTTTTCTCTGAAGAATGAGCACTCAAAATCACCATGGTTAAGGGGTTCATTCCAGTTCACCACATTCCATCTTTTCATCTAAGGACCATTAAATTCTGACCTCCATTTCATTTCTTGTTTAGACCCAAATTCATGACCTGAAACAGGCCCAGAATCCTGCAGGAGCACAGCTTCGCTCAACTCTTCTTGACCCAGCCGTCAATATCGTGTTTCAACGAATGAAATCAGAGTTAGATGAAACTAAGGAAAAATTGGAACAGGCACAAAACGACTTGAGCGCATGGAAATTCACACCTGACAGGTACAACACACCACATTTGTTATAAACCATTAGAACGTCTGCATGAGCGATGCTGGATTCCTCCGTCTTCAATTATTTTCTTTGAAAAAAATTGAAAAGTTTGGAAATTGGAAAAAAAGTTAACGCAAGAAGTTGAACTCAAGCATGAAATAAAGAAGAAGTATCATAAAACAAGCACTCGTTTTAATACAACAGAGTTGCAAAAAGAGTTCAACCTTCCTCCGGTAGGATTTCAAGTTTTGAAAACCTTCCTCAAAATAACGTTACGTCACTGAGTCAAGTGGCAACCAGCATAAAGAGATATTTGTTTTTTTGGTACATGCATGTGATCAATTAGAGTGTTCAACTTTGAACCTTCCTCACAAACCTCATTCAAAGCAAACCTTCCTCGCTGGTGGTACCCGCGTACCCGCTGCTTTTTTGCAAGTCTGTAATGCAACCTCATTGTTGTGTTGTAGTGTCACAGGGAAAAAGTTGATGGCGAAATGTCGTATGTTGATACAAGAGAATCAAGAGCTCGGTCGACAACTTTCGCAAGGTCGGGTCGCTCAGCTTGAGGCAGAGTTGGCTTTGCAAAAAAAATACAGCGAAGAACTCAAAACTAGTCAAGATGGTAGGTATCTTTGCATGGTAGACATATATCTTGTATACCTGTGTGAAATTGAGGAAGATGTGTTGTGCTTTAGTTCTGATATGAAACATTACTCTTCATTCTTTAGAACTCAATGAGTTTGTGATCCAACTAGACGAAGAGGTCGAAGGAATGCAATCGACCATTTTGACCTTGCAACAGCAACTAAAAGGAGTTAAGAATGAACTGGTTGAAGAGAAACAGAGTTCTGAAAAACGTGTTGAACAGATTCGCATCTTGGAGCGAAATTTAGACCTGGCTAGAACTCAACCGCCCAGCCCTGTCGAGGTGGAAAAATCAGCCGGAGTAGAGGAAATGCAGTGTGACGGTATTGATAGAACAGAAGGTGAAAACCTGGGGTCTGGGCTCGAGAGGATGGAGACCGAGTGCAGCAATATTGAGGCTGGGGAGAGCAACATGAAACCAGAAGTTAGAGACTCCGAGCTTCGGGCTGTTGAACCGGAGTTAGAAAATATGATGGCGGAGAACGTGTTTTCAAGCCACAAGAACGTGTCTTCTGAGGAAGAAAGTGCGCAATCTGAAGTGAAAATCGTGATTACACAAGACACTGACGTGCTCTCGAAAATAGGAATTGCGAACGCCGAAAACGAGATGAACAACGAGAGCGAGACCGCTCGCTGTGAATCTGGACACGATCATCTGGGCACGGAAAACACAAACATCAGCACGGAAAACGCGAAGACCAACCAAGAAAACGCGAACCAGGAAAACGCCAAGATCAACACGGAAGATGCGACGTCAAGAACCATTGAAAGAGTTAGTCCATTCAGCCCAGCCCGAGAACCCACTGTTCGTAAATCATCCGGTACTCCCCCCTGCTCAACGACTTTCTCCATTAGCCAAATACTTGGGGAACCCAAAAGGACGCCCTCGCCTGACATTCCTCCGGGGGGTGATGCCGTTGTGACTAAGATTCCTTACATAGGGGGCTACACTGACTCTAAGGGGGAAGACCTTACTTTAAGGACCGATAGCTCTGGGCTTCTCAACGGTGACACAAAGGATGGAGCCCCACCCTTAGTGACGTGAGGGGATAGAATAGGTTATGGAGGGTAATTTAGGGAGGCATGTATACGTTCATCTTCTAGTTTGTCTTTCTTTTTAAATGGCACTGATATTTGAATAAAGTGAATTTTAACATTCAAACTTGTTCCGCATTCATTCATGGGAGGTTTAGTGTGGATACGACAAATAGCATCTGCAGATGTGAACTTCGCTTGGAGGTCGTTTTCTAGGGGGGTGGAGGTCGTTTTCTAGGGGGGTGAAGGCGATTCCGAGAAGTTGAAGGATGTACATTTTATTAGAATGCATTACCGTGCTTTGTTGTCGGATGTGATTGAATAATAGACATCTTAAGATACACCAAATCTACGACGAGGCTTGACATGAAATCAGCTGGTAGTGTTAGGAACCCAGTTTTAATTAGTTTTACATACAGCTTCTACCTTGTTTACCACTATAATTTTTATTCCTGTTGTGAAAGTGTGGAAATGAAGACAGTATCACTACACGTCTGCGTCGTATATTTGGTGTATCTTAACGTCCCAATAGGCAAGAATTGACTATTGTCAAGAGTCTTAGCCGAGAAGCATTCAAGGAAATGTCTTTTCTTAATTCTTATAGTCAGTTCCAGAAAGGGAATTGCATTCTTGTTTTAGTATAATGACGGATTGCAGTGGGTTTGGTCTCTTAATTTTACTCTAACATTTTCCCCGATATAATGGACAGTTGGCGTCTTAGCTGGGGATATTTTCCTGGCATTGTTAGTTCACAGTATGTCCAGTTGTTTCCCGTCAAAACAACCGCTGTGTTTTGGACAGAGCGAGCCGACCCTGGCACAATTACTGCAAACGCGCGCGGCAACTGTGATTTTGAGGTTTTAACAGGATTAAACCTTCTTATTTACTTCAAAATGTCCGCATCAAAGTCTGCAGGAACGTTGCGAAAGTTTTGCTCTTTGCTGTGTTATTAAACAATTTTGCTGCAGATTATGCGCCTTAATGAAAACAGTGTCGATTAGAATGCTTTTCATCTTCGCATTGTTTCTGCAATCCACTAAACAGATTGACGTTTTTCACACTAATATGACTGAGATTGTTTCTTTGTTGAAATCTGGACCTCCGGCGCGCTTAAAAGTGCAGTGACTAATAACTAAATGAATGAACTGATGATAAAAACCCGATCGATACTTGCTTGGGGGCCGCCTGCGCTGGAAGCCCCCACGTCGATCATCACTGAACTAGAGTTTATATAATAACACTGGATAAAAACACGGTGTTCATCTTGACCACGTTTCCCCCTAAAATTAGGCCCTTTGCGATGATCCCCTGCTACTGAAGATTTGATTAATATCTGCACGGAATTACGGAGTAGAGACCCCCTATAACATCAGACTCTTAATACTAGTGCGGTTTATCCCTATGATCTCCGCTGGAGAACGAAGTAAACGTGTATAAACAAAATCAGAGGAAAATGTTTCAACGTTGACAGCTATAAATATAGCTCTGAGATACAGATTTCGTAGATACTATTCCCTTGGGTGCCCAGTTTCACCCAGTAGGTAAGAATTACGCACATTGTCACACACACTGACATATATGTGATCACATATTATTAATATATATTTCAATTATCCACAAGTCTTTTAATCTCGTTCCACGTTTCTTTGTAATAAAATGGAGGAAGAATTGAGAGAATATCGCATGTTTTCGGCTGAGTTCCCAAATCGAATTTCAAAGCATCAAAGTATATGATGCAGTGCGCGTGCGCGTACAAAAAACGAGACACATATTTTATTGACAAGTAATTGATTATGAAAATAAACTGTAGCTGAATGCTGGATTGTTGAGTTTCAGTCATGTCGTTTAGACCGCATCAAAATATATTAAATGTCGGTATTACCTTGATATTATATGTAATGATATCAAATTATTATAGTCTCCTATTGTGTATCAATCTATACACTAGGGGTCCAATATATGAAAATATAGGCCGCAATAATCAATTTTACTTTTGTAAAAGCCATGGCCAATTGCTTATTATAGAATGCACAAGGCCTTGGATGTAATTTCATGAATGTAGAACGATTTCATCTCTAACTAAAGACAGAAATTAGAATTGTGGAAAATATAATAATCTTATAGCATTGGGGAGTGAATTGTAACGTATAGCTGTCATGCATCAGACAACGAACTCGTAATGATTAATGCCCCTTGTTAATATACGCTACAGAGCAAGATTTATATATTATCACAACTCTCAAAGGCTGTGTTTACAGACATATAAAGCGTCTCTACCCTTTGTCTCAATACCCAACTCAGTTATATTTATTTCGTCCGCTGTCAAGCGTGGTTATGTTGGGTTTAATCAGAGATTTCCTCTTTCCGCGTCCTTCCACCTTTTCAAATATACGCTGACGAAGGAGTTTATTCAACTCTTTTAGGTCCTTAAAATCTCCCATCTGTTCATTTCATGCACAAACATTTGCCAGGCAATGTGTATTTTATATGAGAATTCATATTTAATAATATCCTCATACTCTCTTTCATTCTTTTCTCCTGTCTTGTTTTCGAGTTCAAAATTTTTTTATCAATAGCTATAGTAACTTTTCAGATTCTCTCACATTACGATGCATGTATGTTATTCCTGAGCTGCAAAATTCAAAGTCAATCCATGTAGTCCTTAACTATCGTTCGACTCACCAATGTAACAAAGTTGATACATCTCTTTAGGGATAATAGAGACTTATTTGCCATATGACACACACAAAAGTATATATTTAGGGTCAGGGCATGCAATTTGATATCGTGGAAAACGATTTCTTAAATGTGCAGAAACCTTAAGGGATTGTCGGTTTCCTACTTCAAAAATAAACACAAACTTTTCTGTGTCGTTTTTTTTCTTTAAAGCAGTTTCGCAACCCTATCCATTCTTCAGGGCATAAGTAACGCTAAAAAGTACGCATTTGCGGTAGGCTTGCTTGCATATCACTCTTCATTGCTTAGGCCGGAGTTTACATTCACTCGTGAAGGTGCATGAAGGACATGTGTCATTTGTTCAAAATTTGACATCCATACAAACACTGTTTTATCATGTTTGTGCTGAGGAATTGGGTGGAGGTCTATTAAAACTTATTGCAGTTTTTGATGAGGCAGATTCTTCAGAGTTCTAAGATGGTGCTACATATATGAACAGAGATGTAATCCTGAAACACTAGACTTTTAATGTGTGGCTCTTCAATATTTTTATTATCTTTACCAACTGTCAATGTGAGCTTCTTCTTAAAATGATTATTGTATTTGCTATATGTCTTCACACTTCAGAACGGTAACGTCTACACAAAATTCTATTCATTAAACTGTATATTTGCTTCTAAAAACGTGAACAAAATCCTTTTTTGCGACCTCGTTTATAACCTTGCCAAAAAAGCCTATTTTTTGAGTGTGTGTTTGAGGCATTCCAACCACATCGACATCACCTCGCTTGAATTACAAAAGCCGCACGCCTTCACATTCTGCAATTAATGTTCGCGACAATAATCATTAAAAATTTACATAACCAATTTAAATTGTAATCGCGCACTTCCTTTCACAACGGCTTGTCAAATTCACCGTTTGTTTGGTTTTCGGTGTTTGAATATCGACCGCAGAACATTGAAGAAAGGCAATGGGCTACAATTAAGTGGGCCAGTCTTCGGTAAATTAAAATTTCGTCAAGACGTGCATCCGTCATTGTCTGAAAGTCGGACAAGTTTGGCGAACGTGTTGCGCAAAGAGGTTCAAGGGGGTCTCAAAATGCGTTTTATTTGATCTTCAATCAGTACTTTTAATCATAAAAATTTATAGAAATGAGAAATGCAAGCAAATGGAGGGATTGTTATACTTAGTAATTCTTTCATTCTTTTTTTAGCCGATTTGTTTTGAAAATAGAACCGTTAACATCCTTTTTAATACAACATCACACCGGAAAACACTTGTGTTTTTTGTTAGTTTCATTGAAAACGTAAAATCGCATGTTTTTTGCGCAAAATTGAAATGAAAACTTGCAGCATTGCAGTATATAAGCATGAAGTTATTTGAATTCAGGCTGATGCATTTATCATTTTTTGACAACGTAAATACGACTGTTAAATTAAAAATATATTTTCCCCAAATATATGTTTCGTTTTGTAATTTTTCATTCTCTAAAGTTAAAACATTTTTGATAATTTTATCGCGTAAAAAGCAATTGTTTTACTTGGTAAATTTATGAAAAGGTATTAATTTAGGAACAACGGCTGGATTTCTCTCAAGACGATCGCGAAGCAGGTGTTGCCGCGAAAAATCAAGCAGAATTTCATATATAGATGCGATATTTTTGGCGCCGAGGAAAATTCGAGCTTTTACAAAGCTTTGACGCATTACGCTCCAAAGAAACAACACTGAAGTCGATTAATCTTGATATTTCTGCATTCGGCGTTGTCTTGATCAATTAGTCATTCTTCTTTGTTCTTATATTTATCCATGGGGTTTAATTTGCGAAAGCAATAATCCCGCTAATTGCTCCTGATGAAAGTTAATTGTGACTTGTTAATTGTTCTTGTGAAATTCAGCCCCATTCACTTTGTGTTTCTACCGGCCCACTCTCTGTATCCGGCCCAATGACAGGTGCGCCTTGTGCAATAGACACTGACATTATAAAGCGATTCAATATTAAAACAGTAATTCAGTTACAGCAAAACCACACGGGCGTAAGAACCTTCGGTGAAAACCGCAATATTTACTCCGGTCTTTAGTGGAACGCCGAAAAAAAAGAGGTATGTAATATGCTTTCGATTTTACGCATACTTTGGTTAATGTACGGGTTTACTGGTGAAATTGGGAGGCTTAATTAGGCCATGAGCATTGATTTCATGATATGAGGTTTTGTTATCAGCCTAAATTTACGATTTCTGACGGAAAATCACATTTCCATCTTGTGAGACGCACCCCTTTGAAAGTCTAAGCTTAAAAACCCGTACTTCGAAGTCTTCCTCCGCATTAAAAGCGAATATATGGTAAAAGAAAGTCTACGGTTTTTTTAGAACTTTTTTCATGCATATTTTTTTCAATTAAGACCGCGTAAAAATTGTGCGCTGAATATTAATTGAAGCAATTTCATATTTTAAGTGATTTTTTCAATTTGGGGAATATTCTTTCGCAAATATCTTAAAAATGAGCTTCCTAACTTTCGCATAAAACGAAGAACATATAATTTTCCATCTCTAGTCTGTAAACAAAATGAGTATTTTGAAAATCCATATGATTGTTTCCAGTCATGGCAAATACAAACACGCTGATTCACAAACTGTCTATTTTATTTCACGGCTTGACTTTTGTTTTCAATATAAATCGCTGATTTCTTGAGTTTTTTTTTACCCCCCACGTTTTATTGGTCTTTGGCAATTAATCTTGGGAAAGTTATATTACTCCGTCACTCACTCAGACATATTGAGGACAGCCCACCCATTTTTACCTTTGGGGTATACACAAATTTCATTACTTATGAATAACTGGTTGAAACTCAAGGTGGAAACAAGATATTAGAAGATATTTTTCTGCTGGGTCCCCTCTCTGCGTGAAATGATACGGAAAAATAGGAGGTTTTTTTAGATCAAATTATATTGGGGGTTCACTTTATTGGATTGAAGTTTTATTAAGTTTATTGGCATATAGCGGTCAGCCTTGAACATAATTTGAAACTACGATTTGTGAGATTAAGAGTTATGTCATTGGTAACTGTAACAATAACCTCAGCAATCACTCATTAGTGGTGTCCTCATCTTGAAGCATTGCCTTCCCTGCCGAGGAAACAAATCCCCAAACAAGGGGCAGAAACAGGTCCGCTTTAATTACAATAGGTTGGTATCAATTTTGCTCGTGCAGTGTTGAACCAAACATTTTTTTCTCCAACGCAATTTTTTGACAGTTCACCCTATTATGTGGCATAGAAGTTCCATGATCCCCTTCTTATCGGCAGGTGATTTTTTATTTAAAACGATATAAGACGGGAGGACGTAGCATTCACCCACAAGAAGCCTAGAACCTTAACAGAAGAACTTTAACGGGAACCTTGATTTCGACTTTTTAGATTTCGCTATGAATTTCATGTTCGTATTGCTTCTTTCGTGTGTCTTCGCGAGCTGTGTCACCTCGACTGTAATGAAGAAAGTCGAAAATGACAAAACGATGGCTTTGAGCGAAGAGATCTCCCGTAAAGAAGTCAACGAAGATGCGAATAATCTCCTGTTTGAAGATTCAGAAAAGGTGCAGCGGGATGAGACCAAAGATGACGAAGCGGTTCAAGGAAGATTTGGTCGGGAAGGCCTCCTAAATCAGGGGCGTTTTGGTAGGGAGATGAGCAGTAGCGATTCAAAGAGTTCGGAACAAGGTCGCTTCGGTAGAGAATTCGCTGATCAAGGTCGATTTGGACGAACGGACCAAGGAAGATTTGGGCGCGAAGATTTGACGAATGATCAAGGACGGTTTGGTCGAGGGAAAGAAAACATGCTCCAAGGTCGATTTGGAAGAGAGAACGAACAGGGAAGATTTGGTCGAGATGAAACTGACAATGATGTTTTCGAACTTCAAGGTCGTTTTGGGAGAAAGTACGAGAAACAAGGACGGTTCGGAAGAGAGTTCTCGGACAAGCAAGGACGGTTTGGGCGGGAAAACGAGGAGCAAGGACGGTTTGGGCGGGAGAATGAGGAGCAAGGACGGTTTGGAAGAAGATTATTAGAAGTGAATAATCAAGGGAGATTCGGGCGAGAAGAAAAAGATGAACAAGGACGGTTTGGGAGAGAGCTTTCAGCTGATGACGAGATCTCGGATAGCCAAGGGCGGTTTGGCAGAGAATATTCAAAGAAAAACGAACAAGGACGCTTCGGGAGAGATTTTGAAGAAAACAAGGATCAAGGTCGCTTTGGACGTGAATCATCTGAAAGTAAGAATCAAGGAAGATTTGGTCGAGAATATTCGGAAAGTGAAGAACAGGGGCGCTTCGGTCGTGACTCGATTTATCAAGGTCGTTTTGGTCGTATGATTCGTGATTTATTAAAACATGAGGGACGTACGTTTGACAAGAAATAGATTCAATAATAAATTATCTGCATTGGCAAAGGTATACATAGACAATCTAAACATGATAAATACTGTGTCTATTAAAATGAAATTGTATAATTTTATCTTCAAAAATATGATAGAATATAATTGTTGTGCAAATTTTCCCGATTGCGGGAGATTTAGTGTTACGAAACCTATACTTGATTTTAAATCATCGAATTTGTGAATTTTAATAGCAGTAAAACCACAGCGTGGAGTGAATAAATAAATAAACACAAGTTCAGATATTGTGATGAATTTTAATAATCCTAAATGATGTTTGTTTTTAAGGAGTGCATGATTGATAGTTTACAGAGGCTTTCATAATGATTGCTTGTATATTGTACAACGATAAAGATGCAGAACTTCACCTTAAATTAAAAATTAAAAAAACACTCAAAAATTAAGCCGAGTCCTCGTTAGCTCAACCTGTTGTTTTGTTAATGATTGCTTGGCTTTTGGAATGGTTGCCTTAAATCGTTCCCAAGATTTACCAGCCTTTATTTAATTAATTTATTCCTCTACTTCAAAAAGATAAATAAATCCAACACCTTTTTTAATCAGTTCAAGAGTTGATTTCAAATTTGCGGTTTTCTTTCAAAATGATAACCTCGTTTTCTTGGTCTAGTGAGGCCAATATTCCTAGGTTACATTACAAGAGAGATCATAAGATATATTTTCTGATATTTGCATCTCTACTTGCTGTATAAATATGTCTGTTATTTGCTCGAACTTTATAAACTGAATCACAATCCGGGCCAGTGAAACATACGCCCCGTTCGTCCTTCCCTGACCACATGAAACAGCATCCATCACCTTAAAACAACAGGAATAACAACTTTGCCGCCTTAACCAAGCCTTAACTCATATTTTAGCTCCAGGGTAGAAATTTTCATCTGTTTTGATGACATTTCAAAAACCCATTTGATTATAATTGTAGGACAGTTGATATTCTCGGCCTTTGGGTTCCCGAGGAATCACTATGTGAATCAGGCAGAAAGATAAGAAACAAAATTTTTCAATATTTCAATACCTGTACTAACAAGACTGCCTAATGCCGAATTTACCATAGATAAAATTGATGCTCCTGACGTTTTCACGACACTCAGAGGTTCGCTAAGAATAATAAAAAAGACAATATCAGAAACGTTTATCATGGTATTGGAATTGAAAACTTTTTTCTCATTTATCCAATATGGCGCTGGCGTTTTCTACTTCACCTCATATTACGCAAATCATATCGGTACAAACAGCCATCTTGTGTTCCGGCCAACAAGCTCACATCTGATGTAAAACAGCAAGCATTGTAAGCGTCATTGGCAGAGACCTCGAACACCTGTGAAAATAAAAATAATGACGTAATGGAGCATGCTTCACGAAAATGAACGAACCAACAAGGTAATGTCCTTCATTCTAATTCTTCCATGAAAAGTCGTATGAATAAAAACATCAACAATTCACTTTTTTCTGGTTAAGCACCTTCTGTCTGGAGTGGAGACCAATTCCTTGTAGTATTTTGTCTTCTCTGGCAATAACCAGCATCTTACCAGCTGAACCAGTTTCTCTATCGCCTGAAAAGTTAACAATGATTTATTCTGTAAGGAGATGGATTGAAGAAGATGGTGCATGGTGGATTTCCAAAGATGTTTCAGGATTGAAGAAGATGGCAATGGATTGCCAAGGATGTTTGTGAATTGAAAAAGATGGTGGTGGATTTCCAAAGATGTTTCAGGATTGAAGAAGATCGCAATGGATTATCAAGGATGTTTGTGGATTGATACTGTTTGTTACAATGGTTTTTCATTCCTAGTTTGAAATGAAACCTCTAACAAATTTATAGGTTTTACAAAACACGCACTTAGTTCTTCTTCCCTCGATCCCATGTCAATTCCTTCATTGCATGTTTCCATTGCACATGCGTTGATAGGACATGAACACTCTGCAACTACACCAAGACAGGTGGCTGTCCCACAATCCCACAATCTCGCCGATCCATCACGTGAACACGCTACAAAATCAGTTTGAAATATGATCGAATTCATAGCGGGGCACAAGGACCGGAATGGATGGAACCATGCATTTATATACATACACAACACGTTTCGTCCTTTATCCACGATAGCTGTGTCTGTGACACCTTTGAAGAAAGAGCGTAGTTTAGGTCAGGAATCATCTGATTAGCCTGACTGAAAATTATCATTCACACTGCTCTGTGTCCTATTAATGTAACTGGGCAAGAACCATTTTCTGCTGACCATATCTTCATCTGCATATCACCACCACCAGTCAACACCACCACGCCAGAGGGAAAGAATTGGCACGACGTCACTTCCGTCACATGACCTTTCAGTTCACGCTACAAGACACGATTATTACTTAAAAGACCTGGAGCCAATAAACGGGATTTATTCATCGTGAGTATTGCAGATAGAAAAGTCGATATGTTCTCTGTAAACAAAACCGATTATTTACGTACGCGAACCCTTCCATCGGACGTTTGCCAGATGTTTAAACTACCATCAGAACTTGATGAAACACCCAATGAACCGCCTGGTGAGATATCAAGACCATGAATCCTAAAAGGAGTCAATGGTATGTCACAATGCATCTGTCGTGAAAGATTCTAATTGTTCTAAATGCAATTAGAGAATCTTCGTTTTCTTACACTTTTAGAGTGAATGTTGGTGAAGACGTTTGAAGGAGCGAGAAATGTGGTTGAACACTTCCATTCTGGATATGATATAGTCATACTTCTCTACATAAATACAGCAAGTTACTAGTTATATACTCCAAAATCTTAGTTTAAATGCTTAACTATTCTTTACTACAACTGTGTTTGAACTTCGTATACCAATAGTACAACTATTTTTATTCTTTTCTATTAAAGTATATCTATCTTTTCAACCTGTGTCAAAACTCTCGATTTCAAAGCCATCCGTCGCATTTAGTTCTCTCTCTTCTCTCCTTCCATGTGAAGTTATCTCGCCATAAACTGACGGATTTCCTGTGTTTTTTTAGCGAAAACGTGAAGAAATGTATTACACAGGAATAACAGGATATATGGTAAGCACGATATTACTTGCAGAGGTTTATGATATGCACTGACACCGATCTAAGGCTATGTGCACACGAGCGTCGTTTTCAACCGTTTTCGAAATCATTCTTGTCAAAGCTTATAGCTTTAGGGCCTTGTACACACGATCCAAGGGAGAATATGCCCCATATGTTAAAGTAGCTTCTACTTCCATTGTAAATTGCCTGTGTTTGATACCGCTTTTGCATGAGAACGAAAATGAAAACGCCCAAAAACGTTACCGTGTTAGTAACATAGTCTAACTTCCTCATGTCGTTGTCACTCCTACATGATGTTCATACCTTTTTTTGAACATGATATCCACACTTTCTCACCAGAATTCCTAGAAAATGATAAAATCATAAGTACCCTGCAACTTACCAACCCAAGCGATTCACTATCCTTGCCTTAACAACTCCGTCCAGTCACTTTGAATGTTCAAATATGCCTTAACTATCACCGCCATGTTTGTTTCGTGCAAAGCACATTCTCGTGCAAGGGGGTACGATCACCCGGGGGTATTTTGATAACGGTAACAAAACCCGGGGAGACGCCTGGATTGCCCCGAGCATTGTTTACAATACGGTTGGTAATTAGCAACAACAAAATTGCAAATTTAAAACACATTTATCGGTCGGGAAAAGCTTTTTACTCTCGGGTGAGTGGAAAACACTGCATGAGATACATCTATGTACGTTTTTTACAGGTTTCATGTATTTTTTTTTGAAATTCAAAATTCCTGATTCAACGCATGCTATTTTGCTACATTCCATAAATGACAGCCTGGAACGTGCATTTTTCACAATTATGCATTGTTCAGTTTTAGACTTGAATGGTTTGTTTTCTCTTGCTTTTTTCACATTCACTTGCAAATATAGTCTGCATGTTATGTCATTTTGTACAATGTCGTTCATTTCAAACCTTCAACATGCATCCTAATTTAAAATATCTGCTGTTGGATTATGTGGATTTAGGTAATATCTGATATATGTATATTTCAAGATCTGTCTGTAGGTATTTGGTTAGAAATAAGAAATAAGTCTAAGCAATAAGTTACCAACAACTATTAAGTATATGAAAATAAATAGTAATCCTTTTCCCAAAAACGTATTTAGACAAATTCTGAGTATACATTTGTTAATTATAATATATATTTACTTAGAGATTGGAGATGTCTTGGAGACGGTTTTTTGTCGTTTGAACAAATTGCACCAAAGTGAAGTGGTTCAAAGCACTCAAGCAGGGTAGTCGTGGAGAGGAGGAGAATGAAATTGAGTTTGGCTCCCAAGAGTTGAACCAGGTTGATGACTTGGACAATTCTTGGGAGCCATCCCAAGATGGAATTGTTGGAGAACTCAGGTAGGAATGATTCTTCAGCAGCTTTAAACTATTCCAAGTCTACATCTTGTAAAAAAAAATGTTGTAAAATTAGGATTGGTCATTTCAGAGTTGGATACATACAACAGAGATTAGCTTTATAATATAATGTACTAATTAATTTGACCTGAGCTGAATAATCAATTTCTAATTATGATTTTAAGTCTGTAACAGGAAAATTGAGGTGGCAAGAGTCTATACACTCTTAACATTTATATTGATATATAAAATAGTTGAACCATACTATATACGTCTAAACTGAACATATATTGCCAAATTTCATGTTATTTAGTCTCAAAAAGATAGATTTTATAATCCTTGGAATTTATTGTTTATGTATTCACATGACTATTTTTCTCCAAAAATGCAAACATTATGACTACTCATATCCTATTTTTAGCCATGAGTCACAGAATTTGATTAAAATGCAAATTAGTGCAAGCAGGTGCAAGTGTAAATTAATATTTTTCCGAATAAAATTCACAGCTTTGACATACGGTAGGCTAAATGCAGAAACCTCTGTGTGTACGTTGATCGAACTAGGATATGTCTCCAGCAAATTGGTGAAAATGCAACCACATGAAATAAGTTGGATGTAACAATTAGAAATCTTATTGTAGACAGGTAATTAATGATCTATAAGTAGATTTAAGTAAATTTTGAGCTGCTCTAGTGATATTGGCCTCGTAATTTTCCAATATGAGTTTAATCATTGGAATTTCTCAAGTCTGAACCTTACCTAAACTGAATATTAATGGTACAAAGCATAGAATAGTATTTGAACCTGACAAACACATAGATAATATAATCATGCATTGTGATTTTGTCGTGACTGGCTTACCCAGACAAACCGGCTGTCCCAATGTCTATGAGGTTTTGGCTCGAATCCTGGGATTATGTGAATTTAAAAACTACCGAAGCTATTTAACATGTGTATACATATATACAACTTGGTGTATTAACAAATTATAATGCAATAAAAGCTTTATGTAATGCATGTGAACACTTCTCATGTAATGCATGTGAACAAAATGCATTTTAATATTGCCACCTGCAAACTATCAAATTCAAATGATGCTAGCAATAATTGTAGTCAGTAATTCACATGGATTATGCATGGTGATTTGTATTGCTTAATGGTAGCACTTCTTCCCAAATTCAAAGTCCCAATTGATTGAATTGTACATGTGTTAATGGCCATATACCTGCATGTATTATCTTTCAAGCACGAATGCATGTGTATTAATGTTTTGAATTTGTGCAGTCTTTCATGTTAAATTCCTATTAAGTAAGCAAGCAAAACTTGTGAAATGAGCGCGCTTTCGAACAGAAACTATATATAAGTTCGTATAGCTGCATGATTGACAGTACTCAGCCGGTTAATACTATTTACATGCTCCCTAATATACCGTTAGTTTATTTTAGCATAACCAATTTTAAATGAACAAACTAGAAAACAATATTGATTTGCATATAACAAACTGCCCATTATTGATCCTTAGTTATGATACTAATCCATAACAACATAGTGAATATATATATACTCAGAAAGTCATAAATATATGTCTCCCAAAAATAGAAGGTTTGTATCATTGATATATACTAGCTTGCTTTCCTTATGCATGTGTGACATTAGATAACTGAGCACCTTGTGTTTGATTATTTGTAGTTTGAAAATGTAGAGGTAAATTAATGTATTTTTTTTTACCTTAGAATATTAGCAGAAGTGAATGTTTTATGTACATCATCAGAGCAAGGGGTGCAATGGGTGCCATTAATTGATAGTCTTATTCCAATTTTTGCAACTAATACACAGGTAAATGATTGAAAAAAATTGAATTTCGTCATTGTGTGGAATATATCATATAATTTACTGAACGTCTGAACCCAAGAACCGGCTGAGAATAATTAGTTCACAGTAATAGACGTGATGTCATTTTGGATATATGCCAGAATAATATTAAAATAAACTCATTACGACAAGAATTTTTTAAGTTTAGCGAGAGTTAAATACCGAAAATGCTGCTCATTTGAGAGTATAATTTGAGGAACCTTCTGTTTTGACGTTTCTAATAGTTTCAGAGACTGATCTATGGCAACGGCAGGTTATTAAATTGTAGAATATTATTGCATGCACGCAATAGAAATATATCGCAAATTGATTTTTCAGGATCTTTCAAGTGGCTGTTCTATCATTCATCTCTGCGCTGACGGTGGAGAAAAAACTGCATTGGATCTACAGATCTCTCTGTCTGGTTAGGATCCCATATTTATTATTATTATGATGATGATTTGTCTCTTTGCCAGATTCCTTGTGGTTGCTGCGAGAACTGAACGGTCGACTACCGTGAAAATGGTCTGAGTGTTATCAACTCTTCCTTCGTGTTCCACAACATTTTGACTTCATCTTCTTTCTAGCGAGATTCCTCTTCATTTTGTTCTAAATATTCAAAATACTCTTTATCGTTCTTTAAGATCCTCGTCTTCGCGTGTAAAATTGGCTTATTCTTCCCATCTCTTTAGTCCAACTCTCGGGTCCAAACCATTGTAAACCGTCTTTTTTATCAAATCTATAGTATTGCGTTCCTCCCTTACAGGCTTCCTTCTTCCAAAAATTGTTTTCTATATCATTATTTTGTCAGTTTCCTATATTCTTTCGTATATATAATAGTCTTTTTCCAACTGTACTTTCTATTCAAACCAACAGAAAGCAAGTTAAAGAAATGTTCAGAATGCTTCGTCAGATGGAAAGATGTGCAAAGCGGTTGGTATATAGTCCTTGTTTTCATGTGATCACATTCAAAGAGCTAGTTTGGATCGTTTCCAACCACCGTCTTCTTTCCTTTTAGGAAAAGTTTGGGGACTGAATTTCTTGTCAGAACAGGAAGCGCTTGAGTTTATTTCATTTTGTGAAGTAAGTCAAAATTTAATTTAACATTTATTTCAGTATTATTTTGTTCCCTCTCCGCTCCTACACGCAGTACATTCAGAGCTGCGTTTACTTTTAAACAAACGTGATCTTTCGACGATGACATCATCTGCTAATGACCAGGTGTGTTGACCTAACTCAAGGATGTGTTCGTGTTGATAAACGTTTTTCAAAGGACATGTTAATTGTTTTCGCGATATCACATTGAGTTTGCAGTTTTGTCAGCTATTATAACAACTTTCACAATATATGTACAGTAAGGATTAGAATAGTAGCTATGTGTCACAAGTTCACAAGCACCTCATGCGAATTAATAGTTCCAATCCGATAATCTCCAGATTAAAACTTACAAGTCAAACTAGGAAGAGATTATTTTGATGTGTTTCCCAAACTTTAAATGCAAGATGCAATGTGTAAATATGTATATAGTCCGCTAAAGTCGAAGCCCAAATAATTCCATCATTCATTCAGTAATAGTCATGATCTCATGCAGACGGCAAACTTCAAAAATATACATTAGTATTAAGGTATTATATATCATTAATTAAAAATTCAAATAGGTCTGCATTAATCGTCTCCGATATTGTGCTATGTTTGTGGCTGGCTTCGCCTCTGAATTCATTACAGGCGAAGGCATTGTAATTTTTAAAACTATTACACAATCTCGTTAAAATTTTAATATAAATATGTTTAAACAAACTGAATCACCACTATTAATAGCGATGACCGCTCGTTCCGATTTATATTGCTAGTTAGTGCTTATTTTCACTGTCAGAAATTTCATTTTTCACTGACATGCACGCGTCTTACTGAATATTGGTACGTACGTGGCATTATCGCGTAATACAGCACATACGAAGCAAGTATTTTAAGTACCTTGTCTTGTGCTGCCGCTGGGGCTCAGCACGTGCAAATGTTTACATCGACTTTCATGCTTTAATAGTATATTCCACGTAAGTAAAGTACTTTTAACATCTTTGAGGCTTTTCTCAAAGATCAACTATCTTGTCCGCAAGTAATTATTGCTATCATATATGAAAACATCTTGCTTCTGAGAGGTCAAAAGAGCAACTGGTTCGTGAGTAAGTTTCGATATTAAAGATAAGTCGTTTTAAAGTTCTCTTGAGATAAAAAAAAACCAGGTATACCGTTAATTTACATACAACGTTTTGTCAGTTTTCGGATACACGATGATGATATATTGAAATATAAGTGAGAGACGTCAGAATGACGACAATACCGACTACTCTTACTTTACTAAAATGCGTCATTAACATCTAGCAATAATCAAATTTGTCCGACGATTCGTGTAAGTATAAATGGATCATCTTTGAACCGTATACGAGAGCGGAAATACAGTGTATAGTGCTTTATAGTGTGGTATAAAACTGTGTATATATGAATTAAGGTAGAGTGTCACGAGACTGGAAGCTATAACGTTGAGTTTATTTCTCTTTTCTTTTGCAGGATTCGCATTGTAACGTTTCCTCAGGAGCCAGTAGCCAATCATTGAACAGAAAATCCACGAGTTCATTGAATTCGTCTTTAAATCAGCGAGAATTTCCTTGTAGAACCTCAGCACAACAGTTTCCGAGGCTAACACGCGATCCCAACAACATGCCTCAGGGCGAGGCAATCCTCAATAATAACCGAAGAAAAAGATTTCCAGGAAAAACAGAGGGTACGGACAGTGGAGTGGGTGAAGATGAGGTCCAAGAAGCTGATTTCAATTTCACGGAATTTAACTATTATCGTGAAATGGAGATATTTCATAGCGCTGTTAATGAAAAATATGTAAGTATTTAAACAGTAACTTTCCGACGTTTTTGCCCAAGTACAGGTCAGTTTTGAAAGATTATCACTTGCAGATATAATGAAAGTAGAAATCCAGCTTCTGTACAATCTCTTTTGGCGAAAAGCCTAAGATTTAACGCCAAATTCACAGGGGAACACGATGTTTGAAGTAATGTTATTATTGTGTTCATAATCTAGTTATCTAACAACAAGCCTGGGCTAGCGGTTGACAATGCACACAGAACCAGCGATACCATTTCTGGTGGTCTAAGAAGATCTGGATGGCTCTCCATGAAGCATATTTTGATCTGTGGTCGAAACGGGAGGGTGGAACAGGCCAGTCATAGGAAATGGAAGAATTACTGGGTGATCTTAAAAGATGATGAATTGAATCTTTATCAATGCGATGAAAAAGAAGTGGGTTCTCTTGATATGAACTCTCCTAGTGTTGTGGTGAAGATTGATGGTTGTCTCGCTCAAGCCATTCCTGAACATGTAAAATTGGAGAATGTTTTTGGTCTTAGCACTAAACATGGCGATGCATTTTACTTCCAGGTATCTGCTGTAGTGTCTTTCTCGTCAAGAAGACGACTTCTCGTCTTGTCCCCGTCATTCACTGATCGATCCTCCACTGGAGTCATTTTTCATCAATCATAATCATAAAATTTCATCGTTCGTTTTAATCTCAGGGCTCGAGTCAATCAGAAGTCGAAGGATGGATTTCAAGTATTCATTCGGCATCTGCAGCGAAGTTTGCCGGCGGTAAAGAACAGACCAAACGCTTTCTAACTTCCAAGTTACAACAGATCCAAGAAAACATTGACTCGGATTGCAAGCTAAAGAAAATGGCTGAGTTACAGTTGAGTGTTGTTCAAGATAGCAAAAGCAAGCAAGTTATCACGGAACAGGTCAGTTACAAAGCCGCGAATCCATTCCTGCACCAGTTCATGTTATTAAATACAACGCTATTCTGCATTTTAGATTTCTAAATGGGAACAAAACTTTGAGAAACTGAGTTTAGATTACTACAAACTCCAGTGTTATTTATCAGCGATATCAGGCAGTTCTCCACCAAATCCTCAACACGTTTTAGGCTCTGCTTTGAAAACGACAAAGCAGAACATGTCTCGTCTCGGAGTCTTCTCTGTCACTTCATTCCATTCGTTGATCTGCTGTCGTGAAACTGGCGGTGGCACTGGTGCGCTTTTGGGGACTGGAGCGAAAGTAAAACGTTCAAAAAGCGCTGCAGGTATGAGCTCAGGAGTGTTAACTCCCCATTACCAGGCGCATCGTCTTGATTACGATCGATGTTTCTAGGATACGGTCGATTGAAATCTGCTCTGATGTCATCTCTGAAGATCACGGACAACTCCGCAGCGACAAAACTGCGAGAACAACATTCACCAAAGCTCACAAGAAAGGATGGAGAAGATGATACAATTACAAGAGATGATATGACAATCATCTCTGATATGTCTGACTGGAAACAAATGGGGAATTTCCTACGCGTCGAATTGCCAGGAATTGGTAGCACCGTTGTTTCAATGAAAGAGGATATGACCTTCCAAGATGTTGTTTTAGCAGTGACTAATAAAAGACAGTTGGATCCTGAGATGTATTTTATCATGTTTGGTGTCGCCAAGAAATCCCAAATTGGTAATCTTTAAGAAAATTTTACATCACATTTCAGTGAAAAAAATGGAGTATTTGTAGGTGATATTTTCGTGCCATTATTGGTAGAATAGCGAAACGCAAACCTGGTTATAGCTTTCTGTTTTATTTCTTAGAGTATTATACACCTCAAGAACAAGCATTTATAGAGGACCAGGTACCATTACCGTCAAATATTTCTTCATTATTTGTTTGAAAAGATCGTTGCAAGAGTTGACAATGCTTTACTGTGCATTTCATTAAGAATTTCGGTGTTCTGAAAATGTGTAAGAAGAGTGAATATACCGTGCAGTTAACAAAAACAAGCGAAGATTATGATATCAATTTTGGTAATTACAAATTTCTGTTATAACTGCACGAAATTTACTTTACAGATGGATATTTCGTGCAATTTATTTTACTTTTTATCTTGCACAGGTTTGTCTCTCAAGATTGAGAATGATCGTATGATTGTTAGTCGAGTTTTGGACGGCAGTTCTGGCCATTTGAGCGGTAAACAATATAAAATTGAAATCTGTATTTAAAATCGAGTCTGTTTTGTTGGATTTTTTGAATGCTTAACACCTGCATGTTTATTTAGGTATACTTGAAGGTGATGAAATTCTATCAGTGAATAACATTGAAGTTGAACAAGCTGAGGATGACATAATAGACTTGCAGAATGCGTTAGCGGGTCAGTTATGACCATTGTATAAGGATCCTTGGATATTTCCTTGATCGTTTTTTTCATCTGCACTCAAATTTTCTTCTCTTCTGCTTCAGAGCCGTTTATAAGTTTAAGACTACGATCTTTGAGAGAAGAGGTTCCTGAGCAGATACGAAAGACAACTGAGAGCATTATCAGCACCCTGGTTTGTCCTCCACCACCAAGAACAAGGTAAACATTAAATCTGAATTTCCATGTTTTGATTGTGAATCGTATATAGATAGAAATAGCCCAAAATGAGACTTCATATTTCTGTCAGTTCTTCAGAGTTCCTCGATTTGACTGAACTAATCGTTCCTCCGCCAGAATTAGGTAAGTAAGCTGAATGACTTTTGAGAAGATTTGATTTATGTGGTTCGTTGTCGTGGAAACAAGTATTTCTATAGCTTATTTTGTTTTCTTTTTTCAGATAATATTAGCATGAAAGAAGCTCCATCTCGGAATTCCTGCATAGTTGAGGACGACGGAGACTCGGTGAATGTTTTACTAGAGGTAATAATTATTCCAGTTCTTACAATGCTTACGATATTTGCCTGAATGTTTGTATAAATAAAATTCTTCATATTTTCACAGAGCGCCGAAGAGGTGACAACATTCTGTCGTCAGCATGATTTCCTTCGGGAGATTGAAAAGCACACGGAGCTTTCCGATGCCGAGAAACTCCGAAGAATCATTTCAGAACTTGTCGACACTGAGAAAAGCTACCTGAAGGTTTGCCGAGACCTTATCATCGCAATTTGCTGTTCCTACCAGCAAATCAAACGTATTTTATTTGGTGTTTTAAGGATGTGCAGACGTTGTTGAAAAGATACTTGGAACCTTTGAGACACGAGAAATTTCTACCATCTGAGGAGGTGAATAGTTGTATTTTCCTATCATTAACATTTTTTTCTCATTCAATTTACAAACATCAATTTGAGCTCTCTGTCAATTCTTTGTTGTAGGTCAATTCTCTGGCGGAAAACGTATCTCAAATTCTCGAATTTCAGAGTCGATTTTGTTGTGAGATACAGGAGTTGATCGACTGCGAAGAAGACTTTAAAAATATCAACGAAGTTCATCTATTCCAGGTTCGTTAGCCACTGGCTTGTTGTTGACGGTGATAGTTAAAAGACCTTAATCTAGAGTTATTTTTACTTCAGAATGTAATATACGGAATTGGAGAGGCATTTCTACAATATGCAGACAAGTTTAAATTGTACAGTTCATTTTGTCTTACTCATTCAAGAATCATTCATATGCTTCATCCAGGTACCAAAGGATCTCATAGTTATGTTGAAAATGCTAGTTCCCTGAATATACAATGTATTGACTATCGTATTTCATTTCCTATAAGGATCAAATAATGCATTGGAAGAGTTCTTAAACGCAAGAAATCCTAAACAACAACATTCAAGCAAACTGGAGTCATATTTAATCAAACCAATCCAGGTATTAATATATAATAGATAACATTTCAAGATAGGTTTTCACGTATGCTCTAGGAAAACCTTTGACTTTAAATCGTTTTGTTTTGTAGCGAGTTTTGAAGTATCCTTTGCTGTTGAATGGCATGTCAAAGTTGTTGGCGAAAGACAGCGATGAATATAATTGTCTTAACGGTGAGTGAAACACCTAATAGATCTTTTCTTTTCTTTTCTTTAAGAAAGGTCTATTCAGTCATACTCTTTCCCTTGGTCGTAAACTCAATATATTATATGTCCTTCAATTGTAGAAGCGATAAGTGCATTGGAAAACGTCGCAGAACATATCAACGAGATGCAGAATATAACGGAGAAATTCCTTCCAATTTTCCAAGAATTGGCGGCCTCCAATGGTCTCAATGTACGTAAAACCTTTTGTTTTCTCAGATTTTTTCACCGACTCGGTTGTCCAAACTCTGTATGCCCTGGGCCAGCCCGCTACTCTGAACTCCAGGCTGGCCACCTTCTGACCACGAGAGTGATCCATGGACTTCCTTGTAGCCTAAGATAAGCCTGGCCATTGCTTCCTATAGCTCTTCCAATCAACCATGCGACTTAATAATTCAGGTGTCAGACGTTGATGTTGATAAGCTTGTCATTCATAAGAAGGTCACGTGGTTGAACTCACCAGAGACAATAAAAGCCAGCAGTCTACGATGGAGTCCAGTTCCCTTACGGAAGATGAAAAATGAAACAAGTGTGCGATGCTTCGGTATGTAACTACCTTGGTTTAGCCATGCATTGTTTGACGCAGGCAAATTTATTTATTAACCTAGTACCTTGAAGCAATGTTTTGATATACTTTAGTCCACTCTTCAGTGGAACTGTGGTCCTTTGATGAACTGACAAAACTATCCATTAGTGTATCTTGTTAACCTATTACCCGACTCCTAGATCTCGCTACACTTTTGGTATTTTATTATTAATTAAGAAAGACAATTTTACTCGTATGCTAACGGTTATTTGGTATTAATATGCGACTAACTGCTCTAAATTTCAACCACCACCATTTCAGTGTTTCCCAAAGCAGTCATTTTGATTCAACTGGAAAAACGACAAAAGAAGAGAGATAAGGTAATCATGTTATGACTGTAGTAAATAATTTTTTAAATAAAATTAAGTGCATTTCTCTTCGTTGTAGTCTTCAAAAAATTCATTGAAAGTTCACGAGGAAGTTAATTTCAAAACATTGATTCCAATATCTTCCCTTACTCTACGGGATAACTCTTGGTGTGACAAAGGTAGGCAGCAATTGCAGAAAGATATCTCTAACCATAGCCTTCACAATTACATATCCTAAGAGGATTAACAAAGAGTGTGTTTTTGTAGATCTTTTCTGCGCTTGGGAATTGGTTGATGTGTCCAGCCCAAATGGAACGAATGGACAACAAGAGACGCTGTATCTGTTGTCAAGCAAGTAAGTAATTTGTAGTATATATGTGTGCGCATTTGGGGCGCGTGCTTATATAGGGACGCAAAATTAAACGAATTCCAGACGCGAGTTTTGTAACGGACGAGATTTCACCCACCGATGATTACTAATGTGTTTAGGAATTCGGATGAGCGAAACGAAACAGTCCGTGCGATTAAGGATGCCGTACGACGCAGTATGTTGGAGGATTCAAACTACTTATCCCGTCGTAAACCATCCATAGCAAGCATTCTATCAACCAATTCTATTCATCTTGGTTTTCCCAATGATCCAGCGTATCTTCGCAGTAGATCTTTCAGTGAGTCGAGGCGAGCGAAAAGCAAGAGTCTTGGACGCCAGTACTCTATAAGCGAAGTTGAAATGTTTGGTGGAGAAAAAAGGTGATATTTTGAAATGTATACCTAGATCTATAGGTATAGATTTCATCATTGCTACAGAGCAGAGTTTTGCGTCTTACGTGATGGAACTTGAGACAGCTGATTCAACCATAGCATGGCTGCATAGTCTGGTCTCTGGAGGGTTTTTCAAGTGGCAAAATGAGCAAATAACTTTTTTAAAGTAGAAAAGATTCTTGCTGTTTTAGTTGTATTAGAAAGATACCTGAATTGTAAGATATTTTTACGTAGTTCCCCCTACCATATTATAAGAATCTACCAATCACCTGGCACACTATTCATGCCACGTTTTTTGAAAAAACGTTTAAACCTATGGTAGATTCTCCAATGGTATCTATTCTGTGTATACTGTATATCAAATCATACCATATCATATACCATTATAATAACCTGCAATTCAAACATCACCATATATATACAATCCATAACCATTTTGATTGTATGACATACATACCCTGTAAAAAGCACAGTGCATATGCAATACCATAGACCACCTCCAATTAGAACTACAGTAGCTAATATGCATACAAACACACAGAGCATTAATGTGAATAGTAAATATATATTATTCTAAACAAACTATATCTATATATTAATATATATAACAGGCATTGTAAACAATATACATATTTAAGCTTGACTAATTTATAATATAGAATTTAGACTTGATCCAATTGGATTCCTCCTATTTTTCACTTGTTTGAAGCTGACAGTTTGATTCAGTATTTATTAGTGTCTCAATGGTTAGGACTGTTGTATTCTGTGAGTTTTTGGGATTCCTTTTCTTTCGTCCATCTAGAATTGTAATCTTGGTGCAATCACCATATCACCAATGCTCTTACCCTAGTGCAACCACCCTGAACATATTTTGATACCTCTCAAATGCAAGAGAAACAATTGATGAGTTTAGTTTGGTTTAGTGTCTGGTTTGCGAGTTTGCACCATGTGTCTTGGAAGACTTCTCATAGGGCGTTCCTTAGTTTCCTCTTCACCATCATCATCTTCACACCAATGAACAGTGATACTTGGCTGGTCACCTGTCGACATATGCGCTTCATATGGTTCATCAGGTTTGAGTTGAGCTATTGCTGAGAGAAGGTCATGGTTGATGACAGGAGATCCTTCTGTAATTGGCTTCCAGTTGACAGGTGGGGAAACAGGTGGTGAAATCAGGAACTGTTTAACAGGTGGTGGAGGTTGCAGAGTCTGTGATATATTAGGGATATTGGGTATCTGAAAAGGATAAAAAATTAGGTTGAATGAAGAAAACTCTGTAGAAGACTGTCTTGTTAATATTGATGGCAGTGTTAATTTATTAGTTGGCAGTACTCTTCTGCTGATGAATGAAATCATCTGGCATTAAACAGAGTAAAAGAATAAAGTAGGGCACATCTGGGGCTGCATTGCAACATAATAGGTAGGTTAACAACAGACATTGAAAAAAGTTTTGTTGAAGAGAAGTGGCCCTATTTTGAGGCTAACCTGTGTAAAATAGACTCCTAATTGGTTTCCCTCCATTGTAGAGCCATGAAGCTTATCTTTTGCCTGGCATGAATCATTTTCATTGTGATAAATAACTCTTGCTCGACTGAAACTCTTCAGGTAAATTATTGACATGATATCACCGTGTTGTTTAAACAGTTCTTCAAATAATTCCTGCAACAAACATGAAACAAATGTGCTGCTTATCCACTGTAAAACTTTGGCACAAATATAAGCAAAACATAGAAAATATGCGTGAAGAGTGTTGGCTGAATCTTTTGGGGGGGTTTTAAGCAGCTGAAACAGCTTTTATCCTTCAATTACTGTTGTTTCGTTTAAACAGTTTTTCAAATAATTCCTGCAGCAAACATGAAACAAATGTGCTTATCTACTGTAAGACTTTGGCACAAATAGCAACACGTAGAAAATATGCATGGAGAGTGTTGGCTGAATCTTTTTGGGGGGTTTTAAGCAGCTGAAACGGCTTTTATTTTTGTAGTTACTGTTGTTTTATAACTAAAAGTTCAAAAAAGTAGTCTAATATTTAGTGAAAAAATAGTTTTTTTATTGCATTTTTCTGATTTATAAGGTTGCAATTCATTTTCTGACTCAGAGTGATGTTATTCGCAAATGTCGGCTCGTTATTTCATAAATATAACGAGAGTTCACACTTATTGGTGATTAACATCACCGTAATCCCGAAGAAGGGTAAACCGGTTTTACAGGAAATTAGCATTGGGAGACTTCAACTTTTGATCTTGAAGGATCAATAATAATTATATATTTGATCAAGCGATATTCTCCTAACGTTTCATAATCTCGACCAATCACAGGCAAGGTAAAAATTGGCGGGCTTAGAGCTTTTTTCAACTTCGTCAAGCTCGTTTTTGGGGCATTCCTCAACATGTCGTCGTGCAGAAAGGACTTACGGCGCAGCAAAAAACGTAAAAAGACCACAGCTTCCGAAAACGTCGCCTCTTCGCCTCAGAAGTGACTTCAACTATGACAGGCAAGTATACGTTTGTATTTTGGTAGCTTTTTTACACTTTTTTAGGCCAAAAATCCGCTTCAAAGTTGACGGCTTGCCCAACCGGACCGAGGACTTTTCGACACTTTCGCCTTCGTTCTTCGTGTTTTTTTCGTTTTACTTTTGTCTGAACTGAAGATGAAAAGACTAAAAGGACATTTTTAAATGAATTTTGATTTTTTTCGAGCCGAATTTCGGAGCAAAATGCAAAGTTTTTCAACTGGCAGTTTTTTATGGCGGAAACACTTCACTTTTTTCGGGGTTTTTTTCGAAAACAACTTTGACATGAAGTCAAACCAAACTTGGAAAAAGGCCGGGAGGTTTTTAGAGATTTTTTTAGCGGAATTTTCGAGAAAATTTTGGTCGAAGGAACGGGAATTTTTTCAGCGCGCGCCAAAACTGTTTACCCTCATGTTCGGGCAGGCAAAACAGGCCTAAATTGTCAGGCTTTTACCTCGTTTAAACAAAAAAACTGAAAAAAGGCAAGAGGGATTAACAAGTAAAGAGAAATAAACTGCCTTGATGCCCTAATTAAAAATTATTGTAAATTTGTAACAGCAAAGCCTTATTATGTTCAATAATTGTATACTAATTTCAATTAGATTTTAAATTTATGTTTTGATTGTAACAATTAAAATAATAATGGCCCGTGTTTTATTTTAGGTGGAAGTCATCAGCAACATTGAGTATAAATGCGCAAATACTACGAGTTTCATTAAAAAAATTTATAATGTCGAACAAAATATGCAAAATTTTGGTATTTGACACTAAAAGAATTTCGATAGAATTAGGTTAGGATGAAAAACGTACAAGGGCGGTGGCATTGCATTCTTCTAACTTTTCTAAGGTCTCTTCATCACACTTTTAGTCATTTGGTAAATAAACTTTGCATGTGGGAAGATTGCGCCGCTTTCTACGTGCATTGTTTGTCTTGCTAAGTGGTTGGAAGACATTTGGAGGTATCTTGGGAATTTAATTAAATTGCAATGTTTTTTTTTCATAGCTGTCAGTCTAAAAGGACAGCAATTGTGCTAATGCTATAAGCTTTAGCAAAAAAATCAGTATATTGCAATGTTTTTTTTCATAGCTGTCAGTCTAAAAGGACAGCAATTATGCTATTGCTTTAAGCTTTAGCAGGAAAAAAATCAGTATGTGTATTTTTGCAGCTGTCAATCTATAAGGACAGCTAGTGATTGCTATAAGCTATAGCTGGAAAAAAAACTTAGTATGTGTCTTTTTTATGGCTGTCAGTCTATAAGGGCAGCAATTGGTGCTATTGCTATAAGCCTTAGCCAAAAATATTTCACTTGTTTTTTATCAAGTCTATACGAACAGCACTGCTGTGGCTATAAGCTATAGCAGAAAAAAACTTAGTATTTGTCTATTTTCATGGCTGTCAGTCTATAAGGACAGCAATTGTGCTAATGCTATAAGTTTAGCCAAAAATATTTCACTTGTTTTTTAACAAAATTAAAAGAAATGTTGCTTCTATAAGGGCAACAAAGTTGCTATTGCTATATAGCTTTAGCAAGATTGGCTTTTTTGCTGCTGGCTTTCAAAAACAATAGCTAGGTACTAGGATACACTGCCCAGGGATGTCATCTCTATATGAATGGCACCCTTAAGCTAGCAGCAAATGTGATATTCAGAGCAGCAATAAGAGGTGCATGCACTTGAGTATTTGTGTTCATCGGAGTTGCTCAAGTCCTCGGTGGATGTCCCAAGATGTGGTACTGTATGTTATCAAGTGGGGGTATTCAGTCTACCAAGCGGCAGTGGTGAATTAAATATATTGGACTAAAGACCATGGTAGGATGTGTTTCTTTAATTATTGTGCATTGTTTATTCATATCAGGTGATCTATTTTAAAATCACCTTTTCCTATTGAGAGTGAGCCTCGCTAGTTAAGAATATTATTAAAAGGGTATTTTGGAGCACTTGTGCCTGCATTGCAAGAACAATGACAGAAATGCAAAAGCAATGGGTGATCAAAAGCAAATAAAAGCCGGTTTACACTAGACTAGAAGTATCAGGGATCTATTATGGATAATTAGGATAGGACATTAGTCTATTAGGGATACCTAGGACAAGTGTGACCTAGGTTCTATTTCTGCTATTCTTGGGGTTCATAGACTAAATTGGTGGTCAACTCATATTTGAGACTTTATAGATTGGAGTTCATTCATTGTATGTGTTAGTTTTGTTCTTAGTTACAAATATGTGCAATTTTTATATCACTTGTTCATTCCTGTGCTGCTATTATGAAATACGTATTTTGCAATATGATAGAGGGTATTCTAAATATAGGTAGCAATATGTGGGGTTTTTTTGTAATCATTGGTAGTTATGGATATCCTACCCTTTAATGAGCCTTTTTAAATCCATCACTGGTTAGCTTTCTTTCTTTCTTTCTTTCCAATAGGCCTCCTCTCTAATGAAATCCCCTCTCCAATAAGCCTTCTCTCTAATAAGGCTCTTTTATAAATCTTTCCTCTCCAATAAGCCTTCTCTCTAATAAGCTCTTCCCTCTAATAAGTTCTCCTCCCAAGAGCACCCTCCTCTCTAATAAGGTTTATTTATAAAAATCTTCCCTCTCCAATAAGCTTTCTCTCTAATAAGCTCTTCTCTCTAATACGCTCCCCCTCCAATAAGCCCTCCTCTCTAACAAGCCTTCTCTCTAATAAACTCTTCTCTCTAATAAGCTTTTCAAATCTATCTTTAATTAGTTCTTTCTTTCTAATAGGACTCCTCTCTAACGAAATCCCCTCTCCAATAAGCCTTCTTTTTTATAAGCCCTCCCCTCAAATAAGCTCTCTCTAATAGGCTCTTCTCTCTAATAAGGTTAATTTATAATAAGCCTCCTCTCTAATAAACTCTTCTCTCTAATAAGCTCTCCCCTCCAATAAGTCCTCCTCTCTAACAATGTTCCTTTATAATAAGCCTTCCTCTCCAATAAGCCTTCTCTCTAATAACCCCCTCTCTCTAAAAAGTTCTCCCCTCCAAGAATACCATCCTCTCTAATAAGCTTTACCCCCTAATAAAGCTTCTCTCTTAGGTGTAAGACTCCAATTGGCTAACCTTTTCAAATTTTTAGATTTTACAATTACCTGAAATTATTTTTCAGGTTGAAGTTAATGGAAGCACTGAGCCTAAATGTATACAAATACTTAAAAATGAAATTACAATTTGGTTTTTGTATTTATGCAAAATATTTTAAGAGATTTGAATTAGTAAAAGTAGGAAAAATCTACAAGGGCGGTGGGCATTGCATTCTTCTAACTTTTCCAAGGTCTCTGCATGAGACTTCGAATTATTCAGTGAGCGAACTTTGTGTGTGAAAAGGCGTGGCGCACCTTTTTATATACATTGTTTGTCTCACTGGGTGGTTGGAAGACATTTGTAGGTATCTTGGAAATTTAATTAGATTGCAATGTTTTCTTTTCATAGCTGTCAGTCTAAAAGGACAGCAATTGTGCTAATGCTATAAGCCTTAGCAGAAAAAAATCAGTATTATGTAATGTTTTTTTTTCATAGCTGTCAGTCTAAAAGGACAGCAATTGTGCTAATGCTATAAGCCTTAGCAGGAAAAAATCAGTATGTGTCTTTTCATTGCTGTCAGTCTATAAGGATGGCAAATGGTGCTATTATTAATATTGCTATAAGCTTTAGTGAAAAAAAACTTAGTATGTGTCTTTTCATTGCTGTCAGTTTATAAGAACAGCAATTGCTATTGCTATAAAGCTTTAGCAGGAAAAAAATCAGTCTATAAGCCTAAGGACAGTAATTTCTGCTATTGCTATAAGCCTTAGCAAAAACTATTTGTGTATGTGTTTTGGATCAAAATTGAAGTGATGGACAACAAAGTTGCTATTACTAAATGCTTTAGCAAGATTGGCTTTTTTGCTACTAGCATCCAAAAAAATATAGGTTAGCTATAATATTAGGATACACTGCCCAAGGCTGCCACTTCTTTATGGGTGGCACCTTTAAGCTAGTAGCAAAGATCATCAATTAGGTCAACAGTTTAGCTGCATGCAAAACAGTATTTGTGTTCATTTAAACATGCTCAAGTCCTCGCTGGTTCCAAGATTTGGCATGCCATCAAGTAGCATGGTATGTATGGTGTTTTCATTGACTTTCAAAGTAGATTATGCATTCTTTTTGCTGTTTTTATAACAATTTTGCATCATTTTCAGGTTGAAGTTGGTACTGAGCTTAAAAAAATGCACACAAATAATTCAGAAAATTTGTTTTTTTATATACAAATTAAAGGTCACCACTAGGTTAGGTGGAGAAAAAGTACAAGGGCAGTGGCATTGCATTCTTCTAACTTTTCCAAGGTCTCTGCATAAGACTTCGAATTATTCAGTGAGCAAACTTTGTGTGTGGAAAGGCGTGGCGCACCTTTTTATATACATTGTTTGTCTCACTGGGTGGTTGGAAGACATTTGTAGGTATCTTGGGAATTTAATTAGATTGCAATGTTTTCTTTTCATAGCTGTCAGTCTAAAAGGACAGCAATTGTGCTAATGCTATAAGCTCTAGCAGAAAAAAATCAGTGTGTCTTTTTTCATAGCTGTCAGTCTAAAAGGACAGCACTTGTGCTAATGCTATAAGCTTTAGCAGGAAAAAAATCAGTGTGTGTCTTTTCATTGCTGTCAGTCTAAAAGGACAGCAATTGTGCTATTGCTATAAGCCTTAGCAGGAAAAAATCAGTATGAATCTTTTTGCAGCTGTCAGTCTATAAAGACAGCATTTGTGTGCTATAAGCGTTAGCTGGCTGTCAGTCTAAAAGGACAGCAATTGTGCAATTACTATAAGTTTTATCTAGAAAAAATCAGTATTTGGCTATTAGTCTCTAATGCTATTGCTATAAGCTTAGCAGAAAAACTTGCATGGCTGTGACAGCTGTCAGACAGTGTATAAAGACAGCAATTGTGCTATTCCAATAAGATCTAGCAGACAAAACATGGCTTGAGTTGAGTCTACTTGACAACAATTGATGCTGTTGCTTTGAGCCTTAATAGTAATGATTCATGAATGCGATTTTTTAAAATCAAAATTAATTCATTGTTGTTTCTATAAGAGCAACAAAGTTGCTATTGCATCTGGATTGGCTTTTTTGCTGCCAGCTTCTAAAAACAATAGTTACTAGCAATACTAGGATACACTGCCCAAGGATGTCATTTCTACATGATTGGCATCCTTAAGCTGGTTGCAAATATATTATTATCAGATCAACAACTAAGTTGCATGCACCTAGCATTTGTGTTCATTTGATAAGCTCAAGTCTCGACTATGGACATAAAGATACTGGATATTACTGGTTAAAGGTCAGGGAAAGGTTATTATGGATATAAAAGGTCAGGGAAAGATTATGGACTTATGGATATTATGTATGGTACAGGTATCATCTGATGTCTCATGGAAGCGTATGTGGTTTTTTAAAATTATTCAGTCATGTTCTCCTGTTCTATTGTTCAGTGCATGCACTAGACTTGGTGGTCAATAGCTTGCATATACACACACTAAAAGATATATTTGCATGTTGTTGTTTGGCTTTTTTGTGTGTATATACAAACTATGGAGTGTTATAAGGCTTTAGGTTAACATTAGTTAGGAACAAGGTCTTGCCAGATTGAAAAAATTGTATAAATATTAAATATTTCGTAACAACGTCTCTGGCAAAGTCTTGCTTGAACTTACTGCCAGGTGGTACAAATGGTACCTTAGGAAGAGAATCAGACTAATTTGCATGTACATGTTTATAATGTAAATGCCACCAAGTATTACAGGTTAGGAAATCTGTTCCCTGCATGATCTGCATGAGATTCAGTTATAAAAATGGTTCAAATGGAACCTTGCATGATCTGCATGAGATTCGGTTATAAAAATGGTTCAAATGGAACCTTGCATGATCTGCATGAAATTCGGTTATAAAAATGGTTCAAATGGAACCTTGCATGATCTGCATGAGATTCGGTTATAAAAATGGTTCAAATGGAACCTTGCATGTTCTGCATGTGATTCGGTTAAAAAAAGGTTCAAATGGAAGGTTCAAATGGAACCTTACATGATCTGCCTTAACACCCTACCCCTCAAACGCGCAGCGCAAATGAAAATGCAAAAAAAATATGGCAATCTGGATTTGTAAAGTCTTATAAGTGCCCCGCAAAGTGCAGCGCAAAGGCAAATGCAAAAAAAAACAATATGGCGATATTAAATATGGAGGCAAAATCATAATTTACCTTGAATATAGCAATATATTTGCGGTTCCTATATCATTGTAAATAATGTAAATATAACCTAAATTGACTGTAATGTTTAAATACAAAGTGAAAGAACTGTAATTGTATTCATTTATAAAAAAACATTTCTTCTTCCTTAAAACCTCTTTTTGATAGGCTGCTAAATTTCCTTTTTTAGGGACTCTCTTTTATAGGTTATTACTATTAAATACTAATACAAAACTTTAGGAATTTCTCTTTTTAGACTTTCTTTTTTTAGGCTTTACTAACATTTCTTTTAGGACTTTCACTTTTCTAGATTTTTTCTTTTTTAGGCTTATTAATATCTCTTTTTTTAGGATTTAACATTTCTTTTTTCTTAGGTCTTTCCCTTTTCTAGGTTCTAATTCTCTTTTCTAGGTTCTAATTCTCTTTTCTAAGTTCTAATCTCTTTTTTAGGCTTACTAATATCTCTTTCTCTCTTAGCTTACTAATTTCTTTCAGGAAAACAAAACAGTAAATAAAAATAAATATAATAAAAATCATTAATTCGTGTCTATTTTATATATATTGCATGAGAGGGTTTTTCTCCGGGCGCTCCGGTTTCCCTCTATATTTTCACTTTTTCCTGATTGGCTAACATGGCTATAGATATAACTAAGGTTATATCTATAGTACAAACAAAAACAACAAAAACAAAAAACAGTGCCCGTGGTGTTTCGGGACCAAGACTGGTTATAGGGTTCGATCCCCTGTGCACTGTCCCGTGGTGCCCCCCCCTTGGTTTCTGCATTGGGTGGATTAATTGCTAATGATATTATAGTTAGCAAACCAGCTACTTTGAATTTTAGGGGGGGAAGTTTAAACAACATTGTAACTTATAATGTGCTTGTAGTCTTATACAAGGCATAGTATAAATATTATATACTGGCGATCAGGTACTTTAGGTGATGTTTGGGCGTGTTTTGAAATAACCTGTTTATGTAAAGAAGCACATGAGAAATTTCATCATTTTCACGTCAACTGTTAAGTCAATAAAGTATATTAGAACGAGGTAAGGTACTCGTAAATTAGTTTCTTTCCCACTTCATGAGGACATAGAAATGTCGATATAAATCAGATTTTCCTGATGTGTTTTGTGTATGTAATGTTTATAGATTAACTACCTTTACTTTGTCTGAAGTAAATACGATGGCGGGGACGTTCGTGACTGTCAAACAGCTTTTTTCTGTGCGAGTTGATCTGTTTCCATTTTCACATATTTCAACCCCAGACTCGTGATTTTCCTCATTTGGATCTGGTTCAATGTTGACTAACATTTCTAGTTAGTGTTGTAACTCGTGTTAAAAATTTATAATTTTTCTGAAATTTTTTTTCTTTGATCAAAACAAGACCTTCTTCTCGCACCAGGTTCCCATCGAGGAATACTAGGTCATTAAGGTTCTTGATCGTCTCCTACTTAAGGTGGCTATCACAAGGAAGCTACAACAACATCTTTTTATTTTTTTGAATTTACACAGTTAAAATGTTCATTTACAGAATGAAACAAAAGCCTTAGCATAACAGCTTTTATAATAATGCACGTACAATGATTACTATATACTATTTAAAGACAAAAACTATAAGATGATAGGTAGTAATTACACAAGAATTCGCATCAATCAGTTTTTCTACAAAGTCTTAATCAATGTATTTCCTTATTTTGTCCCAACTATTCCCTTATTGTCTTTGAGTAGTAAATCTAGGAACACCAGTTATAAAAATATGTTCTCTGCCATGTTGGGAGATATTCTAACAATGGCCGAATTATAACTGACACAAATGGAACATTATTGGCAAGGCCATTTAATACCATCAGGATCTTTCCTTTGGTGTGCCGATCATAGAATGGTGATCGCAGCAGATAAAACAACATGATAACAAGTCTTCGAGAGATCTCAGTTTTTTCCAATGCTGTCAGCCTGGGGTTTGACTGAGTGTGAAGTGATAGGCTTGTGATGTCTGCAATCAATGAAAACAACCAAGGCTTCCAAGATTGCTCTCCAAACACAAACATACTTGGCAGATGAAGTAAGGGTCGAATGACATACAAAAGTTCAGCATAAAATTGCTTTTTATCAAGTATAGTGGGGTTTTCTGTTGTTGTTGGGAACTCTGGAAGTTTCCAAGATCTGAACCCATTAGGTGGAGTTGATGATAAAGAACGCACAAATCGTCCAGATCGCTTTCCTTTCCACACATGCTCTTCATCCATATCATTCATATTTTCTTCATCTTGTTTTGAGCTCTGTGCCTCATTTCTCTCCTGTATATCCTTGTTCTTCTTTGCTTGAAAAACAAGTTGTCGGTTGAGCAATGGTATCAGGGGGTACTTTTGCAACTTGGGTCTGTTTCTGCATAGTAGCAACAATCTGAATGCAACTTTACTGAACTGAATGACAACCACAATTAGCCATTTTCCAATTTCACCCCATAACCTTTGTGCGGCCATCTCCAGAAAAACTTCAACGCTTTCGATCACAGAAAGATACCTCAGTAACCGTTTTTCATCTTCGGCTCCGGGGTAACTGGGAAGCTTTAGATTACAGCGAAATATATAATCGTGTAATAAGGCTAGCAAGTTCGAAAGACCGTATAGAAGTTCACCCAACTCTTTCGAAGCGACAAACCGCCCTGGAATGACATAGGACGAAACGCGAAACAACGCTTCCAAACGGGTTGAAATTGCTGGATCGTCCAACAACATACTTGAATACATGTTCCAGACTTTCTGAAATTGCATCTGAAGAAATTTCTTTGCATTTTCAGGCGCATTTCGTAGAAGATTTCGAAAGCTCGCGTGCTCTGCCATTTCGAAGGGAAAGATTGTTACATTAGATGTGACGTCACCACCTTTCTACTGTCATCCAGTATATAATTCTTACACAAAGTTTCCTAATTCCCATGGTCTCTTGTCAACAAACTTGGCAACTTTTCTTTGTGAAAGTTGAGCTATATTTTCAAATGAATTCTTACCCAAAAAGATGGTTTTATCCTGCCCAAGTGTTTGCTCAATTTACCTCAGGTGATGAGCAACCTGCCATGTCTTTTAAAAAGGGAGATCACGCAGAAAAAAACATGGCAAAGTCTCCAAAAAATGAGGACAAAAATACAGCTGATATTATTGAAATTCATGAGACGGGCGAGTTAACGATACCTCCAGATTATGCTCAAGTTTTCATGATTTGCAGAAATGCTAAGGTGGGGAATATTTTGTCAAGATTACTTACGTAAAATCACATTGGTAATCTTGTGGTGGTGGGTGTGGATAGTGGTCATTAATATAAAGGGATGGTAATTGGTAAAACAGCAACGTTTGCATACATTGCAACCCCTATTCTCCATAATAAATTGTGATTTTATTTTCAAGCTTACTGTTGAGGAAGTCAAGACAAGCGTGAACAAGCGCGTGGAGTATATCTTGCAAACTTTGAGATCGCACAATGTTGGTAAAAACAGTTACACTGTAGACCGAACTTTGATGAGAAACGAAATGAAATATGAGTTGAGAGTGGAGATATCTGTTCAGTTTACAGACTATGCAAAATGTCAAGAAATTAGTAATTTCTTGGTTGAAAAGCTTGATAACAGTGTTGAGGTTTCAAGACCAAGTTTCCATTATGCACCTGGCAAACTAGAAAGTTTAAGGTACTTACTAGTTAGAACATGTTGTTGAAAATAACACATCTTTCCTAATTCTTGTGTTATGAAATTACATTAGTTTATATAAGATCAAAATCAAAATATAAGATTCAAAATTTTAGGAGACAATCATGCATCCTTGCTGTGCAAAATGCTAGAGTCAAGGCTCTTGAAATAGCAAACTCACTGAACCAGAGTCTTGGCCCAGCAAAACATATTTATGAACAATCAACAGAAGAGTACACAGGGAGAGATTTGGAAGTAAGAAACACAGAAAAAACTGAGACATTCCAAGAGCTGATAAGACTGGCTACAGTTACAGTTATTACTAAAGTTTTTGTGGCATTTGAGTTGAAAGTCAAGACAAAAAGAAGGGCAAAATAATTGATCTAGTTCCACTTTCTGACCTTTACCAAGATCTATGAGGAGATACTCAGTTTTGGAGACTAAAGAATAATTTGGAAAGCATGTAATTTTTGCCTAATGAACCTATTACACATGTACAGGAATCATATTTTATTTTTTAATATTTTAACAGTTAAGAGTTTTTCTTCTCACCCTTCGACTTCCATGCTCTAATAAGTCTTATTGCATAATACAAGGCAGTTATTTGCATTTGAACAATCAAACCAACAACTGCTAGTTTAATTGACAATCCTCTCAAGTCCAGTTTTCCAGGAGACTTCTGTTGCACATATGCTACTAGAATCTTGAGATATCTTGAGGCTCCATAGGTCATTGAACCAAATCCAAATAGAAGACATCCAATCACATAAAAACACAATTGATTATGTTTGTTTTTTGGGAGGCTGTTCAGTCCTAATATGACTGGTATTATGGTACAGAGCCAAGCCAGATGCCAGTCTTGTGGTTGAAACTGCACCACCCTACATAACCATACAGGAATAATAGAGAAATTTAGGAACTATTTCTAGAAATTTCAATCTAGATGTGGAAACACTTCTGTATTTCTAGAAATTGTGGTTAAATATTGACTATAACATTCGTGATATAGTTACAAGATCCTAGCATTTCCTAGTAAGTTTTTCGACTCATAATAATCCAAGAGAGTGTCCACATGTCTGGTATATTAAATAAACACCTTTCCAACTTACTTGAAATGACCTAGTACAGACCACAGGGCTCCCAAAATGATGCAAAGAAGGTGAAGAGAAAGATTAAGTTTTAATTTGCTTTTCCATTTCACACTATCTTTATAATGCGAGGCAACTTTCTCACGATGACTAAAATCAGAACCATCAGTTCCACTTGCTCTTGGACCACTTCTGGAAGACATTTTGAATAAATAAAAAAAGTTCTTGTCCTTCGAGATCACTCGTTATTCCCTCGGGCTGCTTCGTTTGACTCAGATAAAGGCTAAATTGAGCCACGATTATAATCAAATTTATCAGAAAGATGCATTCGTATTATTCGTACCTGTGCAACTTTATAAATGGCTAGGAAAAAGAGATGTAAAAGTTGATGTTTAAATTATTTGTTAACAGTGAAGTTCTCGGAACATCTTCGTAAGAGCTCGGAGTAAGGTCGGTGATCTGATTACATAGCAAGCACGTTTATGATTTATGTTACCAAAATGTAGCAAAATCAGGATGTTATGTAATTTTGGAAGAATGGTTTAATATATATCTAAGGTATTGGTAGCTGTTTTCATTTGATCTTATATGAGCAAATTTGAATACATGACTTTCACACCAAGATTTATTGCAACATTGGTTGACACTTGACACCAACATATTTAGTAACATTTAAGAGCAGTCAGGATGTCAGACAAGTCTTCATCAGAGTTATCAGATTGTGAAAGGGAGAAGGACAAGCCTAAAGATACCTCCAGGTCTCCTTCACGGAGAAAGCATAAAAAGTCCAAACACTCGAAGAAAAAATCAAAGAAAAAGTCTAGTAAAAAGAAAAAACACAGAAAAAGATCAAGGAGTAGATCTAAAGAGAGGTACAAGGAAACCAGTTCTCAAAGTGATTCACCCAAGAAATCTTGTACAGTTGCAAATCCAGATGAATTATACAGTCAGGAGGCAGCTGCTAGTTTGCTAACCAGTCAGAAAATAGATAATCTTGCATCAATCAATCAAGGTGCTAAGTTAGCAAATCAAGAAGAGACTAGCTCTACATTTCCAAATGAGGATAAGTCTCCAAGCAATAAACTAGTTGTTCATGGTGATAATAATAATCTACCAGCCTTTGAAGAATCATTACAAAATAATATAACAACCAATCAGGGTGTAACAAGTTGTTTGGCAGTCACTCAGGATGCGGTTGCTGGTAAAGTGGCTAATTTGAATGTTGAACAAGGTATGACAGGAAGATGTGTGGATGAAGAAAGTTTGACACCAAATGAGGAATTTAAGGATCCGGAAGATTGTAGTTCGCAAATCTATGATCCTGGTCTATACATTGCTAAAGTGATGGGTGGAAATGAGAATGCAGAGAAAAGCTTTAGGTCAGGGTTGAATTTAGAAGAGGTATCTAGTCCTATAAAAGAGTCCATATCTAGAGGAAAGTCATTGGACTTGTCTGATTCCCAGAAAAAGGCAAGTTCTAAAGAAAGAAAGTCAAGGTCGAATGAAAGGTCAAGGTCATCAAAAGATAAGGAATCAAGGTCAAAAGGAGGAAGGTCAAGATCAAAAGATAGAAGGTCAAGAGCTTTAAGGCAAAACAAAAGCAGGTCAAGGTCAAAGGGTAAAAAGTCAAGATCAAAAGATAAAAGGTCAAGATCAGCATCAAAGTCACCAGCACAGAGGCCAAGAAAAAGATCAAGTTCAAAGTCAAGGAAGACATTTAGAAGGTCTAGAACTCGAGATAGATCCAAGGACAGAAGGTCACGAGAAAGATCTCATTCACTAAAAAAATATAGGTCAAAATCTAGGGAGCGCGGAAGATCAAAATCCAGAGAACATAAAAGATCCAGATCTAGAGAACGGTCAAGATCTTATGAAAGGTACAGGTATAACTCTGGTTATCAAGACTATTCACGTTATAGACAATCAAGATCAAGTGATAGACGATATATGTCAAGGTCAGTTGGTCGGAGACAGCGTTCAAGATCCACTGAGAGACGTCGGCGGTCAAGGTCTAGGAACAGAGGTCATCGATCCAAGTCTAAAGAAAGATATCATTCCAGATCAAGATATCGTTCCAGATCAAGATCCCCAAGAAAATCAGACCGTTCTGGTGATCGAAAGAAAAGGTCACAGTCTGGAGATCCTGTTGCTGCATCAGTTCCTGTGAATTTGACAATTGCCTTAGGTGTACCTACAACCTCAATGACAACCACCACAGCGGATACAGTTAAATCCAGTAAAAGTATTGCAGATTTCACAGCACTGTGTAAAAAGTTGACAGAATCCAAAGAAGATAGGAATGGTGTGAGTGAAAATACAATTGTGGATGAAGAGTTGACCTCTCAAGTTTATCACCCATTCAATGTAAAACCAGCAAAAGATATAGTTATACCCCCGGTGATATTTCCAGTATGTTTTTAAGTATTTTTTTGAAGTTCCTATTGTACACTTAGTATTTGTCTGTCTGTCATCTTCAATGTATTAATGTACCATCATTTAGGTGTCAAAACCAGCAGAACCTGCTCGGCCATTGGAGCAAGCTTTTCCAGTGTCCAGTGGTAATCAGCATAAAACAAAGGAAAATACAAATGAAGCTACAGTTGAAGGCGTTGATGGAAGCATTGCCGCTGCTGAGAAAGTCTTCCAAGCAGCTGTGCAGACAGAGGTTATATATCAAATCATGCTCATTATTTTGTTATTAAGTTATAATTATTGATGATTGAACATTCTAAATATCCTAATTCTTCTAATTTGGAATAGAAATTGGATGTAAGTGGTCTTATTGCTAAAAGAATGGAAGCACAAAACCGTCTTCAATCTAATCCTCATGATCTTGAAGCTAAACTTGTGTTGGAAGAGGTTCAAATGAAGATACAGAATTGGGCATCGATCAATCTAAAGCCAGGTCAATTTACTGGAGAAAATTTAGTTAGCTCCTTTGCTCCAAAGGAAAACATTAACAGTGGATATCAAGCTTGGGCTAGAAAGGTAAGATTTGATGTGTTTGGTTGTTTAGGCAATTTTAGTATCATTATTTGTAAGACATGTGTCTATTTTACAGGATATGTTTCACAATTTGGCACCCATCAAGGGAGGTGTAGGCATGAGATTGTTGCAGAAGATGGGTTGGAAACCTGGTCAAGTTATTGGCAAGAGAGGAGAGGGTGGTTATGAACCAATTGCACTGACTGTTAAGATGGACAGAAGAGGTTTGGTGTCCTTTGCAGAGCCTGGTGGTGGCAAGGGTAAAGGTGGAGGAAAAGGAGGTGGTAAAAATATCTTGGCTGCACAAGCTGTACAAGGTGGGTAGCTATGTAGATTCGGTTTCTTGTCAAGACAATAACAGGTCAATGTTTTGTCAACACAAATATCCCACATTCATAATTCATACTGTGAACTTGTTTTAAGTCAAGAATAGTAATTATCATATTCTTTACTTAAGCAAGATTATGTGTGGGATATTAGTGTTCACAGTTTCCAATATCAGAATAACTTTATTGCTTTCAGGTTTCTTTGCATTGCATAGCTTTTTACATTGGACTAACAATATGTGCATCATGGAAGCTGCATTTGAACATCTGATTCTGTGATGGAAGAGGTTGAGTAGCCCATTTTTATCAAAGGTGGTTTGACTCTCAAAGCTCTTTTGCACTCTTAAGTTGGACAAGAATGGATACACTTAGTCTGTATGAGCGCTGGAATGAAGCTCATACAGACTATAGTGTATTATATTTTGTCAATTTTTGATAGGAGTGGGCTATTCGACCATTTGAATTTTCACCTATAGAGAAAGTAGTGCAGCTTATAAGGTCATCATTGGAGCAATATTCCATCATTGCATCTGACTGCAAATTCGAAAGATAGAAGTAAGATATTCGGGATACACTACATGAGGATTGGTGAGTATAAAGCATTGGCCTATAAATCTGGACTTTTGATTATTCCACTATCGCACTTTTTTGGCTTTACACTATAATCAGCATCTGCAGTCCATATTTATAGGCCAATGTTTTTGGGAATCAATTCAGAGATTTACATAGACCATCCTTAGCATCTCAGCTATGATAAATCTGTGAATTGTTTCTGCTAAACAATATTGTATCCACAGTATGTGAGACTCCTAAATGATTGTTTAAAACTTGGTGTACTTCCTATAAGAGCCTTGTTTACAGTTTGTCAGAAGTGACCTACTTGTGTGTACTGTGGGAATGTGCAGCTGTATAGCTCATAATGCTAATATAATAGTTTTGTTAAAAACAAAATCTTGCCAATTCAACAGACTAACTTTTTATTCTGTTTGTGTTAGGTAAGCATCCTGTGTCAGCACTAGCAGAGCTATGCACAAGGAGAAAGTGGAACACTCCAACATACAACATTGTGCATGAAAGTGGTCCTTCCCATAAAAAAGATTTCTTGTTTCAGGTTGTTGTAAATGGGAACAGCTATCAACATAATGTTGCAAGCAATAACAAGAAATTAGCTAAAGCTGAAGCTGCATTTGTGGCACTTAAAGCTCTAGGTATAGTTCCAGCTGATGCTGCCATGACATTGTAATAACTCAAATTTGTCATTTACTTTTTCAATGCATTGGTAAGTTTGGTAGAACAGAATTAACTGTTGACATTGGTTTGTTTTTGTAAGGTTAATAAGATTATTAAAGCTTAATAATATTTCAATAACTTTGTACAAATCGTAAAACTATTGCATTGTCTTAACCATATGCTTAATTAAAAAGCAAGATTTATAATTATTTACAATTGAATGATGGTTAATAATCCAAAACCAATGCACTTTAGTATTACTTATAAGAATACCTTTGCATTTTTCAATGATTAATTTAATTCTACCTCTTCAAAACCTGCCCACCTTAGCAGCATTTCTTAGTTTGAACTGGTTCTTCCAGCATGTCCACTGAGGGTATTCTATCAAATCCTATAAGTTCAGCTGGCCTAGTAGATACTGTTTTGATTCCTTCCCAGTCAGGTTTCATTTCTAATTGTCCTCTTTGTAATCTTTTATACACCTCATTTGCAACAATATGAAAAGCCTCCTCAACATTGCATAGGACCTTGGCCGAAGTTTCTATGAAAAGCATGTCATGTGCTTCGGCAAAACGTTCACCTTCCTCTGTTGAAACTTCTCTGTCAGATTCCTTATCTACTTTGTGTCCTATTAACATAAACACGCATTCTTCTTCATTCACATTTTCCTTTGCCTCTTTGTACCAATCGTTGATGTTATAAAAGGAGTCTTTATTTGTGATATCGTATATAATAAGGCAAGCAACTGCATCTCTGTAGTAAGAATATGTGATGGACCTAAAACGTTCCTGTCCAGCTGTGTCCCAGACTTGTATCTTTACCTTTGCATCTTCTATAAAAAATTAACATTTCAACATTATTATAAGCCAGTCAAGGGCTATAAAACCTGGGGCATTGTCATGTCTTTCTTTTTTTTAAAGGGCAGAGATGTGCTTCAAAGATAATCTCGTTAAGCTAACCTGGCTATTTTCCAACAGCAAAATAGTCAAACGTTTTGCCACATTTTGAATTCATTCACACTAATATTTCTATATTATTCACCATGGTGATAGGGCATTATTTGCTCTTGAAAAGACCACATGGTGTCTAATATCTTTTAGGAATGGGTGCAAAAATCACTGTATTTGTGTCTGCTTCACTGCCTTCACATGTAAAACAATCATTACCAATATGTGGGCAAGTAAAGCACTGTTGTCGACATGAAAAAATTTAATGTGTGTGTCTAATACATGTTTTAGGCAATAGATTCAGGGATATATGGATCAGCAATTCTCATCCATGACCTTTGATCTTTTGCTGATGTGTACACAAATACACTATCCATGTTTTGAATACCATGAATAGTTTCCTATCAAACCTTAGCTTTTTTACCTTGGCAAAATACTAGGCTAAAATGACCTCAGAAATGCATAATACATTGTGCTTCAATTTGTTATTTATTGTATATGTTTTACTCAAACCATAGAACATGTATTATTACGTCTTTACATGAATTGTCCTGCAGGTAAACATATGTTGTGCAATTTACCAAACACTTGAAAACGAGAAAATAGTTAAGCATACATGTATTTACTAAGAAATAACAACGCTATAATTGAAACTGATTATCTTATCTCAAATACAACACACCTGAGCTGCATAATACGCTAAAATACGCTTCATTGATTTCTACTGTAAATATTGAAACTTAATAGTTTTACAGCAAAAACGCTGTCAAAACAAACCAAAATATACACACGAATGCTGCAAGCGTCTGTCACTTCCCAAAGCAGGTGGAAATTTGTCATTTTGTTGCCATACAACAAAATACGAAAAAGTACAAGCACAGAAAATATCTAATGAACTTACCAGAAACCTCTACAACCCGAACATGAAAATCGACCCCTACAGTTGGATCGGCTGGCGTAGTATCCACAAAACTGCCCTCTGTAAATTGTCGTATCAACGATGATTTTCCTACTGTCGAATCTCCAATGAGGATGAAACGGAATTGATAAAAATACTTCGGAGTCCTTTGAGAACTCGATGAGCTTGTCTGCGAAAGCTTACGGCCCTTGTCTCCCATTGATAGTTTGTATCATAAAAATATATCGTGACCTACGCTGGTTGACTCTGTACAAACACAGTCAAAACATGAAAATGTTGCAAAGCGTGCCCACCTTCACTCATCACCCGCGTTTCTTCAACAAATACATCGTTTCTTTATTGAAAAATAATATAATTTAATCCATGTGTATTATGATTATTTCATTATAAATCCCTCGGTTAAAAACGTTGAAAAACGTGCTCGATGTATTATTTAGCTTTTACGTAGATGTTGTGGCTGGGGTAGTGTGTCGCTGTATCTCTGAGCTGTTCTGAGTCCCGCCCCCATTATTGGCGCCCTTAAAATCAATTTCCGGCAAAACCTCAAAGTTAAAAAATGATTTTTTTTGTTGAAAAGATCACTATTGTAAGTTGTCACCAAGAAAGCCATGAAAGAGCTGTTGTGCGTGGTAAACGGTATCTTTTTCAATTGTAGAATTAAGAATTTTACCCCACCTTTTTTTAAACCCTATCTTAATATGTAAAAACATTTCATCTTCACTTTCATCTTCACTTTCATCTTCACTTTCAACTTCATCTTGACAACTGGCTGTTGAGATAATTTAAAACAATGTACTTTAAAATGAAATTATTTAATCTATGCTTGCATTGAGCTACAGGAGGGGTAAGGGTGCACCCCTGCATTGAGAAGCACTCCTCATTCCAACCAACAAGGCTCCCCCAACCTCTCATGTATCGCGTTTAATTAATATTGGCAGCCGGGCGGTTTTTGGCAGTCTATCTTTCAGTGACCTAAGGCGTATTGAACTTCAGTAGGTAGGGGAAGGGGGGGACTCCGGCAACGAGATCGCATTGGGTGACAGGTGTTGGTGACTATTTTTACCAGAATTATTTTTCGCGAAAAAAAATAAAGAAATTTTCCGCGTATAAGAGGCCATGTTGATAAAAACAAACGAACAATATTATAAAAAACAATGTTCTTTGCAAATTATTACATTCATTTCTTACAATATGGAAGATAACGTATTTGAAATAGAAAAGATTCTTCAATCTTCTGTTAGAAAGGTTAGTTTTGCAATCAATTTGAGATGCTATATTTTGTTTTTTTACGATGTCATCAATACATGGGGGGAACAAAATTATACAGAAAGCTTCACATGTGACGCATCAATTGTTCCGATAATGTTTTGCTATTAATCTCGTATCTTAACATGCTTATTCATCGAGTTATTTATTTGGTATAATTGAAACAAATTGAGAGTTTTCCATACTACATTAGACCCTCGCTTCTATTGATATTAAGGTATACGTGTCGGTCAATTGACAAATTAATTGTAGGAAAACATTCATGCGTAATCTGCTATAGATCTAATGTCTACTGAAATGTATAAGTATCTAACTTATTGCTTTCATCAGCGTCATTCTATTGTTACACGTGATAATATTTAGCAACAATTTGCAAATGTAGCAATTATTATTACTATCAAATCTCATTGTAACATATGGTCAGGTAAACTAATTTTCCAGCCAAATTGAATTTTTGCTTTTGTTTCCGAGCTCTTATAGTAAACTACAACGACCTGGAAAATATATGTCATAAGTTGAAAAGATGTTGCTTTGCATGGAGAAGTTTGCATGTAAAAAACTGGTTGAACTTTCAACTTGCATTTTCACAATGATTAAGTTGTTTTATAACAAGGAGAGAATGTGATTATATGCAATAAAAATACAATTGGGTGTAACTAATTAGTGCAAGACTTTCTATTTCTATTTCTCTACATTTTTCTTAGGGATTAAGGTATTATCGAGTGCGATGGAAAGGTTTTGGCGAGGAAGAAGACACTTGGGAGCCAGAAGAGAATTTGTTTGATTGTAAAGATGTTCTTGATGAATTTTGGAACAAAATTAAAAAGGATAAACAGACAAAATCTAAGGTAAATCAGCATTAACTTTTTCCAAAATCCACAGATAAGAATGGTCAGAATTGGTTAATTTACAAATTAGGCTCTACAAATAAAGCTCTATACATTTTTCTCAACTAATAATATCATGTCAATAGAGGACTGCTTTTGATCAATGGATGAATGTGTGTGGAATCTTGTTGACAAACAGTCAATTTATAACAAATTTTTAGGTTGAAAAACGTAAATCTGAATCCATGCCACAATGTCAAACCACTAAGGCCAAAAAGAAGAAAGATGGGAGAACAACCAACAATAGTACAAGTGCACGCATTGATTCAAGCTCATTGCAAAGTGAAACCATTATTATTCCTGAAACAAATGACACAACAACTGTCAAACAGTCAAAATCAAAGAAGAAGAAAATTGAAATAGACCAGGAAGACAAGAGCTTGGACATACATCAAGAACCCAAGAAAGTCCATAAAAAGAGGGGCAGAAAGCCTAAGAATTTATCTGCTAAGACTGAGTTAGATAAAACTTCTCAACCACAAGGTTTAATAGATGAAAATGAAAACCTAACCAACACAAATTCTGAGAATATTCTCCCAGTGGACAAAACAGACCCACCATTGGTGATTATTGATAATGAACAAGAATCCCCTCCAAAAGAATGTAGCACAAAAAAGGTCATCCTGCATAAAGACTCTCGTGAAAACCTGGGCAATAAAAGCGTAACGAAAAGAGGAAATTTATCTTCCATTTCCTCTGAGCCTTCCCCAGAATATGTTCCAGAGTATTGCGATGAAACGTTAGCATATGATGATATTTCTGTTGAAGAAGAGTTTGAATTTTTTGGAGAAACAGGTTACCATCTCAAAGATAGCATTAGTCCAGAAAAAAGTGGTATTGGAACACAGCAAAGTGCAGCTATAGCTGAGGGTTGCAAAAGAGATGATACGAATTCTATGAAAAAAAATCAAGTTAATTTGATGAATGATGAAGATCATGAGAGGAGTGAAAGAGATGTGAGAGGTGATGGCCAAACTCATGTGAAAACTCATCATCATGTAAAGGGTGGTGAAGATCATGTCAAGGATGATCATAATTATGTGAAAGATGATAAAGATCAAGATAACAATCACATGGAAGATGATGATAAAGATCATACCAAGAAGGATGAAGATTATGTAAAAGATAACAAAGATCATGTTAAAGATGATAAAGATCATGTGAGAAACGATGAAAATCATGTGAAAGATGATAAAGATCATGTGAAAGATGATAAAGATCATGTGAAAAACGATGAAGATCATATGAGAAACGATAAAGATCATGTGAAAGACAATGAAGATCATGTGAAAGACGATGGAGATCATGTGAAAGACAATGAAGATCATGTGAAAGACAATAAAGATCATGTGAAAGACAATGAGGATCATGTGAAAGACGATAAAGATCATGTGAAAGACGATGGAGATCATGTGAAAGACAATGAAGATCATGTGAAAGACAATAAAGATCATGTGAAAGACGATAAAGATCATGTGAAAGACGATGAAGATCATGTGAAAGACGATAAAGATCATGTGAAAGACGATAAAGATCATGTGAAAGACGATGAAGATCATGCAAAAGATGATAATGATTACGAGAAAGTTGATAAAGGTCGAGTGAATGGTGATGAAAGTCATGTGAAAGATGATGACGATCTCGTGAAAGAAGATGATTACGTGAAAAATCAGAAAGATAATGACGAACGTCACACAAATGATGAGAATCATGTGGAAGTTGACGATGATGCAGTGGAAAATGTTGAAAAAGGTTCTGATAATCATGTGAAGGATAATAAAGATCATGAAATGAAGCATGATGGTAATCAAGGGGAAAAATTTAGAGACCAGATAAAGGATGGTGAAGAAGAGATGGAAATTGATAGCGGCCACGAGAGGGATAAAGGAGATGACGCAAAAAACCTTTATCGTGATAATCATGTAGAGCAACTTGTAAAAGATGGTGGGGACATTGATCAAGACATAATTGAGACTGCTTCATCAGCCAAAGAGGTAGGAACGGAAGAAACACAAGAGCGACAGGATGACAACGAAGAAGACAGTGATATTACTTCTACCGGTTGCCTAAAGTTAGAGCAGCCATTGAACGGTCCTACTAACAATGATAAAGTTGAATATATTATTTTAGACGATAGCCCTTGCGCCTCCAGCGAGAGAGATGGTGAATTGTTTGACAGAGATATTGATCTTGTAAACAGCCAACAAGATAACACAACACCCGCATTAACGTCTGAGACTGTCATCTCCGTAGAAAAGGATACCAGTGTAGAGCCTATAGCTGGAGATCTACCGCTAGGACACTTGGCATCTGCTGGAGAAAGTACTGACGTTGGTCAAACTGAGAATGTTAACCATCAAAGGAGCACCGATCTGAAGCTTAAATTAAGGTCAAGTAGTTTTAGCAGTACAGGTCTCACTGACAGCGAATGCATGTCGCCGGAGTTTGTGCAATTGCCTGAGCCAAAGAAAGGCTTTTTTGACTTAGTTTTTGCAGCCGAAATATATGACGCGAAGGAGGACTTGACTGGTGAAATAAAAAACAAAGAAAGTAAAGTGAAAGAAGATGTTTCTAAAGATGCAGAATGCAAAACTGTTGTACAAGAAGTATGTAAAGATGACTTATGTCATGAACCAAAGAAAGACGACCAGCAGAGTGATTGCGTCGTAATGGTGGAAAAAATAGTGGAAATTTCTAAATTGAAAACATGCGATGAAATAAAAACGATTGAAACAAAAGCGGTTGGTATTGAAAGTAAAAAGAACCAAGAAAAGCTATTGGAAACAACTGAAGACAAGCCAGTTCCAAAGAAGGATGGTGAAAATGAAGAAAATACAAGTGGATCTCTTAGTCCAACCAGCCAGCAAAGGAGGTTATCTGACGAAGAAACGGCACTGTGTTTGTTGGATTTGTCCTGTTCGAAATCTGGGAAAGCCGTTGAGATTACTGAAATAAAGTTTCAAGCACCGAGTCAAGATATTCCTAAAAGTACGAACATTGAAGATGCGAGTGAAAAGGATCAAAAAGGTGTTGTGGAAACAAGAGTTTCTTGTGATTCACCCGTAGATTTAGCCAGAAATAAGGATAAGAAAGAAACTAACCAGCAAGTTTCTCTGAAGAGGAAATCAAATGAAAATAAAAGTAAAGCTGATAAGAAAAGGAGCAAAGTTCTTTTGAACATTCCGTTTATGATTCAAGAATGTGACAATGAAGTAATAGATCTTCTTCAAGATATGAAAGAGAGTTGTGTGTCCCCCTCTGAGGATAGCAAAGACTTAAAATCTCAGAGTTCACCGGCTATCGATAAAAGAAAGACTTCAGCAACAAAACCAGTAGTAATAAATGAACGTCAGAAAGAAAATGTGGTGTCGACTTCTGAGTCATCGCATTTTGAGATTGGATTACCTTTAGGCAAAGAGATAAGATCGATGCCCTCTGTTAGAGAACAAGGCGTTCACCATTCGGAGAAAAAGCGACATAAAACTTCTACATCATCTTCACATATTAAGAGCAAACCGCTTTCAGCCCATAAGGTGGAAGCGTCGTCCAAAAATACTTCGGAAAAGAAACACCACCGATTGTTGAAAAAAAAAGTGGAAGGATATGAAACGACAAAGTCGAAGGAATTAAAGGGACAAAGAACAGAAGGCAAATCCGAATCCCGTTCGGTGGAAGAAAAATCAGGAAAAAAGCATTATATTCAGCCAGTAACTTCATCAAGTTTTGAGAAGAATAAATCAGAGTTTGTTTCCTCTCATCGTAGATTGACAAAATCCCAAGAAGGGGTTAGCTCAAGCGAAGCAGAAACAAAGGATTCACAGCATATTCCAACTACAGCAATGTCCTCCTCCGTTGCTCTGAGCCGATGCTCGTCATCAAGTAGCGATGATCCTGATATTGCAAACGCTCGTAGAAAGGAAAAGTACGACGTAAACATGCAAGGAATTAATTCTTTATCTTGGAGTAATGACTCTAGCAAGACTTATCCCTATTCTGCACAATTAGTTAGGCCGCTTTCATTAAACCAAGCAAACCCAAATCTTTATCCAGCCGGCTTTAACCCCGTCATTGTTAATCATTTAAACCAGAAAGGGTTTCATCCACAGGCCAGTTTTCCTTTTACCACAACATTTAATCAACCACATCCAAGCAATCCTTCGAACCTCGTCAACCAGAAACCGTTTTCGGCAGTTGCTGGTTTGAACTGGTATCCTAACAATCATCCACGTCCTGTTAGACTCATCACTGCTCCAATGTTTCTGTCAAACCAGCTGTATTTTGTGCCAGCTTTTTCGCCCACTTCGCAATCATCCCAGCAAGCTTCGTACGGAAGAGCTTTACAGGAGATCGCAAAAAGAAAACACACAGAAGATTTAGATCAACCGGTTTCCGATACGCCTTCTAATTCGTCAATCGACACGGATAAAGCGTGGTATACCAAAGATGTAGGAAGTCCCAGTAAGGGAAATTCATTGCATGATATAAAACATCCCGGGGGTATCATAGCTTGTGTTCAATCTCAGATTAATATGCAGGCAAGAGAGTTCATTGATCAGGCAGAGAGTAAAGTTTTAAGTGGTGTAGATCGGTCAAATAACATTGTAGTAAGCATCACAGAAACTAAGAACGATGATTTTTCACCCACGGTTGCTTCGGAAAAGTCGAGAGCTTCATTTCCTTTACAACAAAGTGAGTCTTGTAAAGTGAAGAATAAAGAAGGTAGTCTCACTGGGAAATGTAGGGAAAGTTCATCAAATCGACGTGAATTAGACGGGAATCATAGACAAGGTGCCATTACTGGTGAAACGTTTGAAAACGAACAGACGAAAGTCAATGATGGAAAATATTTTGTGAAGGAGTCGATAAGTTTGACTGAAAAGTATAAAGAAGAAACGCATGCTGGAAATAGGAGAACTTCATCTGAAAGGAAAGTTGCTGGTGGTTTATCTGCTAATACCACGAATCTTTCAGACTACACTGTCAGTAGGTCTGCAACGAGCCATGCGATAGATAACAGAATCGGGATCAAGAGAAATACAGAAAACTCCGAATCCATTCAAAAGACCTTGGAAGAAATGAAAATCTCAAAATCGACCATCGACAGTAACAAAACTACACTTGAAAGCATACATGATAGTTTATCTGCTATTAGTGCAAAGCCGTTGCACGTTAAGGTTAGCACGTCTGGAATAAGTGATCAGACCGTTGGAATTGATATGACTAAAGACCAGACCGTGAATCCCGGAAAAAATAATATAGCTTTAAACTCTGAATCTAGTCAAGAATCCTCTTTGAGGGAAACTAAAAGCTCCAGTAGTGAGAGTAGCAAAACTATAACACAGTTCAAGGACAAGAAGAGAGATAAAGACCAAGGGAAAATTAATGATAAACCGTCCTCGAAGCAGAAACCCTTCCAGGAGGAAACCAGAAGCTCAAAGTCTGCCAGCGAGAACGGAAAGCGTTGCTCAAAGGACAGAGTGAGAAGTCGGGAGTCTCCTGCAAAGGATCAGAAAGAAAGAAGTAAGATTGCGTCTCGTTCTAAGGAGGAAGATCGACGAAGTAGACGCGATACAAAAGAAAAAGAACTTAAGGTAAGAAGCAGTTCCATCAGTTTTAAACTGTTCTTCCTAGAGGTCTACTAGGGATAATCTCTTATTGATCCAGTGTTACTACACGAAGAAACCTAAACTAACTTTATTTAAATGTTTTGGCTTTAGAAACAAGAGTCAGACTCTGAGGTGGAATTTGATTTGGATGACTATAATCCGGAGGAAGTGATCACACACAAGGTAAGTATCTTTGTGACTAATACGTGTATATGTTAATGCACAGTAATGTGTCTATTTGATGATGAAATCACTACTTTCTTCCTTCTTTTCTTAGCCAGAGAAAATAGAAATAACTCATAGTGGTATAACCACAGCAATGTCATTACGTAAGTAACCAATTGCTAAATAATTTTGTAAAATTTTGTATGAAGTATACAGTTAAAACTTAAACACAAACTGACCAACACATGCTAGACTTCTCTAGATATCCACCAGGATGTAAAATTTTTTCTTGAAATAGGGGAAGTAAAGTTTGCTATCAAGCAAGGTAATACAGCCACGGTCCTGGCCTCACTTGCTGGTGGGATAAATGTTGATTCACAGGACAGTGTTACAGGAATGACATTGTTGATGAGAGCTGTATCATTTGGCCAAGATAATATTGTTAAACTATTGTTAAGTCATGGTGCAAATATCAACATCAAAGATAATACTGGCAGCACACCATTAATTACAGCTTGTGAGCAGGTAAAAATGAGGAGAAAAACATCAAATCGTTTTCATTTAATTGACCATGAGAGAACTCAAACATTTGAATTTTTTAGGGTTTTGAAAACATTGTGTCTCTTCTTCTAAGCGTCGAAACTGATATAAATGCTAAGCAATCAATGTCTGGTGAAACTGCTCTTATCAAGGTGGGTTTATTTCAAATGTTTGTCTTCTATAAAAAGCTATAAATAAAACTTGCTTTTTGTATTTCTGTTTCCCCAGGCATGTATGAATGGGCATTACTCAGTGGTGGCTATGTTGCTTGCCCATGGTGCTGATTGTCAGATCAGAAGTGTCACTGGGCTGACTGCTTCACAGCTTGCGGTGCAGTGTGGACACTTTGAGATACGAGATCTGCTTGAATCACACAACAAAAAGTGAGTAGAAAGATATGAACTAAATGCTGATTAGATAGAGTAAATCATATGTTACTAACCTTGAACTCTTTCTTATTGTAGACTGCAGCGTTGTGTTGAAACAGCAATCTCAAGTTGCTTGTGTGACTCAAGTAAACTCATGTACCCCCCATTGTTGCCATTTGTTAGCTTATATCCATCGGAAGGACAGAATTTTACCTACCATTTTCACTGTAGCGACATGCTTTTAAGTATGTTCATCTAATTTTACTCATTTTTCTATTGTGACTTAGTGATTTCAGTGATTATTGACTAGTTTATCCAACATATTTTAGGTAAAACAGTCTTGCTGTTTTGCCTTCGTGCTGTGTTTTCAAGAAGTGGACAAGTGGATCTAAGTTTCTCTAAAGACAATGGAGTACATACTGTTTTATTAAATGGATCTATTCAATCACCTGTTCTACCTGTAAGTTACATCTAACGGCAGTATTTTCTAACACTATCTAAGAAACTCTGTTATCGAACAACCCAGGCATTATTACTGACATTATTGCCCAGTGTCTGTATATTGATTTTCCTATATTACCAAGAGTTTTTTTATCAATTTACTTGTACTATATTTTATAGAGCAGTAAATCAGTGTTTGTATTGGAACCAAAAATTGACACAAACCGGCTAATTTTGCAAACCTATCAATCTCATGTTCATCTTCTGGTCTGCATCTATGCTGCTGAAGTGGAAGGGAATTTGGCATTATCATGACCAATGTAATTTATTTTAAGATGTGTAAATAGGTAGATGAACTTAATATATAATATTGATATTTCCATATGTAGAATGTTTTTTAACTAATAGCAAAACAGTGCAGCATACGGTGGTGCTATTTTAATGTTCACGACATACAACAGCATTCCTACAACTGTTGCATACAGCTTTTGTCTCTTATATGTATCTCTTATGTGTATACACACATGGCAATTTTCAGCATGATTCCAGAGTTGACCACCATATGAACACTATATTTTAGATTTGTTGGTGATTGGTATTGTTGAAATGTTTTTTGAAAGGTTTGCTTAATGTACATGTAATTGTACTGTAGGATTATTTAAGAATATTGTATGTATAACATTTTGTGAGTCTTACTTTGCCTTGTAAATATTAGCTTGTTCGTTTTAGTTTTAGTTTCATTATAGGGAAAACAATAAAAGAATAAAGAACTAGTGATTGAGGTTTGTTTTTAGATCCTGAAGCCTGATTTCCATTTAGACGTAATTTTGTAAACAAGTCATTTTCACTTATGAGAAAGTCTGGACGTAAAATTGTCTTTATTTCTGTATTCAAATCAGTCATTGACATGGCACAACCTTACTATATCCTGTGTTTACTCTCAATCAGACAACCAAATGGATCCAATGTTGTGATGTCTACTGCCTCGTGCTCTAAAGGTATCATAAGTTTCCAGGAATGTAACATCATCCGATATGGCTTACTATCCAACTTTCCTGAATACGTATAATCTCCTAAAATTGGATGGCCAATATTCAGGCAGTGCACCCTGATCTGATGTCGACGCCCTGTAATTGGATGAACTGCAAGTTTTGAGATGGGCTGACTTTTGTAATATCCTCTGTTAAGAACTTTAATTCTTGTTTCTGCTGACTAGAGAGGATAAAAAACAACAGATGCTACACCTTGTGGGAATGGAGGAATTATGGTGGCATTAGGCAAGATCAACTTGCACCTGAGGACAATAATAAGTTATATATTTATAAAAATGTTTCTCTTTTCCTTCTAAAGGTGATCCTAAAGAGTATGGTATACCTTGGGATGTGTGTATTTCATTTCGTCTGATGTCATAGCAAATCCTGTGACATCACTTGAGTCCTTTCCAATCATAGACTTGATAACTTGTTCATCTTCTGAGACATGACCACGCACCTTATAATGTACAGATAATTGTTTCAAATCATTCTGGTTGAAGTCTGGGTTATTATTGCAGACAGACTTAGCCTGCCCCACATGCATCTCTAATGATATTAGTGTATCAGACTTTGAATTGCTCATATGTTGAATGTTAAGATAGGACCATTGTTCAAAATACACACTCTTACCAAAGCCAAGTACTCTTTTTCCACTTTTCTTTCCTTAAACAGTCGTACCACTTCTCCAGTTGTCTTTTTATTCAATGTAATGCACAATGCTCCACTTGTGGCATAGTCCAACTGGTGCGGAAAACGAAAGCCAGAACAAACATGGTTATCAACAAGGTCCGGTCTTTGATCACCCAATATACTGGCAACAGTTTTACCATGCGTCTGTAGCTCTTTTTCACCATTAATACATAAATCATAAGGTTTATTGATAACAATGTAGTTTTGTGTTTCAAGAAGAATAGATATTGGCTCTGAGATTGCAGGATTGCTCATAAAGGTATACAGTGTAATATATTTATCGGATTAGTAAAACTGTAGAAACTTCACTGGGTTAATCTCTGTGGTTAATCCCTGATTAATCTAAGAAGATTATCCAGTCAGATTAAGGATTAAACTTCAATGCGAAAAAATACGAATCGGGTGATTAGTAAAGGAAGAGATTAGTTTTCGTAGCCATATTGAAATTTACATGCTACAAAATTTCAAAAGGTTTTCTGCCAAATCTCGACAAATTGTGCAGATTTTATTTGTGTTTTGCCGTGGAATTGATCTACAATGCCAAGAATACTTATTAAAGGAGGTGTTTGGAGAAACACAGAGGTTTGTGAACAGAAATAATAGTATTTCGTTACTTGGCATTACAGTTATTTACACTACCAGAATGGTTAACCGCTCAGAAAAGTTTATGTGCTGTTTAACGTGTATTAATTTTTTCATAATCTGTATATTTGGTGATGTTTCCCGTTGTTGAATGTTAGGATGAAATTCTCAAAGCAGCTGTAATGAAATATGGCTTGAATCAGTGGTCACGAATTGCTTCCTTGCTTCACAGAAAGTCAGCTAAACAGTGCAAGGCAAGATGGTAAGGACATCTCACAAGCATGCCATGTGCAGTTTATGACAGCAGTTTATTATAATCTAGTAATACCACTGTTGTTATAATTTTAGGTATGAGTGGTTGGATCCTAGTATTAAAAAGGTAAGTCTTCACTTGACTCTGCAGTTTGATGAAAGAAGGTAAAATGTATATACATGTAGTTTCTGATGTAATTTTACTTTATTTGTTCAGACTGAATGGAGTCGTGAGGAGGATGAGAAACTTCTGCATCTTGCTAAACTGATGCCAACACAATGGAGAACGATTGCGCCACTTATTGGTCGTACAGCATCACAATGCCTTGAGAGATATGAGTATCTTCTCGATCAGGCTCAAGCTAAGGAAGGCGAGGAAACTGGGGATGATCCACGGAAACTGAGACCTGGCGAGATTGATCCAAATCCCGAAACCAAACCAGCCAGACCTGATCCTATTGATATGGATGAGGATGGTCAGTGTTGTTTATCATGATGAGACAATTTATAGATCTGGTTCAAATGGTCATAAGTGGATATGCCTTTTCTTTTTCTCCAACATATAGAACTTGAAATGTTATCAGAAGCCAGAGCTCGTTTAGCCAACACACAGGGCAAGAAAGCAAAAAGGAAAGCCAGAGAAAAACAGCTTGAGGAAGCTAGAAGATTAGCAGCATTACAGAAACGTAGAGAATTAAGAGCTGCCGGCATTGAGTAAGTGTGAGATGCTGATTCATGAACAAATGGGGTATCATATGGTTTGACCTGTGTCTTTGTAGGTATTGTAATCTTTGCAGTGCTGTTCAATGTACGCTGTCTATGCTTTTAGAATTAAGAAACATAGAAAGAAGAGACGTGGTGTGGATTATAATGCTGAAATACCATTTGAAAAGAAACCTGCTCCTGGTAAGGAGTAAAGCAAAGTTCTTTAGTTTCATTCTCATTTGATACATATTTGCTCTGTTCAATAGCTTGCTTAGCAGAAATGCTTAGAAATGACGTCACCTTGTAATAGAATTTGTATGAATACATTTTACTAGGCTTTTATGATACGGCTGAGGAAAATATTGCTCCAATTGAACCCGACTTTAAGAAATTGAGACAGGATAACTTGGATGGGAAAATGAGAGATCAGAAAGAAGCTGAGGAACGACGGAAGGACAAGGAAAAACTAAAGAAAAGAAAAGAAAGTGATTTGCCAGGAGCTGTTATGCAGATCAACAAGTAAGTACGGGGTAGATTGATCAACAGTAATGTCGCTAGCCAGAAGAGTGAGACATATTCATATATATATATGTTTGTGTTCTACACCTTAATTACCTATTTTTAAACAAAGAAGGGTTGTCAGAATAGAAGTCCATTCTGCAGTATTCAATTGAATATATCTTCTTTATGAAATTAGTCAAATTTTTCTGTTTATTTATAAGAAATCTAGTTTCAACATAAATTTGAAGGTGAAATAAAAGCAGAGATATTAAGTTGTTTCAAGTTGTCCCTGTCCTTTTCATCATTTCTGATTATAGCCTGGTTGTCACAAATTTCTAACTGCTTTTCTCTTCTTGTTTTTTCTCAGGTTAAATAATCCAGATCACATTAAAAAGAGAAGTAAACTTGTTCTTCCTAAACCTCAAGTTTCTGATGCTGAACTGGAAGAGGTAATGAGTGTGAAAGTTGGTGTCCAAAAAAATACCTTATCTGAGTTTTTTAAACCAAACACAGTGGTTTCTTCACTAGCAGATAAATAGTTTGCCAGGAAAATATTTGTTTGAATTTTTACTGTTATTCATTTAGGGTGATAAACATTCATTATGGTCATAAATAGATTAGTTTATTTATTCTGCTCACAATTAAACAAATCAATCCAAATATTACTCTACCATTGGAAATCCCATGTAAAACATGCACCATTGTTCCTTGCACAATCTTGCAGGTAGTTAAAATGGGGTTTGCAAGCGAGACTGCTCGAGCCAGTGTGGAAGATGGAAGCACAGCATCTGATGCTCTGCTTGCCGAATATTCTATCACCCCGGGGAACCTCAATCAACTAAGAACACCCAGAACTCCAGCATCACAAGACACAGTCCTTCAGGTACATATATACCAAACAAATGCCTGTATTTCACTATCTATTATTGAATGCATTCACACAAATTGCTCTTCTTCTACCTAAAGGAAGCTCAAAATATCTTAGCTCTTAACCAAGTGGACACTCCACTAAAAGGAGGAATGAACACACCTCTTCTGGAGTCCAGTTTCGAGGGTGTTACACCCAAGAGAGCTGATGTGAAAACACCCAACATGATGCTTGGAACACCATTCAGAACGCCACAGGCGGATGGACAAGGTCTCACACCACGTTTGAGTGGAACACCAGGACCTAAAGGGACAATGACGCCAGGACGAGGGTCGGTTAGGGACAAACTAAGCATTAATCGAGAGGATGCATTGGTCGATGAATACGAGTCTGCACATATGGCAAGACAACAACAAGTTAGTTCAACAACATTTCTGTTCGTTATATGTGTCAAACTGAACCTCAAAGCCTCACGAGTTCTTGCTTTCTCCATTAGGAAGAACAAAGATCACGACTTAAAGAAAGCCTTTCCAATCTTCCTGTTCCATCAAATGATTTTGAGATTGTTGTTCCTGAGGTAATATACGTAGTTCCTGCCAGCTCTAGATCCCGACGGTGACGACCTGCCCCCCTCTCTCCATTGCCCCCTTCTCCCCATTGCCCTCTCTCCCCATTATCGCCTCCTTCCATTGCCCTCTGTCCCCATTGCCACCCTTGCTATGTCTCTGGGAAGGGTAGAAACCAATGTGACTGAATTCCAACAGGAGTAGGAGTAATCTGGCGTAGTTATTACTTTGGTTGCAAACGTTTTAGGCTGCGCCAGAGGAACAAGAGAAATCCATGGACGAAGGTTTCGTCGAAGATGCTTCTGACGTTGATGCCAGAGCTTATGCACTCAAAGTTTTAGAAGGTGAAAATGGTTTCCAAATCATTTATAATCCTTTCCCATGCAGTATACTCATGCAAAACTAGTTCATTCCTTCGCTAACGTTTGTATATAATATGCAGAGGAGAAAGAACGTAAATTATGGTCACAAGCTGTTCAACGCGACTTGCCACGTCCATCAGATGTCAACACAACCATTCTACGTCCTGCAAATATAGAGCCACCTTTAACAGCACTGCAGAAGGTACACACTATTGCCTTTAGAACTGATAATTGTTGCTTTTAGAACTGATATTTATTGCCTTTAGAACTGATAATTGTTGTCTTTAGAACTGATATTTATTGCCTTTGGAACAGATATTTATTGCCTTTAGAACTGATAATTGTTATCTTTGGAACTGATATTTATTGCCTTTAGAACTTATATTTATTGTCCTTTGAATTGGCTAGTACAGTTGTGTTGTATCAACGTTTTTAACTGTTCCATTAGGCGGAAGAGTTGATCAAGAGAGAGATGATCATTATGCTACGTAACGATATTGTAAATCATCCAACCAGCAGTCAGGTTGAACTTCTGAAACAGAAGAAAACACGCAACGCTGTCCAGGCCGTGATCGCTGCAAATCAGGCAGCTCTGGAGCGAGACCAACACGAGAAATTCACTGAAGAAGAAATGACAGATGCTAAGAAAATGCTGGCGAAAGAAATGGATTTTGTTAAACAAAGGATTGGCCATGGTGACCTTCCCATAGAGTCTTATTCAAAAGTATGGGATGAATGCTATGCACAGGTTAGCTCCGTTTTACCCTTAAACAAAGATACGAGGACGGTTGTCAAAGGTGGTTAAATTTTAAGTACTCATCAAAACTTGCTTAGCTTTAATTGTGAACGATTGGTGTCACTTAATATTGCGATAACTTTCATCATTTCAGGTCATGTTTTTACCGTCGCAAAAGCGATATACAAGAGCTGCATTGGCTAGCAAAAAAGACAGATTGGAATCCCTGGAAAAACGTCTTGAGGTTGGCGATTTGTGACTATGATATGTACCTGTTCATTGTGAGTCATGATATACTAGAAAATATTTTTCTTTACCAAAAGCTCAATCGCGGTCAAATGGCTCAAGATGCTAAAAAGGCTTCAAGAATTGAAAAGAAGTTGAAAGTTCTGTTAGGAGGATATCAGGTTAACTTAAATAAACTCTTTTAATTCCAACAGTGATCCTGTATATACATTCCCACTTTGTGAGTTACTACAGTAGCTACTGAACCAGGTTGTATCACTTGTACGAGGACTGGATTTAGAAATAGCAAGCTTTAATAAAGGTTGTACGGAGGGAAAGAATAGATCACTATCCCGTGGATAGCACTATCCAGCTTTCGTTAAACCGGCCCCAATCTTCTATATATTTTTCAGTCACGCGCTGTTGGATTAGTCAAGCAATTATCAGATATTCATGAGCAAGTTGAGCAAGCTTACGTCGAGAAACGAACCTTTGAAGAACTGAAAAATCAGGAGACGCAATCAATTCCAAAGCGTTTACAGGTTCGTTGATTGGATGACGATGCTCGTCTGTTTTTTGCTGTAGTTCATGTAGCTGCAACAATTCTTGATAGCATTTGAATTGCAAAATGATAAATTCATGTTGTAAATCTGTAGGCTCTGGAAGAAGACGTTGAAAGGCAATCGGAACGTGAACGAGAGCTTCAACGACGCTTTGGCGAACTTTTGGTCGAACGTGACAACCTAAAGCATTCAACGATGTCATAGCAACGAGGCAATGACGTGTGTACATAGATCAGTCGACTCCACACATCCCCCCCCCTGGGCTTCAGGCCATAGGATTAATTAACTCATTATGACCCAGTGACACCTTTAGTAGGTCGTACCATGAGTTATTACCACTAGTCATTACCACTAAATCACTAGTTATTATCAATAATATATTTTTATTGGAATAGAATTTACATATGCGTGGATTTTTGGTCTCTTTGGTATTTTTATGTAGCGATGTTTGGCATATCCTGTATTACGTAATAGGCCTATAAATTGAGTTAAAGGTACCGACTGGTACAGACCACTGGGAATGGCGGAAAAATCAGAAGTCAAAACAGACGAAAAAGCTTTTAAACAACATCAACTGGTTGTTTTCGGGGCCACTGGTGCTACAGGAACGGAGGTTGTGAAGCAAGGTTTAGAACTTGGACATAACATCACTGCTATTATTAGAACTCCTGAGAATTTCAAGTTAAGGTGGGTGTTTGCTGAAGTGTATGTATTTGATCAGACAGCTACAGACTGACAGATATTTTAAATTTAGAACCAAGGCAGGTTCTTTATTCTGCATTAACCTGGACCCACCATGGTTTGACTGGGCCCATGTGTCATGCTGAACACTGGTTTTCAAAGGGAGAGGAGACTCTATTGACAGTAATAAACTGAGCAGTATATTTTCCATTTGATAGACATGAAAACTTGAAAATTGTGAAAGGAGATGCATATGACATTGAAACATTTGAGGCAGAACTTTCTGGAAAAGATGCAGTAATGTCATGTCTTGGATCAACATCAATTGGTCCATTTGCCACTACAACACTGTATTCTGATACGATGAAGGTGATTTTTGAAGCCATGAAAAGGTAAGCCTTTGAAGAAGTACATCTCTCTTCAGGCAATGTATGCTCCTGGTAACTGGAATGTCATCAGTTGGTTCACCACTAAATTAATTATTTTAATCAAATATATTTGCCTTAGACACTCTGTATCACGCTTTGTTGTGTTATCATCCTGGTGTACAAAGAAAGGTCCTGAAAGTCCATGGTTCTTTGAGTGGATATTGAGACCATTTCTCCTAGGTGGAATACTGAAGGATATTGCTGTGATGGAAGACTTTTTAGAGAGCACAGATCCAACTGAAATGAACTACACAATTGTGAGACCTCCTCAATTAACATATGGTAAGCAACACTTGAAAAATTACCACACCAGGGGCCGGTTGTATAAAACTATTTAACTACACTTTGCATAGGTAAATCCTAGTTAACTCAGAAATACACAACCCTGATTGTGGCAAAAGTCACTTAAAATTGGTAACTGAGCTGAGCAATAATCACTTGTCTTTATTTCTCAGCCACAGGTAATGGTAATTACAAGATAGAAGAAGGTCAGTGTAATACTGGTACTTCGGCTAGTATACCACGGGCTGATGTAGCCCATTTTATGCTTGTGGCATTGGAAACGGACAAATATGACAGAAAAGCAATGGCAATTGCAAGTCTATGAGTCAAAGCGAAAATCTCTTCTAATATATCAAGCCAAATACAGAATTTAAATAGACAACACAAACTTAACCTGCACAGATGACGAATTTTCAGTTTACACATGGCAGCCCTAAGATTATACGCTACGCATGCACCATCATTGTTTTTTTCATCCTCTATGAATAATATGGCTTATACGAACTAAATACGTCAATTGTGATTAATGCTCTTCCGTATTTGAAGCTGAAGTGGGGGCTTTAAACTCGGAAACCAAATATTTTCATGAGCATTTTCACGTGAAATTTCTGTGTAAAATTTCTGAAAGGAAACGATACAGGTTTTGTTCTGTATTCCTTGACATTGCCTTTTAAGTGCTACTGCTGTAGGTAGAGTGTTTATTTTTTACATAGCATCTCCGGCAAAACAGTCAAACTGCATATTATATTGTATGATTACAATATGACAAAGGTCATTGACACATTGAGGAGTGCACGTTTTCAAGTACTGCCCAGCTGAGAAAGCTATGACGTGTGTTTTGATATCCGTCAATGAGATTTTAAGCGCGACAAACAGCAGTCAAACCATCAGATTATATAAAACCATTCACTTATTCACTACCTCGCTGAAGACGGCGCAGAAAAGATTTTATTCAACGAAAAACCCGTGGGTTTAAAAACAAAATATAATAATGAAATTGTTGGTATTCGGTGGGACAGGCCCAACTGGACAAGAAGTCGTAAAACAAGCATTGGAGCTCAGTCATATCGTCACTGTTATTGCCAGAACACCAGAGAATATGGAAATTAGGTAATAACCACTCGAGTACATTTGACCATATACATGTATGTGTTTACCCGTTTTTAACCTTTTGACGTTTCTTGCAAGTCGTTTTTGACATCATTTATCATGCTTTGTAAATGTTAGATCACAAGTAATATGGGTGCTTTTGCCGTTCAAAATTGCGTACGTTTTCAGTACAGTTATCCAGAGGAATGTTGCGCAAAATGTTTACGCATATCAAATATCTTCACAGACGTTGTTACAGATTTTCACAGATAGCGCGCAGGATCCTTCTTGTGGAAGACGTGAATTACTGCATGCGCACGATTAACGCGTTTTTCGAGAGTTTTAAATTCTCTTTCTTCCGTATTATCTTCCGCAAACGAGATTACGAGAACACCTGGTTTGGTGTCAAGCAGGAATTCCGGGACCTACGTTACGAAAACAGCCGAATTTACTGAGCATGCCCAATTTTTCCAGTTCGAAGACCACCATAGAAGAAGCGAAGGGGGTAATTTATCCTCTAAATCCCTCCTAAAATAATAGCAAGTCGTTGAACATCAAATTGTCTCCATTAAGAAGAAAGCTAAAGTTCTGTCTTGCCCCGGGCTTTCAAGCTTCCGTCACCAAGAGGTAAGCTAAGGTGTTTAGACTACACTCAGGTTGGCAGGTCTTCAAAAGCGCTATAAAAGTTTTTTACTGACAAATGTTTCTTTTCTTTTAGACATGATAACCTCGAGGTTCTCCAAGGTGATATTTGTGACCTTAGTAGTTTTGAGTCAGCATTGGCTGGAAAAGATGCGGTCTTGTCTTGTTTGGGATCAAAAGGCACTAAAGGTCCTTTCGCTTTTACATCATTGTACTCTGAATCCATCGCAAATATCGTCGAAGCAATGAAAAGGTTAAAGCATTTGACTTACGTCGCTGTTACACTATGCATTTTTTCCTGCAACTTTCAATGCAATTATAATTCTGAGGGATGATAATTAGTAAAGAGCGTTCGAAATGCTAAGAAAACGTTAGCAGATCGTGAGAAATATTCGTATTTTACAACTTTAGATGCCTCAGGGGTAGAATTGCAATGCAAGTTGCAAGGAAAGTTGCATAGTGAAACACGGCCTTTACCTGTGTCACTATCAACACACGACTTAATGTTGAGTTAAAACCTAACAAAAGTCAATGAAATTACTGATTTGGAGCTGAGAGATATTAAAAGGTCCCCAATTTAAGAATACTAAGGTTTAAACAAGGTTATGCCAAACAACGGGCAATTTTAGAGCGATTAAAAACCCACTATCCGGTGGATAGCGTTATCCAACTTTCGAACAACCGACCCTTACTTTATCCAGTGTATAATATCAGATCAGTGGGAGTGTCTTCTTGAATTTACGTATAGGCATAAAGTGCGTCGTATCATAGCGGTAACATCATGGTGTACACAACCTGGTCCAAACAATCCTTGGTTTATTGAATGGTTTTTAAAACCATTTATTATCGGAGCAAACTTACGAGACATGGCCATGATGGAGGAGTTCTTACAAGATACAAAACCAAACGAAATCAATTACACCATTGTTAAACCACCTGGACTTTCGTTAGGTCGGTATTTACACATTGTATTTGCTTTATTCAAACTATTTCCAGATGAAAATCGAGAAGGAATTGCATTGTCAGAGATTTATTTTTGTTTGTTTTTCTTCTTAGCTGAAGGAAACGGTAATTATCAGGTGGATGAAGGTCAGTGTAACGTTGGTACTTTAATGCGTATTCCGCGTGCTGATGTTGCGCATTTTATGTTAAAAACACTGGAAACTAAGGAATACGACCGCAAATGTCTGGCAATTGCCAGTAACTATGAACAGCCATCGTGAAAACTCTGCGCTTTTGTGCTTCCACGAGATTTTGGTCATTAGAATTGACCGCGTGGATTTTCATGATTTGCGCTCTTATTTGGGACAACTGACAAGTATATTATGCTTGTTGTCATAGAATTAGGGAAGATAACGTGGTTTATGCAGGGAATAATATAATTAATATCATTTTATGTTAGCAATATGCTTCGCTGCTGTGCTTAAATCTAGCTATTTTACCTCACAGGAAAAAGTGGACTGATATAGTGATATTTAAAAATAAGATTTATTAAATCAAATTAATGCTATAATAGTAATACTATAGGTAGATTAAAATCGGTCATATTTGCGTGTGAAGTAGTTATGCTTAAGAAGTGACACAAATACAGTGTTGAAGTAGGCTTTTAGCGCCATTTTATATATATAAGGTCACGTTTGAAATATTTTAAATCGAGGAAATAAGCCCTGCTGTTGAAATCTGATTGATTTATGTACTCTTTATATAAATTACACGCTTTCTTAATGTTGTGTGACAGATATTTGCATAGTCCCTTCGTAACTTAGATCAAGCAAAATCTCTAACAGCATGTGGTCTACAACGCATACAAGTAACTATAGATCCTTTTTTCCGTGTCAACACTCACATGTATTTACATAATTTTATATATACACGATAGTGCTTTAATTTCCTTCATTTGAAATGCAAAATGAAAAGAATAACAATATGTTTTTAACTGTTATTAATAAATAATGAGGTTCATCACGTAACAAAGAAAGAGAAACAAAGAATTTTTTAATACTTCTTTTAAAACTTTATGCGAGCTTTTTAATTTTTATGTACGCAATTGTGTCTCCTTTAAATTCCGAGGCTAAAACAACTTTATGAAAAATGAAAATATTGTAAAACAAGTCAAGTTTTAAAATCTATAAAATGTCTATAAATATCCTCAAACGTACTAGAATATACAATGTGCCATATACGATGGCATTGTTGTTACTCGAGGTGTATTGAACCATATGCTAAACTTTATATCTCATTTGAAATTGAATCATAAAGTTCGAGTATATTAAAAACGTCAAATGGCGTTGTCAAGAGCTTAATTATATAAACAATGAAATGGGACCTAATTATGATGAGTGACAGATATTGAATGCGGGCAAATTATATCTGGAGTATATAAAATGAAACCAGCGCTGCGTTAATTAGCTTTGTCTAGGAACCGGCGATGACAAAGCAATGTAATGGAAACCACGAATCCAAACAGCCAGGCTTCCTATGCCTTTTTTGCGAACGCAAAAATAGCAAACGAGAGTCGTATTTACCTCGGCGTAGCGAAATTTGCATACCCCACCTAGGTCGTTTTAAGTGTAATTCCCATCAAAGAAAACAGCTTTTCGAGTTTTTTTTCAATATATGTATTTTTAACAAATCTTTTACTATATAATACCTTTAATTTTAGATATAAATGTACACATATACTTTCAAATCTTCCAATATATAGATGTGTCTCTATTTTATAGAGCTTTTACCAATGTCATATTAATAACACAGCGAACTGCACCGGCACTCAGGTTTCCGAAATCACCCTGTAGTTTCTCCTTATCGTCCATTCGGATGTCTGGATTTGATATGTCTATCTAAATCTCTTCTTCTTACGAGTACTTTACCACAATACTGGCATTTGTACGGTGTGTCCCCAACGGCATGAAGGCGAATGTGCTTCGCCATATTGCTCGGGTCTCCAAATCTTTTTTGACAGTACTTGCACTTAAGTGGCTTATAACCAGTATGAATTCTCATGTGTATCTTCAATCCATACTTTCGAGTATATATCTTCCCGCAAAGTTCACAAAGATAGCCTTTATTGTTCACTTTCTTCGAGTTCAACTCGTTCAAGACATCTTCATTTTGTCCGTTTTTCGATGATTGTTTAATGACATTGCTAAACTGATCGTGGCCTAAGGAGCCGCTCGGACCCATGTTTGTTAATTCTGGAAGAACTTGTGAGCTGGGGGCACCAAAACGATTGCCTATGCTCATATTTTGTTCGTTAAATAACATCGAGTTTACTGTTGGTTGGTTACTGTATGGGGACATGCTTTGAAAGCCAGGATATGGTGGTTTGTAGTAGGGCATCGGTTGTGTGGTTTGGACTTGAGTGCGTGGAGGAAGAAAAACAGATGAGTTAAACATGTCCATTTGATGCGGGGGAAACCCATTGCCATCAGGAGAGAGTTTGTAATTTAAGTTATTAAAATCGCCAAGATTCAGACGATTTATGTCGGTGGTCGAAGTTGGAGTCGCGAGGGGATCCAAAGTTTTCAATCCATTTAGATTGCCCCCGAATTGATTCTGAAATCCCGGTGAAGGAAGACTCCCCGAACGATGAAGATCGCTTTTCACGTTGAAACCCTCGTTTGAGAAGGAGCCGAAACTTGAAGGAACGAGCGGTGTTAGGCTTGGAGGCTCCGACGGTATTTCGTTGTCATTGTCGCATTTCTGAAGTTCTGGGGCCTGCAAGCTTGGATGATTCGTCTCGATATGGTTGGATAGAAATGGTTGTTGTGGCGAAGTCTTCTGCGGACTAAGACTGTCGTTATTCAAAGTCGAATTCAAGTTGAATTTCGCAAAAGGATCGTTGGTAAGGTTTGGTAGGAAAGGAAAGTGACCCATCGGGGTTCCGAAACCGTTCATCATTCCGTTTATAGGACTTAAGGAGTTCAGACCGTTAGCGAAACCGTTGAAGCCCGAACCATTCGAGTGCATCTTGTCCAAATTCGTTAGCGATGTGGAGGAGTTAGGACCCTCGACCTCACTAAAGACATCAGGATTCTCGACTTGTCTTGCAATATGTGGATCTCGCAGTTCTGGTAGAGATTCTTCATTCTTGGAGGCAGAGATGTTAGGGTTATCCATCCCAGGCGTTAAATACATCGTCATTTTCGTCCGCTGCTTGTTTCGTTCCGGCTGTGTGCTGGTGATACTTGCTGCCTGTGGAAGACTACTTCTGTTTTGTTGTGGAAGAATAGCTTTTATACTGGTATTGTATGCAAGCTTATAATTTCCGCATGTCAATGAGATATGTACTCGAAAAGAATGGCTATAGCGAAACAGTTGTGAACACTGGAAACAACGATAGCCTTGCTCACCTGCAAAGAATGAGATAACAGGTGGATTGAGTGGAGTTAATGATACGTATAGGCATTTAGAACGAACCAATCACTATCAAGTATTCACCATTGCCAGCACGCACGTGGTACATTCGAATAAACGTATCGGCTTTGTTCTTATTTATGAACGAATCGCATACATTAGATTTGAGCTCAGGTCATTTCTTATTTATAACACATGTACCCACTGACAATAATAAAATAAGCGTTCTTACGATGCATTAACTCTCTAAATCTGCTACAAATGTATCTATACTTTCCATTCTAAATGCAATTAGAAGCTAATTTAGGACACAGTAAATTGTTGGGTGGTGTGTAGAAAATTACTATCTGTTGGCATGCGAATCTTTGTTTTGATGAACGGCCTTTAATCCAGGCCGTCTTGCGTTGATGAACACAAAATTAGCATTTTTATGGACCACTCCATTGTTTCAAAACAGCAGGAATTAAAATGACTTAAAAAGACAGCCTTTTCAGTAAAAGTTGCAATTTGAGTTCGTGAACTCGTAGAAACTGTTCCAACGATAAATAAAAAAAATTTCGACAGAATCCGTTTAAAAATTAGCATGTTAACATCAAAAGTTGGAGATTAAAGGATTCTCTTACAACAGCTGCGATTTTACTTGACAGACGGCCAACATACAAATTGTCAGATTGTTTTATCAAGAGCTAACAATTACCCGTGGACAATGAGTGAAACAAAGGCGCGTGCTTTAACCACGAGGTTCTTACACACGCGAGTTCAGTCCAGAACTCTACAGCTGTTCTGAGCTTCGTTTTGTTTAGGTTTTATTGAATGGCATGTTTATTACGACGCGGAAAAGGCCAACCGATTTACAAAGGTTTCTGAAGGAAGGGCTATCGGAATGTGTTAGGACGCTTAGGGTATTCTCAACCGCGCTGGGCCAATATAGTTTTAATTATACTACACGAAATGTATGTGTCTGTTCTGTAAATGTATCCCCAGACCTCTTGTGATCGGAATTGTAACAGCCTGGTAGGCACGAATCCAGAGACCTGTACCACCCTCCTTGATGAAATTGTCAATTAGAAATCATAATTATAGATAATCATATAGTTTGAAGTTGAGAATGGTCTTGGAAAATGTTTTGCATATGGAAATAAACAGTTGATGTAATGTAATAATCTTCAAGTCCGTCTGGGTCCCCCTTAAGGTGTAATCATTTGCTTGTAATGATAAAGAAATAGAAGTATTTCTATCACAAAGAAACATAATTTTTATAGTGTATATATAGTCAATCACAATTCACCTTGAATTCATTCAAGGTGTGCGTGTTTTGATTAAAAGAAGGCATTACAAATAATATTTTCAATTCTCGAGAATATATTATTATAACAGAACGTGGCCTGTTTTATTACCATTTATATTTTTCAAAATAAATGAAATTTCACATCGTGTCGCGTTCATGAAGTGAAATTAAACTACTTGCGTGAATTTTATCCGTGTTTTGCGGTGAAAACGCGCTTAGAATGTCATAATTTATTAATGTGTTGCTAAATAACCTGCTGTCGTGGTGCTTTGTCAGACCGAAACTCGTTATTTTAAGTAACAGTTAATTGTAAACAATGTCAAGTAAAGTTATTACTTTAAGTCCCTTCCGACTTTTTAGAGATATTTCATGACATTTCATCTAAATATACTTTGTATATTCAATTTCATGTATCAGCACTTTGTCCCTGCCTGAGAAGAGAGCCTTCTCTCTTGCAAATCGAATTGTATCTGTATCATTTCTTATGTTAATCTCATTTTATTCCACTTGTTAATCTTTTAGAAATGATATTGTGTTTTATATAAGGTTCATATTATGTAAATTTTCATCAATGAATTTCACATTTTCCTGTCACATGGAGCATACCTGTGACATCCGTTACTATATATATGCACGTGTGGTGTTTTATCCATTTTAAAAGGTCTGAATTTACTATTTTTTAGTTGTAATGCCCTAAAATGTATCGCATGTAAACTTGCTCAGCTTAAACTAAGTGTACGATGTACGAACCAGATTTTAATATGTAAACCCGAAGAGATACACTAGGTTCTGGCTTACGTCATATTGTTTTGGCTCGCATCTCAGAAGGACTGGGTTCAGTTAATGGCATCAACTTGGATCCAGGCTGTTTGCAGAAAACGCGCGCTCCACCTCCGGCGTAGTGAAATGGCCCCGAATTTAGCTAACAGTATAGTTGGTATTGATGAAGATTGGAATATTGGGTTGATATGCAATGGACAATTCTTCCAAAGGAACTGTCGTCATTCATGGCAACGTTAAAGAATTTCAAAAAGAGGAATAACTACATGAACTTACCCTCTTCCAATTTTTCACACTTGGCCAAACCCAGTTCCTGAGCAAGCTTCTCCTCAAACCAGACCAACAATTCTTGTCCTTTCATAATATCTCTTACAATTTGACAATAAAACACTCCGGCATCACGGTATATCTCAACGTTAGTCTCCTCTTCATTCCGAGCGTAGTTCATGAATCTCACCCACCAAATGTAGTCAGAATCACCACAGCGGACTTTACCATTCTTCCAGCTTACCTATATATGATGAGAAATAGAGAGTTATCTTTGATGCATTTGAAGGCATTTATGGAAATCTTCGATATCGTTTTGTCCTCCAAATTCAAGCGAACTGTTAGTTAGATGCTATGTAAGATGTATGTTCATTGTTGGTCATCAGTTTGTTCAATTTGGAGGCGGAATACTAGTTTTCTTGCCCTGGAAAGTATTCTAGATGTTTCTTACCCAGTCAAAGCGACATCATGTCCATTACTATAGTTAATCCCATTTTTATATATCCGCTCTAAAAGGTTATAACTTTCCATAATACTTGGATATACTTTGAGAAGCACCATTATTCCACACCATCAAGCTCAAGCAACAGACCATATATTATTATGTATGGCCTTTTTCATGTTGGTAAGAAAAACTTCCACACAAAAGAACCGTGTTCAACTAATTCTTCTTAACCATCAACCAACCCTCATTTGGACGCGCGCAGTTGAAAAATGCGTATATGTATATAACAAACACGCCGTCTTATAATTCGAACATGCAGGTGGAAACACACTTTGCTGGTGCTCATCGAAAAGACAGCCATGCCACTGATGCCAGTCGATATATAATTACCATTAGTTTATCTCAAAAACACAAGAATGCTCGTTGAATACGGTGCTTTACTTCTCTCCATAATAATCTGATTTCATTCAGGGCGTTCAGTATTCGCTTGAACAAAAATCTTCGAAACATTTCGTCTGTATGGGTACCCTGGTCTTGGTTGAAAAACGCCAAAGAATGGCTGACCATGTACCATATTCGTGCGAGAAATATTACTATCTTTACTTATGTTTCCCATCATATTATAATCGACGCTTTCCAGTTGTAAAGAAGTTGTGTCGTTAGGGTTTTCTAGCGTTTCGCAGTTACAGGTATATTCCATAAGCGAAGCTGGTGTTGGTCGCTCAAATTTACTGTGAATTGCTGCCATATACCATGTGTTTGGACGAAATATATCCTTACAATCACTTCTGGTTTGATTGTAATATATCCACGGAATCTCTCTTCGCGTTTTGGTGGTTGTCAGACAAGTTATTTCGGTGGAAAATTGCTTAAAACTAGCTGACATTGAACTTGTCATAAGCACTACCAGTTGCGAATGAAAACAGATACGTTATAGAGCTATGTTAACATCAAGGAGCCACAAGTTGACTGAGACCGCGAAAAGACAGGTATTAGCTTGCAAACTACGGGTGGTTGGAACTCTATCTTAGCTTGTTTTTAGTTTAAAACCTTCAAAATCTTTCGTTCACAAAGGAGACTAACCTTTGTACATCTCCCTCAATCATATCTTTGTCTATTGCTAATGAATACTGTGCCTTAAGGCGTTCGTCGCAGACAAGAAAAGAAAACTCGGTTCATTGACTACGAGTGTTAAATATGCGGCCATTATGTATATGCCTTGTAATGCAATCAGTCGTATCAATATTAACCTGTAAGATTTTTAACTTACAAGTAAAATAGAATATATTTAAGAAAGGTTTTGAGATATGTAAATGTGCTGTGATCCTCCAAGCTTTGCCAATTTTTAAACTTTCATCCATGGAACGACATAATATACGCGTACAGGTATGCTCATTTTCTTTGAGCACTTAAACCATCAGAGCCTGAATAAGCAGGTCTAGAAGCACTGGATGTTTCCTTGTACTTCAGTTCATTTCGAGTATATTGGTACGTTTATAAGAATCGTAACAGAAGGTGCAATTGATGATTTTCTGTCAGTTGATTCCCAGCAACTTATTCATCATTGAGTGGCTAGTGGCGTGTGCCAGCAGTGAAGAAATTGGGTAAGCCTGGAATGAGAGTGCTATGTTGGAAATAGAGATCGTTGAAAAAGAGCTCGAAGTTAACAGAAGATGAAGTGAAATGGAGAGATGACAATTGGAGAGAAGATTTGAAAATTGATGAGATTGTATGAAATGGACACAATGAATCCATCCATGACTCCAAGATTGTCTTACAAATGAGATGGTTGGAATAGTCTGTGATAAGAAAACAGTTAAGAAAGAAAAGGATAGAGTTTATTTGGAAAGGATGGTAGAAAGTTAAATGCGTGGCTGGAACTTGTTGATTGGAAATAGTTTCGTTTAAGAAGAACAGACTGAATAAAATGAAGTAATGGGCTGTGAAATATGATGTGAAAGATTAGTCGAAAGATTATGCAATTGGGATTAAGCTTGACGAAGGCGATACACACCCACCTTAAATAAAGGTAGAGACGGTGAAAGATTACTATTGCGTTTTTAGTAGTTCTGTGTCTAGGTGCAACTAAGCCATTAAAATGAGTATAAGTTTATTATAGAACTTTACCTTCAAAGCATAAGACATCTTTCTTTCTTCCTTTGCCTTCATCAAAATATTTGGGATTTCGTGGGAAGGACCAATCTTGCTACCGGCTGGAATATTCGAGACGGCAATCACACCAATATCAGACAGCGGTTGCATGTCCCAAAATCGTGGCATACGTAACATGTTTATGCTAAGTAGAAAAATTTGTTTAAGTTGCGGGTCGAATTGTTTGACAAAGAATTTGCTACAAAGCGTTGAATCTTTCTCTTTCTTCATGCATTCAAAAAAGCAGTTAAAAGAAGGAGTTATATCCGATGATTTCGTAAAACTTATATATATAAATATTAAGATTCTAGCCAATTTCGTTTTGGCTTTGTGGAGGTAGAAATCAATTAAACATCTTGGACTTAGCTGGATGTTTTGTCCAATTACTCTTTAAGTAAACACAATAAAATTCCCAACCGAAATTAGTTTCCCGTCGATGTAAAATTTCGGGAATTGATTAAATTACATTAGCGGAGCGATGTCCCTTGTCTGTCTGTAACAGCTTGTCCAAAAACGACGTGAAAAATTCATAACTTATGTTCACTCCAAGAGCTAGTATTATGGAGAGGATTAGTGGAACCTGTTAATCTACTTAAAAAGCTTTTATAACATAACAATTTTGACAGGATAGCGTTGAAATGGCAAAAAATAAGAGCAGATAATGAACGTGAAAAATTAACACTTTAAAATTTTGTCATTTTCTATATTTTAATGCATTGTGACTATTTGTTAAAGATACTCAAGTATTGTTTGAAAAAAACGTAACCGGGTGGTCTGAAGTCTGACTAGTTTTTCACCTCATATCTTCATTGCAACCGGTGAAAATTTTACAGCAGATTTTCGTTTGGTTATGTTCAATACTTGTTCAGTTACATATATTAAGCAACTTTAAAACGCGAGATTATAATTATAGTAACTCCATGTAGCGTCTTGCAACAGACAGAGCTGTTCCAATAGCAAAATAATGTTAAATGCGACAATGCCTTCGGCGAAAAATCTTAAGTAAAAAAAAAGCTTTACGGTCGAGCGCATTCTGCAGAGTCAAATGATTTTAAACGTTTATTTATAGCAAAAACTACAAAATACACTTACTAACTGTGCTTGTCTTAACATTGTAATTATTTTTGTCACTTTGATGCAACAATGATTGTTAAAAAATTTGCATATAGCATAATGCCCACATTGTTTAATAGTTTGACAGACCCAACGGTCGCTCGGAAACCCAAATGGACGAACTCACTTAAACATGTTTGCACGAAGCTTTTCTCAGTATAACTCTACTTTTCTGCTCATGGCCCGCGAATAATGCACGATTTGTAATTACAGGAAGAACTAACTATTCTACGGTAATGATAAAGTGGTCTATGTGAGAAGCGAGTAATAATGTACGACTATATATGGTTTTCATATAACACGCCACGTCACAGAAAAAATAATATTGCACTCTTCTTTTCCTCACAAAACTCTCGGAAAGTAGTAAAAACGTGAGACTTCTACTTACATACCAATAATATTCGAAGGTATTTTTATGGAGTAAACACACGAACAGGTACCAAGTCACAGCTTTTAAAGATAATTTTACAAATGCGTGAAACACCAGTTATAAGGATACCTGTTAAGATACACATACGATTAAACTTCTGTATAGTTAGGCAGGTTTTTTATGAAAATAACCCTGTGTATAAAATCTCAGCTCACTTGTAGCTACATGTAATATCCAAGTTCAACGTCGTGTCATCGTGCCAAAGCTCTTGTAACAAGGCGTACACAACAATGTGTGTGTGTGCTGTTTCATGCAAATAACTCACAAAGCATCTTCGATATAAATTACCTAGGTGATGAAACACCGTCTAAAAAACTCTGCTCATAGAACAAAAGTTCCGTCGTCAAGGTACAGAGAAGACGTTTTAAAACTTCTCGTCATCTCGTCATGAATCCATTTTAAGTTTTAAGTAGAAATTTAAACTAAAAAGGCGATGAAATAAATGGAAACTCATTATGTATTCAAGTGCTTAGCCAGATGGAGTTGTACTTGAATTGGACAAAACCCATCTTCCCTTAATTAGTTTAAGCGTTTAACGTCATTTTTACGAATTAACGCTAACGAGTGAGTTGTGTATGGTCCTACACAAATTAATATTTACTACTGTCTTTAGGTATGTTGAAAGTCGAGTGGACTGAGCTAGACTGTTCTAAGTTAATTTAGGTTCTAGAATACACGATCGTTTTTCCATTTGGCATCTTCTGGACACCTTCCTGGAGCAAGTTCATTGTTGTGTCTTCAGAAAGGGTACACTGCGTCATCTAGTGCGTCAATATGGTCATAGCTAGCATATTAGTTCTGGGTGATGGATGCGGACTGACGTTTGATTCAAATCCATTCCTTTTTCATCCGTTATCTTCCGCTAATGTCTCCGCAGTGAGATCTGGTGTCTCTACAGAAATCGCGTCTGGAAACATCAATTTTTCGCTACAATGGAATTTGAGTCCAAGATTGTCGCAAAGAACAGCAGCGTCTTCAAATGGATTCTGAAAAGAAACGAGACTTGTTAACGAAAGAACACTGCACGTTTTAATATCAGTTGGTATCTAAATCCTACTGAACACTTGCCTCTATTTCTGAAACAGTGCTTTCCCTCGATGTGTATTCTCGAAGGAAATAGTTATTACCAGCCTGTGTAAATTTACAACAGAAAAAATACCTCAGTTGTGAACTTAAAACCAGACTGATCGCACAAAAAGAGATACGTGGTCGTGGAAAGTTGAGTTACCTGATAATGAATTCTTGTATCATTAATACGAACTAACACTCCGTCGACACGAAGGTAAAATCGTAATAAAATGAAAAAACTTCCTTGCATTATTCTCTGGAAAGAAACAAGAAGAAACGACAATGAAAACAATTTATTCGGTATTGATTATCTTTACAACAAAGGTCAAGTCGTTTGATGCAAAGTAAGAGAGTGTTTGGTACCATTTTTACATTTAGTAAAGCACATCCATTATCTGCTAGTTCATCTTCAAACAATATGATATCTTCAAAGAAATAAATCTTCTCTTTTTTCTTTAAAAGTTCTATATCAATTTTTTCATCTGTTTCAACCACCTGTTGAGCAATAAAAATGAAATATTTCTGGTATTGTGAATGATGATACATGATTTATGTTTTCAAGGAATCTGATTGTGTTTTGAAAGAAGCAATGACTCTTTTCTTCAATCCAGATCAACATTTTTCAAATACTCTTTGTTGGAGTCAGCATTGGAATATACCTTGAATTGTATATCATCTTTTTTTAACAAGGAGCCTTTGTAGTTTGTTGTGTATGTCCAATCAAATGGTTTCACTATTACTGTACTTTGCTCTCCATCTGACTGAGTAATTAAAGGGAAGATGGAAGGTGATTAGATGGAGAGTATGGTGAGGCATATGGTGAAGAGTATGGTGGCCAGAATGTGCTGGAGTGAGGGAATGGTATGGTGAAGAATATTGTAAAGGTTATGGTATGGGGGAATATAGTATGGTGAGGAATATGGTGAAGATTATGGTATGGAGGAATGGTATGGTGAAGTATATGGTAAAGATTATGTTATGGGGGAATAGTATAAGGTGAAGAATATGATATATAGAAGAATGTTATGGTGAAGAATATGGTATGATGAAGATGAGGAATGGTATGACAGATAATGATGATAGAATATCTTATACATTCACCTGGACTTTTGCCAGGCATCAGCGCATGCAACTTTCATCAAATCCCGTTCGCTGTCAACCAGCCGCAATGCATCCAGTGCATTAAACTCCAAACCAAATCCTACTTCATGTTGAATCCGTAGACAATTATCACCAAATACCATCTCCGGGAGTGATGGAAGCTTTAGTTCACTTGTAAATCTAGTTAGTACAAGTGTATAAAGGATTTAGTAGGAAATATCAGGAGAGTGAAGGGTAATAATTATGGTAACAGGGGTATAACTGGATATTAGTTTACCAAACCTCTCTAAGGTATCTGCCTTTAAGATAGTTCCTTTTACAGATGTAACCTTCCAAGGACCAAAATTAAACGTTTCAGCTTTCTTCATTTTACCAAGACTACCAAAGATGCCAAAACATGATAAACAATAACAAAAACAACAACAAAATGTAAAGCGAGCCTTCAAGAACACTTACTGGTAAACAGCAGTTGCCAAATAGCGCAAACTTTATGTAGACAGTATCGAGATGCATGTTGGTCACTGATCTATAGATATGTACTGGAGTTATAATGAGAGTACATCCGGTGGAGTATACATAGCTCAGTGTTGATAAAATTCTAGCGTTCTGATTGGTTAAACGAGGTCATATGGTATAAATCTTTGGCGGGGAAGAAGCACGTTTCGCTTGTATTGGAAATTTTGATTTTCGCGGAGAAAATTTACCAGCTTTAAAATGACCGACTCAAAAGAAAACGGTTCGTAACACTTCAGTTATATTGTAAACTTTATTATGCGGGATATATATATTTCTATTATTTGTACATTTTATTTGACCAAGTGTGTTTATTGTACGCAAAATTGTACAGAACCTTTTGACGACGCTGTGGAAGAAAGGATAATTAATGAAGAGTACAAAATTTGGAAGAAGAATACGCCATTTCTGTATGACTTGGTTATGACACACGCATTAGAATGGCCTAGTTTGACTGTACAATGGCTGCCTGATGTTACTAGGTATAACAAAATTTTTAAAAGTAATTTTTATAATATGCCTATTGATGATCAATAGTTGATTATTGATCCTTGATCAAGATTATTGGTACTTGATCAATCCTTGATCAATTATTGATCATTGGCTAGGTTGGCTGTTTAGGCTTGTTATTGTGGGATTTAGGCCAGTTAAACTGCTGCAAGATTTTTAAAGTTTTGAAATTAGGGGTTAGAAAGTGATTTGCATTGATAGAATCAGGTAGGTGGGGAATATGAAAGAGGTGGGGTAACTTGGGGTATAGACTCTGGCTTATTCTGATCATTAACCCTGAAATAGTGAAAGGTTATATTAGCAAATTGTTTACTTTTATAATAGACCTGAGGGAAAAGACTATTCAAATCATCGACTAATATTAGGAACTCATACGTAAGTTTATAATAAATATATTTTTTACCAATTTGAATCACCTTTTTGTATTGTTTCCCCATTACATAATATTCATCAAATATTTAAGGTCAGATGAACAAAATCATTTGGTAATTGCCACCGTACAACTTCCAAATGATGACACTCAACTTGATGCGAGCAATTATGATAACGAGAAAGGAGGTAAATTATTAACGATGTCTAATGTAAAATATCAGAATAACTTGTGTTATATAATGGAAAAGATTTAAAAAGGAGGAGAAGAACATGAGATTGTTTGTCCTAGTTTGTTGGTTTGGTTTTGTATTTAGCAGATATTTCTTATATACATAGAATTTGGAGGTTTTGGTTCTGTTAGTGGCAAAATTGAGATTGAAATAAAGATTAACCATGAAGGAGAAGTGAACAGGTTTGTTCCTGCTTATCTAGTTTAACTTAATATCCAGGGAGGTGGCAAATGAAACACAAAGATAGATGGTCTGTGCATTAATTATTTCTGAGGACATTCTCTAGTTTATCTGGTTCTGCAGTTTTTGACCATTACTATAAAACTCTTTTAACATGGATTGCTTTGTGTCTTAGAGCAAGATATATGCCTCAAAATCCATGCATCATTGCCACAAAAACTCCATCATCAGATGTGTTGGTGTTTGATTATACTAAACATCCATCAAAACCTGGTGAGGATTATCTTTTAGTCTCTCCACTTTCTACGTTGTTCCCAGACTAGCTCACAGTAATTCAAAATAGAGATTATATTTTGATATCTTAGATCCAAATGGAGGCTGTAACCCTGACCTTAGACTAAAAGGTCATCAGAAAGAAGGGTAAGCATGAACTTTGTCACCTGCTCATGATGTGTCATTTGTGGGAGTCAATTTTTATTGTATTTGCAGATATGGTTTGTCATGGAATACCAATTCCCATGGATTGCTACTAAGTGCTTCAGATGATCATGTAAGAACTAAGTAATGTCTAGTACATGAATTCTCACATTCTGGTGAATTTTAATATTTTATTTTATATGTTAGTTTACTTATAACTATCTCTAAGCAAGAAATCTTTATTTTCTCTCACTTTTTAGACAATTTGCTTGTGGAATATATCTTCATCAATAAAGGTTCTTTATATTTTTCCTGTAAATTGATGTAATATGTTTGTTTATAATTCTTGGAAATTAATATTTTTTCCACAACAGGAAACAAAAACACTAGATGCGTTAAGAACATTTACTGGACATACAGCTGTTGTTGAGGTAATCAAAAGTTTTTTAATGTACAACTAATGTTTATAAACATTCATATACAATTTATAAATTAATATTATGAAATTTTAAGGATGTTTCTTGGCATTTATTGCATGAAGCACTCTTTGGTTCTGTTGCTGATGACCACAAATTGATGATGTAAGTGGTACATGGCATGTAGCATGACATCATATGTAATATGACATCATTATGGCATGTAGCATTACATCATATGTAGTATGACATCATTGTGGCATGTAGCATGACATTTAGCATGACATCATTATGGCATGTAGTATGACATCATTATGGTATGTAGTATGACATCATTAAGGCATGTAGTATGAACTAATATTTTGTTCCTCTAAGTATGATTCTGACTATGATTATGTATGAAGTTTTCTCTAAATTTCTTTAGTTGGGATACAAGATCTTCGAGCAGCAGTAAACCAACACATTCAGTTGATGCTCACACAGCTGAGGTATATTTTAAATCCAGGCAGTCAATTTAGGAGATGAACAAGTTTGTTATTGACACTCAGATATTCTATGTACCTTCGTATTCATTTGTGGCAACACTAAGTGAGTACATGCTAAAATAACCTTGGCCAGGTTTAAACCTTTTCATGTTCATCCTGCAGGTAAACTGCCTGTCATTTAATCCGTACAGTGAGTATATTCTAGCCACTGGCTCAGCCGACAAGGTAAAGTGATAACGATATTTATTCATGATCTATTTCTACAACATCTACGCAAATACTGTACTCATGACACGAAATACTGAGATTGATCTATTTATATTTCTAGACTGTTGCCTTATGGGATCTACGAAATTTAAAATTAAAACTTCATTCCTTTGAATCCCACAAAGATGAAATTTTCCAGGTAGGAGATATATTTTAAAACATTCATTAAGAATTTTTCTTCTATGTATCCACACAAGGTCTTTATATCATGGGACTGTAAACACTGATACAAATCTAACTTGGTTACTAAAGGTTCAGTGGTCGCCACATAATGAAACAATTCTGGCTTCCAGCGGAACAGACAGAAGATTACATGTTTGGGACTTGAGGTAAAAATTGGAAGGATCAAAAGATTTTGTAGATCTATTAAGTTCATTGAATTGTCCTGTTGCCAACAGGATTGAGTTAGTTGTTTGCAATATGTTGGAAGTCTTTAAAGTTGTAACCATTTTCATTGCAATCACCTTAAATTTCAACAGTAAAATTGGTGAGGAACAATCGCCTGAAGATTCTGAAGATGGTCCACCCGAGCTTTTGGTAAGAGAGTCTTGATTTCTTACGTACGTCAAATGGAAAGAGCACAAAAATGACATTTCGTTTTCTCTAGTTTATTCACGGTGGCCATACCGCAAAGATCTCGGACTTTTCTTGGAACCCGAATGAATCATGGGTGCTTTGCAGTGTATCAGAGGATAATATCATGCAAGTTTGGCAAATGGTGGGTAGAAAACACAGCATATTATGGCCAGGATCGCTCAGATCAAAATTGAATCTAAAACTAGTCTAAAATGGCCACTGTTCATGTCTTTACCAGGTTCGGTCGGACGAAAATTGAAGTCTTAATCTAGGCTAATATAGCTAGTTAATTTCATGATCTCTATCCCCTAGGCTGAAAATATTTATAACGACGAAGAAATGGATACACCTGCGGCTGAGCTTGAACAAGCGGCAGCATCGTGAAATCTTTAAACACTTCTATATTTTCCGTTGAATCTTTCCCATCAATAATAGCTGATGGCGTTTGACGAGGAAACTTCTCCATCATATTCTTCGCAAGCTTATAGGTTTATAGAAAATATTTATTTTATTCTTAGTTCGCATCCCTTTTTCCCCATATACGATTTTTAGTTGCCTTGTAAGATATTTCGAAATGCTTTATCTCAAAAAACGATAAAAAATCGCTGAGGATACGTACGGATTTGTACAGAACAGTTTAGGATGATTGTCATGCATTAATATAGTGTTTATTATTTAAAATTCTAAACTGGTAGTAATCGAGTCTAGTAATTTAAACTGGATATCAAACTATATCCTATTTTCTCTTATGTATTTTCATAATAAGTTTTGTATTCTCTAAAACATACAAACTTATATTAGAATTATCACGATGAAGTGATAGAAATGTTCACTGCTTTTTCATACTTTTTAATTTCGGCCAACTCGTGTTGACGACCTGCATGTCAACTCGCCTATCACCGCTTACAAACATCTGTCCTTCAAACCGCAGTATTTTGTGGTTTTCAACGTAGCGACTATCGAATTAAACACTTGATATATCTCATTTATTATTCAATACATCAAGATAAGCGACGTGTTTTTATCCCGTAATTCATCAGTGAAATCTACGTCGCTAAGCCTCTTTACTTTGCTGTTTGCGTGTAGCTTAGCAGAGCTCAGAGAGATTCTTAAGAATATTCAATACTTTTTATTTGCGCTACGTTAAAACTGTGTTTTATATTGGACTTGTAAAGACAGCCAAGTCGAAGCTGTTGAAACAAAGATACATGAAGGATTACAAGCGTTTAAGGTGATCGTTAGTGTCAATATTCATGTCGCAGTTTCGTCGGGACTACCTTGAGCTAAAGCAAGCAGAGGCCATGGACTTCAGTGACCAAAGATCTTTCTCTGTGCCTCGTACCACTAATGTACTTACCAGACCTGAACAAAGACTTCGCAAATCATTCTGTACTCTTCATAGTAACCGGAACTGCAATGAATGTAAAAAGAAGAGATCTTTAGCGCAAAAGAGGCGAAGACAACGGACACTAGGAATGGATCTTTTCGTAAATGATTTTCATGGATTTCACTGGATTGATTCTAAGGTGAACGAGTATCAGACTTTGAACATTGCTGGGAAGAGTCTTGGAGCCACACATGATATTTTTGACACAGTTGGAGTCATTCAAAATAATCGTTTGTTCTTTCCAGAACTTGCTATAGACCGGCCTATTCTTATTACAGAAAAAGCTGGAATATATAGGAAGATACCCAGAGAAACAAATAGGAAATTGGATGGATTTGAAAGCAAGAAGAGACCCCCTCCACCTCGTATACCAGATGTTAGAAAAAAAGATGTTTTTCAACGGGAAGAACTCACAGGACATCTACCTGCACTTCATGCGTATGACAGTGTCGATTTAGCGTCGTCAGGGAAGTTGAAAGAATTGAAAAGTACGGACAAGGAGAGGAGAAGAATAAATGTAGTTCTACCAAGAATTTCATAACAGCTAAATGTATTAAGGACAGACTGAATCGTGCTGGGAAACTTTGGTAGTTGTAATACTGCAACGCTGGACAAACTTTTTTTATTCATTTTCTTGTCACTTAATGTCGAATTATTTAGGTAATATGTTTTAATAAAACCTGCAGTGAATATGTTCAAAAGTTGTCGTGTATTTTATTCACTTGCATTTGCACGTAGGCTAATGAATAGTGAATTCATATTTCTGAAGTTCGTCACTAGTATCAGTGGGGTCCTGTCATAGGTTTTAGGAGGGGCGGTTCTGGTCCAGTAAAGCCAATCTCGTTCCAGACCTTAAAACTGCGACTACGTCATGGATGACGTTTCATGGGTTTCCCCACGATCTTTAAATATACATCAGTATGTAAATTCATATGGACCACAATATTAGCAAATAGCGATTGATATTTTTGTGTAGTTCTGTGTTTCAGACAAGATGGCATCCGTAGCGAATGCTGAAGAACTTGATGCTGTGACATGTTCTGTGTGTAAAGATGTGTACAAAAATCCCGTGAAAATATCCTGCGATCACACGTAAGTACTAAGTAAATCATATCCGTGGTTTCATAAGAAAATGGGGTAAGGTTTCTAGAACGGATGATTATGTTACTTTCGATTTCAAACTTCTCTACTTTTCTTTGTAAGGCACTCGTTTTCGCCCACAAAAGCATCTTTAAAGAACGAGAGAAACGATCTTTTATCACAGCGATATTTCTTCACGCTATACACATCCCTGTTCGTTGTTCAATGTGAATTTACTTCTACATTATATGAATTCCTACTTGATGCAACATTGTCATCCTATTCCTGACGTTCGGTCTCAAAAGCAATCCTTAGAGCTTTCAATAACCTATGCATGTGTAAGTTCCCCAATGAAAATTTACTTGTCAGAATCCGGCAGGAGAACTTTGAAGGTTTTTTGTGATTTTTTTGACTGTAAACATTTCCAATTATTCATCGTCATTTGTCGGAAGTGAAACTGGAAACCGAAATAGATTAATCCTGATTTCAATTGTATCAGAAATGGACCATCGAAGAAGGTCTTTTTGTATATCTTTTATGGCCTAAAACGTATCAGAAATCAACCGATTTTGAAGACAAAATCATGTTTTCAAAAAATTGGGTTTTCCAGGTAACGACGATTCCGAGAAAATCATGAAACGACGATCAGATTCCGAGCTCGTTTCAGTCCTCAGAGATGTTATTGTGGCAATTGGCAAAACATTAGAAATTTCTTTTGTCTGCGTTCTTCAAGACACTTGATCCAACTTTAGTCTGGTCTATTCTGTGCTGTCCTCCCCGTAGAGCTTGTCAGCTTGATAAGCTTTAATACGTAACAAATATAATTCAATTTTTTTTCTTTTAATTAACTAGATTCTGTGAAGACTGTATCAATAGGACATGGGGAACGAATGGTAATCAAAATTGCCCTGTCTGTCGCAAACCTGCAGATGGCATAAAAGACGCTGATTTTGATATGATCCAGAAGATGACTGTACTATCCATCGCTTGCCGAAAATGCAAGAAAAAAGTAAACAACTATATTCCATGCAATCTACATAAAGACACATTTATATTTATTATTTCTTTATTACCAGGTGATTTTGTCCGAGTTCAGACGTCATGAAAGGGTCTGTGGAACTGCCACAAGTTTTGCTGGACCTTCAACTAGGTATTAGTCTGTCGGGGGAGTGTTCAAAATAGTGGAAAGCGCTGTGATTCTTTCTTTCAACCTTCAAAAAAAAGGGGCAAAAGGCACTGAAACAGGCGTTTATGCCAACGAAATAGTTATTGAAGCATTTTTAATTGATCTATCAGTACTAATCCCTTTTTATACTATAACAATGAAAAATATTAGGAAGATATTCAAGAATCGTTTTTCTCGAGTTTCATTAAACGAGATTCGTGAGATGGCGTAAGCAAAAAGCGCGGAGTTTGGCGGGAAAACCACGAAAGTCGTACTCAAAGTCGTACTCAAAGTCGTACTTAATAAGCTGAAGTATCCAGTATAGGCTTTAAAATGTCATTTCATATCTGTACTTATCATTGTTTGTTTCTTTTTAGTCTTGGTTTGGGAGATCGAACTGGAGCTAATATCTACACCTTTCCTTGTCCCTACTGTCCCAACAAAAATCTGGACAGAGAAGATTTATTACGTCATGTTCTGGGCTTACACAAGGACGACCAACCGAACGTGGTGTGTGTAGAAAGAGTATTACCAGTGAAATCCTGATTTGATTTTAAATGGTTGTACAGATGTATCTATTAATTGGATCACCAGTATAACCAAGGATTAGGTCGAAACGCCAGGAAGTGTTTTTGAGTCGAAATCTTAGATAGTTGTTATATACCACATTTGGAACAAATTTGTGTCATCAACAGTCTTATTAAATTAAATATTTGTTTCTTTAGGTGTGTCCAATTTGCAAAGTGATGCCCTGGGGTAACCCAGAACAACAGAGTGGCAACTTTTTTGATCACATCAAATTGCGACATCGTTTTGACTACGATCGATTTGTGGTGAGAATTGTTTTCAGTTCATTTCAAATGTTCTGGTTACAAAAATTTTCAGAATCCTCTGTAACATATCTGATTTCATTTATACCAGGACTTGAACCAAGATGAGGACACTGCCTTGAAGAATACCCTGGTATTGAGCATGGACCAACACTGATTCTGACGTGGTGGGAATCAGTTAAAGCTGGATTTGATTTTACATGCTTCTGTTCGGAGAAAACGTAATGTAACATTTGTTGTATGATGGTACTGGTTGTATTTGCACATATAAGCAAGTGAGGTAACCTATTCATATAGTTGAAAATATATTATCTTAAATAAACTTAATAAAGTATTATCTTTTTACGATTTTACTAAAGTAGATATAACGTTGGACACTGGACAACGGATGATTTAACATTTGATCTAAGATTAACGTCTGTGTACGTCAAAATCACCTTTATATCCCAAGGTTGCATATTCATGCCTTTATTATATATTTGATTTTGTTTATAAAAGTACATATATATGTTACAAATTGTTGTGTTAATTGTATATCAAGTTATTACATTTCAATAATTGGTCAAATACTCTTTAATATACCTTGCATTATATAAATAATGTATCGCGCTTAACAAAAGTGTGTTTAGGAACTGTACCGGATCGTAATCTTATATAAGTTCTTTTAGAACATTTAGAAGCTGCAGTTTCACATGAATTTAGGCTTTTATATACCGTCATTGTATCATCCTTTTCAATTTTAACATGTTCAATATATATAGATTTACAGTGCTTCCCTCTGCCCCGGCTGTATTATAAAATGTACATGCATTCAGTTCAAAAACTGCAACGCTAATATATATCTGTAATGAGTGTAATAATATTCTAAGCAAGCTTTTATTAGATTTAAATATGAATTTTGCTTAAATCTTCTGACGACTTCGACAAGAAGAGATCTTCTTCGCTCTGAGCAATATCCAAAAATGGAGCCCAGTCTCCATTACGGATCTCCTCCTTCTCAAAGCCAATGTCCAAAAGGTGTGGATTAGATCTGGACTTTGCGAGCCTGCAAGAGACGCAAAACGCTCAGCTGAAAGGCTTTCGACAAGAAAATGGACAAACCTTTAAGAAAGTAAAGCCAGTTATATGAACTTACTTTGTGAACTCTTCGTCGAATCCATTGTCCAATGAAAAATCCTAGAGAGAAACATTTAAGACGGTAATATTAGTTCATTTGTGGCAGTAGGGATGAACTTTGGAAGAAAATAAGATCTTCATCAATTAGATACTATTTACATACCAATGCTAGAGATTTCTGTTTTCTTCTCGATGGTGGAGGCGTTAGTTGAACTGAAGGTAGAGATGAGAATGAAGAACTTCTGCCAGAATTGTTATCAGGTTTATCATTAAGAGGTTCTGATGATCTTCGACCAGTGTGAACAGCAGAAGTGTTAAACGTTCCTGGAGAACCGTTCGTGTGTGGTGACGGAGGAGTCGTTTCGATGAGAGGAACAACATTTGGCGTTTCTTTTGCTTTCGTTTCTTTCATCGTCTGGCAAAATAGACAAAGTTTCAACGTTTGTATCTGTATATAGACACAAGTAAGTTGAAAGGAGAAGTATATTATCTTACCTCCCATGCTTCAAATGCAACATTGAAGGCTTGTGCGACCGTTAAAGCAATGGCTTTGGCCTGTGACAAAAGAGAAGGATTTGGAATTTTAAGAAATACTAGTTCAATTAGTTCTAGGTTTTAACTTTCGCTTTTAAATTGTGGCATGTGTGGTTTTTAAACTGATAAAATCGATATTTTTTTAGGTGAAAGCGGAGTTGAAAAACTAATGTTGAAGGTACGTAAAGTTTAAAAACTACTTTCAAAACCAATTGATCACCAAACTTACTATTTTCGGTTTCGTGCATAAAAATGCGCGACATCTGATCTGAAGACTTTGTTTTTCCCTTGAGTTAAATGCAAATACTTTGGGAACATTTGGATCAGCTGTACAATACGATACTCTGCAAAACATGTAAAAAACGTTGTTTAATTTCACCGCAAAATTCCCAGAATCTTTCTCGGACCCAGAGCTCGTTTCGCACGCGGTCGCCAGGTAATGACGTCAGGTGTGACGTCAGAACAAAAATATTTTTATGAATACTTCAAAATCGGTGATAACGATAAATGGGGGATATTTTTACAAGGAAAAACATTTAAAAAGTTGCTACAAACGTTTCTCTATTACTCAGTGAGGAAAATCATGCAAAAACAGTGGTAAAGTCTTGGTAAAATGTTGTTGCAATTATCCTTGGAAAAGATAGAAAATCTAAGAACAACGTAATGTTAATTTTCCCTATTTTTTGTATCAATCATCATGAAGATAAAGTATATTATTTTGCTTACCGAAAAATTGGAGTGACTTCCAATGGTGTCTAATGAAATAACATAAAATTAATGATATGAATAACAGCTATTTTTGATAGCTTTATTCTACATGAAACCATGTTTCCCAAATTTGGGAAACTATGGTCAATTGAAGAGGAATTTGATGAAAATGAAAACTGAAAATATGTATTTTAGAAATTGTTTCCTGGATTGATAGTAATTGCATTTTTGATCATTTTGAAATGAATGACCTAGTGATGATCCTTTGATGTTATCTGGGGGTGTTAAAAGATGTGTTGGATGAATAGTGACATTCTATTTATCACATCTGAAGAATCCTCTTTTTGCTCTTTGCTTACTTTTGTGACGAAGTCGAGTATCCTGATTTCCTTTGGTGTGACTGTGAGAACAACCTTTTGAAGCTTCATATCTCCTTTAGACTTCTTTATCTGCCAAAAAAAATGCATTTAGTTTTGACAGACCAGCTTTTTCTTTGGTCTACTTCTTAGAATTTCATCCTATGCAGAGCACAGTTATTTCTACACACCTTCGCCTCTGCTAACAACCTTTTCACTGCCTCGTCGGTCACACCCTGACCCTGGGCCTCTACCGCTGGGGCGCACCCAAGATACTAAGGAAACAGATAAGAGAATAACTGTTAAAGAGTCAGCAATTGACCTGACAAAATCAGTAGTTTTCTCTGAGTTAAATAAAACATAATATACCTTCACAAAGAACGAAATACCATCAACCAATGCTTCATTTTCATGTAGCCAGTCTTCTTGTAATGCTGTAAAAAAAAATTTCAAGGATATGAAATATTTTTAGAGTATCATTAGCACATTTTATTGTGATTTTATCATGGTGCTTGGTTGGTAAACATCTTAACTCTAAAGGATACATTTAATTACAACACAAAAGAGTTGATGACATTAAGACCCCCCAAGTCTGGCTGCCAGGCTACCAAAATCTCTTTAGTAAATTTAACATCTTTGTACTTGCTGAACTTGAAAATCAAAGTGCTATGCTGGAGAACACTGAATTTTATCATATCAAGGAATATTAATGAAAATTCTTTCATGATCTCAACTTTCACCAATCCTGACCTTTTTATCATATAGAAAATACGTCCTTAGGAAAATGTCACAATTTATAATTGCTACACTTGTCGTCTTTCATCATCTTTAAATGTATCACAAAATTCTTCTTCTAACGATAAATTATCTGTGAAATACCGAGGCACTTTACTGGTAGCATACTGCAGACAATAGTAATATCCGCTGCTTGTCAAATATTTCAACCCCGACTCAAAAATATCTACAAAAACCACTTCGCACACAAACCGATGTACATTGGAATCGCAAATTATTCAATTTCATTGTGTAGATTATATTTGAAACAATTTTTAAACAAAGTAACATTTACCAAGGATTAGTCAAACGCGATATATGCTACATCCTATTCAAATATAACAAGTGTAAATCAGCTGTAACTTGTCGGAAATCATACACACTCTAAAATCGTTTTAAAAAATCAATACTGAACTTACTTTCGTGGCTACCAAACTTTCTTTCGATTTTTTTTCGCAGTACTTTAGGACTTCTCTTCACGGCGTCGGCAACTCTGCCCGCTTTTCCTATGAAAGCCATAATCTACAGCTTGTATCTACTCGATTGACCTCGTGTTTATTATTCAATTGCTTTTCAAGATCACTGATCACAAAGTCGCGTAATTTGCATACGTATATACCCCAGATATTGATCAAAGTATATATACTTTCAGCGTGGGCAGAACAGCAGTTCGGCTTTGATATTCTTCCGATTAATGCCCTTCCGCTTTTTTTAATAAACCTGTGTAAACTAACATGCACGAAAGATGACTTGCAGAATTATATTGTTCAACTTCAAATCTTCGTGCTTGATCTTGAACGAGCGATGACGTACATTTCAGTTGCATGAAAATTATGTCACCCGTCCCTTCTCAAATTTCTTCTAATAATTTCTCCGGCGGAAGCTGGTATTTGCCGACTCGTTGATCTGTCAGATGTTAGCTCAACTCCGACCTAAAATGGCAACACAAATACGGGAGGTCTCGTAGCTTGTAAGTGTTTTACACTTTACCTTTTGATTTCTTCTTTTCGTTCTTCAATTTTTTACTTTTATTTCTAGTCAAGAAAACGGGCATCGGAAAGCAACACTTTCTCATTTGAGGCGATTTATAAATCATCTTAGTTGATCTATTAAGAAGCTTGAGCAAAACTTTTTTATTGATAGTTTTAAGAGTTTTACAAACTTTTTTTCATCGATTTAGTTTCGTGTGGGAATCCTACTCAGTGGGCTGACCACGACCGCAAAAATGAAAGAAATAATTATATTGCAATTATGTGTCCTGTGGACTTTCGTGCACGACAATGAATTAAACATGTATATGATTACACATAATTACTTTGTCTTTGACCTTCCCAACAGGAGGATTTGTATTATTTTATTCATTTGAGAAAAAACGTAGAAATTGAGATTTCATGTCTTTTTAATTTTAAAGACATTTTGGCCACAAAACACCTTGGTGATTTCGCTGTTTGCCAATAAACCTTCCAGATCTTTCAATTGGTTCTCGTGTCCGATATCCTAGCCTATAAATACACTCTGTTTCTGTGGGCGTTAAGATATCCTTTGAAAATGAACTTTGTTTAACTTTTAAATCACCCTGCTTTTTTTATAAAACTTCTTAAATTCGGTTTGGCAATGTTTCTAGTGGCAGGCAGTAGACAAAAAAGTTCCATACACCGTTCTTAACTGCGGTCATATAAAAGTTCATAGCAACCAAACTTCCTGGAGAACTGTCACAAAATTACACCCACTGGCCTGGTAATTAAAATGATCTGGCGTTAGGCAAAATTTATGCAAGATTCTTCTAGATTATCTCACTGTCTTTTTTCTACTTAGCGGTTGTTATAGGCAGCAGTTTAATAGCATAGAATTTTCGGAAATAACCAGGAAATGTAAACTACTAATTGTGACTGAATTTGAATACTTCAAAACATTTGTTACTTTAGAGAGAGAACTAATTGTTCCGGTTGCATTCTTTGAAGGCAAAACCACATCCAACAAATGACTTTTAAGATCCCAAGTACTGAGTTCATGGAGGCAGAAATTATTGTCCAAAAGAATTCATCATGATCTCTCTCACGAAGATAAAATCGTCAAAGACCTTTGCTATATCGAATTGCATTACCAAAATTCCTTTGTCTTTGACAAATATTTTTACTAAACGCCAGATTTCTATTTTCGTATTTCTGAAGCTTTAGAAAGTAGATTCATGTAAATTCCTGACGATCCATATGGTGACCCACGCAGGCAATCCTGAAGGACAGACTGAGGCCACCGTGAAAATATTCCTTTTGTAAACAACTTAACATTCTTCTACGTCTTTTAGACATATTTGGCTGCGTTTGGTTGAATGAGGAAATGTGCACTTTACGTCCCTTTGAATATTGTTGTTCTCTTGACTTTTATTGGACCAGTCTTTGCGGAAAATAGGATTGAAGTGGCGCAATAAACATGAGTTGACGTAGAGCATTAAAAAATTATTATCTTTATCATGATTACAGACAAACTTAGTTGACATAAAAACTAAGACTACAATACATTAAAAAATGGAAATGAAGCTTTTTTGGGGTCTAGAAGATCTACAAGATAACACACAGTTCCTGCCAGTCCTTCAAAAAGACTGTATGGTGCATCTGGTGTTCTTGCTCCTTGGATGAATTCTTCATTGGTGAGGAATTTTGCGAATTGTATGGCCCTGTGGAGATATTTCTCATCATTGGTGACACGGTAGAGAAGAAGAAAAACATAGCTATTACCTGAGGAAGAAGAATAATCCTCTAATGTCAGATTTTATTACACAGAGAGAAAAGATTTTGGTTCGAATGATGGTCAACTCACCAGCAACACCATGACATATTCCAGGTCCTTTTGTCAACAAGCCTTTCTCCCAGACAATATCACCACACTCAAATGCAGCTTTGAGGTACTTCTCCTCCCTCCACTGTAGGTATACTTTCACCAACAAATACACCACCCCTGGAGCACCATGACACCAATGTACCAACTCATCTCCCTCATCTTCCTCTTTACCAACAGTGGCTGGATAGTTACCATTGTCTTTTTTGCAATGAAGAATGAAATCTGCTGTGTTTTTTATGTCTGTTTCAACATCAGATTTGCCATCGAAAAAAGCAGGAAAACAGAGAAGCATTTGCAGGATTCCACTCAATCCATGTGCAGCACCTATAAAATTAAATTGTGTGAACACAAAATATATGTGAAATTAGATAACCCTCCTAACCAGTTTTAACTTAGTGTTTTATTAATACCTACAGATTCAGTGCTATAGTACGCATACATCAGTGGTGCCTGTGATCGGTGCTCGCGAGAATATGATCTCCCTTCAGTCACAATAGCATTGAACAAAACGTCTATCATATTAGCGGGAACAACACTTTCTCCAAGCACTTGTTGCAACCATCTCACAACACACAGGTAACCTGCTCGGCCAATTAACAGCTCATTTGCACCATGTTGCAATAATTGTTGATTTAGTTGGAGATTATGACTTAGCTGAAGAAATTTCTGTATAAATTTTGATTTATTTGTTGCATCTCCTAGGAATAAGATGGAAATATTTCAAACATTGGGTTTTCCATACATGGATATAGTTTTCAGATTTATACCGAGTTCATTAAAGATAACGCTTGCCACACCAAAAACTCCAGCATGGCCTAACAGGAATGAAGCTTCAACTGGACTAGTTTTTGATGAAGATAACTTCTTAGCATCTTCAATACCAACCTAGAAATGAATCATATTATTATTACCTATCATTCATGTAATCATGTTATTGGGAAAACTAGAAACGTGGAAATGGAAGGGTAGCCATACTAGTTTGCAAATTATCTTTGTTCACACCTTGATATATGCCAGTGCTTTTTGCAATAATTCTTCACGTTTTTCTTGGAAGCTCTCGCTACATGCCATCTTCAGATACATGAATGCCACTCCGGATGCACCAAGATACAGCCCACCATTTGCATTATTAGGGGTGGGTTTGAATCTCTCCTCAATTTCCTCAACATAAGATTTTATCAGATCTTGAATAAAATCACAGTTTTCATTTTGACCTCCTGTTGTAAAATCAGGCAAAGAATTTTTAAAATATCTCTGATTTCTGTACATTTTGTGCAATTATTGCCAATTTCTAACCATCCAAATTTCTCACTCTTCTGTAACCCATTCAACGTGTGTTTACATGAAGTCTCCTACGCTACATGAAAACAAATTCCAGTTGGGTTTCATGGCGACCAAGGACGCTTTGTGTTTTCTCTAAAATTCAGACTCAAAACATCGAATAGTTCATAGGTTGATCTCAAAACGATGCCGGAATTTGAAGGGGAAGCCCTGAAAGAACGAGTGCAGAAGCTCGAACGGGTTTTACGGGTAAGAATTTCTGAGAATCTAAGAATGTCATCCCTCAAGGCCGTAGCAAATTAACGTGTTATTGCTACATTTGCAGGCACGAGAAGAACGGATAGTTGCATTAGAAACAGAAAATGCTATGTTGTATCTGAAACTGGCTGATGTAAGTGAATTTTCAAACCTTGATTGACATTTAAATAATTATACCTACCCCTCCAAATAATTATCACGATCTATTCTCATTAAAATCACCCACAAATCTTAGTCCTGGCTTCCATAATCTATGTATATTTTTTAAACAATTAATTTCCTTTGGTTTCTGGATCAATTCAAGTGCCAAGGTTCACTACATCACTGTAAGTCTGAAGCATCACATCTCAGAAGATTGTATCAGAATGAACTCAAGTCCAACAACAATGTTTCAAAGAACTTCAGAGGATTGTCTACCAAGGTCACAGTCATCAGAAAAGACATGGAAAATTTGTCGGAAATGGTGAGAAGCTTGCCAAAAATGATGGAGAAGGAGGTCAATAATGCCAGACTTGCCAGCGAAAGGCTTCTATCTGGAACTTCAAATCTAGATGGTAATTGAATGATCATGAAATTCACTTAATTTAAATTCACTTTGTCCCTTAAAACAAATATCATTTTGTTTCCAAGCAACTGCATTCTATTTGTGGTCAAGGCATTTGAACAAATCCATTGTTATTTCTTTCAGATGTACAAGCAAAGTTATTGGAAACTGAAATGGCTCTTGATGAGGCGCTTCAAAGGGCATCAGCTGAAAAGTACCGAAGGCGTACTTTACATAACGTTTTAGTGGTAATTTTTCAGTGAATGTCATATGCTTATAAACTAGCCAATTATATAGTTATTTGGAACCCATTTAGAATTTATTTCGAACCCAATTAGAACTTATATGGAACTTAATTAGAACTGTTTGAAGCTCAATTAGAATTTTTTGGACTCCAATTAGAACATGCTTGGAACACAACGACATGGGTTTAACTTGCGTGATTTTGCTATAACTCACTTATGATTCCATTTCATTGCCTTCACTAGGAACTGCGTGGAAATATCCGTGTTCATTGTCGAGTGAGGCCTTTGATAGCGGCGTTAGATTCAGGAGGTGTTAGTAAAGATCTCGGCAAGGCAGGGACAGCTTTTGAACAAGTCGTAAATGTCGTTGATGACGAAACTGTGTCCGTTCGCCCAAACAAGGCAATGTCCGGCTCGATTCAGAAGAAAATATTTGAATTTGAGAGAGTTTATGCACAGGATGCCACACAGGAGTTTGTCTTTGAAGATGTTTCACCGCTCCTAACCTCACTACTTGATGGGTAGGTGAGAATTTGTCTTCCACGATCCACGATGGATCCACGATCCATGCATTCGATTGTGAGCGAAGATGATAAAAGAGAATCCATGAAAACATTCTTTTTTTCTGACATTATAGTTACAATGTGTGTTTCATGGCGTATGGTCAGACAGGTTCAGGAAAGACGCACACTATGGTTGGTGGTCATACCTTGAACGATGATATTGAGAGTACAGAAACTGATTATTCTATGGAGGGAATCATACCACGGGCTGCCAGAGAGATTTTCAGGTAGAAAATGATCAGGTAGAGGGAATTTCAGGTAGACAATTATCAGGTAGAGGGATTTTCAGGTATAGAATATTTCGGTAGAGAGATTTTCGCGATCATGGAAAGACTAATGTGGAAAACTGTTCTTTAGGCTAATGGCCGAACGTGAACATCAGTCCGAGTCCTATGCGATGGAAATATCCGTGTGTGAAATATATAACAACGATGTTCGTGACTTACTGAGTGAGAAATCAACTAGGGTAAGATTAGTTTACCCAGCATCTTTCTTTTGTGACTTTGGTTCAATCTGTCTTGTTCGTTTTTGTAGACGGAGAAGAAAGATGTTTATATCAATAGTGACGGTTCAACAGAAATACCAAGTTTGTCAACGCGGTATGTTCTTCGGATTTAAATGCAAAGTATAACAGTATATAAGATGGATTTACTGTTTTTCTCTTCAGTTCAGTGAGGAGTGTTGAAGATGTCATGAAATATGTTGGACATGGGATGAGGGAACGTCATGAAGATGCAACTAAAGTTCATGCTCACTCGAGTCGATCCCATCTTATAGTTCAGTTGACATTGTATACATCATCGAATCAGATCTCACCCCCCGGGAAAGGAAAGTCAGTAGCACCTTCCCCTCCTGTCACCCCGCGAGGTCTAAAAAGAGGCGGATCTTATGATAAGGACCCAAGGAGTAGATCTAAGTAAGCAAGCTCGATCTTTCTACTGATGCTTCTTTAACCACACTATTCTGTGTTATCCATCTTTTCGTTCGGTGTGAAACTAATGAACAATACCTGACTTGCTCCTTCAGGTCCCCTGCTCCTCCAAACAACTCCCATCCGAGTTCCCCATCACCTCCTGATACCCCATCAACGTCAATGGTTGTTAAAACCAAGCTGCAGTTGGTTGATCTTGCTGGGAGTGAATGTGTTGGTAAGGAGGTTATGCTTATTGTTTAACATTTAACATATATCCATGACGTTCATTTGATCTTATCCGGTGCTTCATCGATATCTTCACATCTTTAGGTCTGTCCGGAGTGACTGGAAGTGCTTTAAGAGAGACATCTTTCATTAACAAGAGGTATGAATAACCTTTCTACCAAAAGCCAAGATGGGCCATAATTATGAATATTCTTTGATATGATGGCAACTCATATATTGATATATCTTTCTAGTTTGAGTGCCTTGGCTGATGTCTTAGGAGCGTTAGCAGGACATCGCTCACATATCCCGTATCGTAATACCAAATTAACACATGTTCTTCAAGACACCATCGGTAAGAGTCTGTGAACAAGGAAAAAGTCTTACTCTAAACTTTTAATTTCTGAACTCAGTGCATGTTATTTGGAGTGAAGAAGATTGGAAAGGCTAGAGGCTTTTCCGGGAAAAGAAACTAGAGAATAACTCTATCTGTTCTGAAGTTAATGAGTTCACGGCAACCAGGTATATAATCCGAAAGTTCGTCGTGAAAGTTAATTTTTGTGTGGTGATTACTTTCATCTATCTGTTCTGTTATTTGCGAAGGATGTCCATCAAGCAACAATTAAAGCTCAATACATCATCTCTATTTTACTGTAGGTGGCGATGCTAAACTGCTTGTCATGTTGTGTGTTTCACCTGTGCAGAAATTTATCACTGAAACTATGCAGTGTCTTGGATTTGGTTCCAGGGCCAGGCAGGTTGCACGCGGACAAGTGAAGAAACGAAGAGGAACTGCCTCTCCTTTGCAACAGTCCATAGGTAACCCATGTTGCTTTAAATGTCATGTCAGTATTGTTTCATGGAACAACTGGATTAGGCAGAACAACGTGATCGTCTTTTCTTAATCTTCACTTTTTCGTTTGACACTTTTTTGCGACTTCTCGCTTCCGTTTGCGAAATCCGCAAATTATGCGAAAATTTTGCGACTTAAGCGCGCGTTTTACTGCGCCGTCTCAGGTCCTAAACACGTGTTTTACTGCGCCCTGGTTTTCTTAAATTCAAAATACAATGGGCTTTCATTCGAGTGAAGATCTTGATTGTTGCGCCTTATAAAACTGTATAAAAATATACTTCAAGTATTCCATACTTGTTTTGTAGATTTAAAAGAAGTAAACGCGGCCCTTAAAGCAAGTGGAAGTCTCAGTAAACTTACCGTACCTAATTTAACCAAACGTCGTGGCTCAAATCACTAGTACCAATGTTTTAAAACTTAGAAACTTTATAGAGACATGATATACAAAACTAAGATACATGCAAATATGATACTGTATATATTGTCTTGGACACAGAATATCTATCATCAATCTGTTTAGGATTTGATTCATAGCCCTTTTATAAAGTTCTTTTATAGAAAAACTTGTATAGTGTATCCATTTTTTATGGATAAATTAATGGTTATACTTTTGCATACAATGACTTTTTTCTATTAATTTTTTTACAGAATTTTTTAAATAATTTATTATTTTATTATATTTTTGAAATAGTCTTTCACAATGTAATAAAAAATGCAAAACGTTTTAGCATAATTTATTTACCTTACTACACAAAATGGTGGGTTTACATAAATGTGTTTACAACGGTTTTTTTGCAACAAAAAATACACAATTATAAACTGTCTCCATCATGGATTTTTTATTTCCAATATAAGTAGACTTCAGTCTATCTTCTTTAAGTATTTCAAATTTAAATTCATTCACTACTAGATTTTTCAGTTCTTCATAACTAATCTCGATAGATGATTCATTAGGTACATCTGCAAAATGGAATAACAAAGGCCCAAGATTGATCCAGTGGCCTCCTGGCTTAAGAATTTTATATATAGTTTCAATGTACGACACAATGTTATTAGCAGTATCAATGAAGAAACATGTTGTGATACAATCCCACTGGTTTGGTTCAACGTAAACCTCCGTAAAGTTTCCAGCATTCATGGAGAAGTTGATGTCTTGTGGTAACCGGGATGGGTCTATATCTGGAATTTGAATGGGTCGGACTTGATCTTTAGGTGACATGTTATTACACGACTGGTGTACAAATGGATGAATGGTGGTGTGGCATGTACCTCGACATTTATTAAGGATGTAGTTAGAGGCAATGAGCATGAACAGACTCCACTCATTTCCTTGAATGGTATAACCAAACTTTGCCAGTTCAACCATTAACCTTGCCAGGCCAGCACCAGGTACTAATATTGACACATCACCAGGTTTGAACTGGTCAGTTGGATATAAATTTCGTACTTCATCTATGATGGGTTTGTAGCACATTTCTCTTTCCTCTCGGCCTTCCTTGCTCCAATCTCGGACAAACTGCTTGATGGTGGTGAGGACCTTCTCCATGAACAGTACTGTGATGCCCTCCTGATCATTCGACTCTGTGTTCATATCAACATGATGGTCAACATTTTCAAAAATATATCCTATAAACAAGTGCACATTTATTGTTGACTTAAGGTGGCATGTAGGGTTTTGATACAAGTTTATATTACTTAAGGTGGTGGACTAAAGTTTGTAACTAACATGTGGGTCCACTTAAAGTGGCTTCTGGGCTAGTCTTAGTACCGCTTTCTGGACTTAAGGTGGCTGTTTAATTCACCTCTTTGTGGGTAAGTGACCTACCTACCTGTGTGGCCAATGATTTGCTTAACAAATTCATAATTCTTAGCAATGCATTGCCTTTGTTTTTGTAAATGTTCCTGAAATTTAGGCAGCCTTTCTTGATCCTTGGCATCCAATGAAAGAAAATCCTTCTTTGCTTTGTCAATTCTCAAGTTTAAGAATTTCTGATAATGTAAAAATGCATTCACAACTTTCATGAAATGTTCTCTTTCTAACGCATCTGTTTCTTCTTCTTTCTCAGTGCAATGGTTTGCGTCGATTTCCTTGTCTGCAGATGCCATTTCAAAACTCTTGATACCTATATCACTGCTCATCTGTGCCTATATGAAGTATACTGAGATTATTGTTGAGATAGTCTTGCTTGTCCAGGTGGGACAATATGGGGTAAAACACGCAATTTAGGGATTTCTGGGGTTTCACTTGAATCAACGAAGACATTTCCCGGGAAATTTAATATTTGGACAAGAAGGTCGAAGACTCGAAGGCATGCAGTAGAAATGTTTGTCTTTGGTTGTGTTGAATTAGGTGGGTCAATTGTTTTAATAGATGTTCTAATTGTTCTAATAGATGTTCTAATAGATAGATGTTCTAATTGTTCTAATAGATAGAGCAATATGTATAAATATTCTATTGTGTTGTTGTTCTATAATTTTTATTTGTTGTTCTTTCAAGGGTGAAACTGAAGATATTGACAATGGTAACACTACATCGCCGAGCACATCACAAAGACTCTAGTCAAAGCATGAACATTTCCAGCGCTAGTCCTCCCATTGAATCCATACTTGGATCAACTACGAACAAGTAAGTTGATGTTTGCAATTGAATTTAGAATACCATAATTTGGGGTTTACGCCTTTATTATAATAGAGATATTTGAATATGAATAACGAATGCACGAATAAACTGCTCAACTTAAGACGTTTACTCTTTGAATACGGTAGCCTTACATAAAGAAGATGCAATGTAATTTATAAACATGTATAATAAATAATCCCACAGTCACCACATTGAGCCATGTCATATATACTGAAGCTTCGACTCTTGGAGTCATAACCACTGCATCTTTTGGTCTCTATGTACTTCTTGCAACCTTAAATGGGGCGCTGTTAGTATTTGTATAATAATATCTAATACCATATTTATCTATGTTGAAACCTGTACACCTGGTACTTTGGTGTCATCTGTGTCTGAGCTGATTTCAGACATCTTGGAATACAAGATATTTTGATTTTTCTGGGTTAAATAATATATGATTGAGAACAAAATAATTGGAATCAACAACAATCCTGCTTGGACAAAGAATACAAATCCGGGTAGATGGAATCTATTTAAACCCACAGGATACAACATGCTTAATGTGACTGAGCCCAATAACTGGGCAATTGTCTCTGTAACAGCAATAACACTACAAAGAGCACCCTCGTCTTGTTTTTCAACCATTTTTGATGCAATGCTTCTGATGCATGGTGGCCCAGCTACAGCTAAAAATGCTGGTATACATGATATAAACATTGTTGCTGTAGTTTTTGCAAAACCCACAATAACATTGCTTAGGATGTAAGATAAACAACCAATAATGACGATTAAGGACTCAACAAAACATCTTGTCAACACTTTGAAAGCAAATACTATGCCAATACCAGCTGACGCCGTTTTGGTAGCAAGGTAGTAACCAATCATTTCTGATCCCCAACATAGAGGATGACGTTTTGTGAAAAGCACTGTGACATTACCAAAATAGTCAAATACTGAAAACAAAAATGACACTACCAATAATGCCAGACAGAAATTTACATATGGACCTCTCTTTGCCGTGATAAAATTCTTTATCCGTTTTGCATTAGCCAAGCAGGAAAACTTGTTAAAGGATTGCTTTTCCATCAATGATTCTGGCAGGTACAAAACATAAATACAGATGATGAACAATAAACTTGTGCTTGCCCATAATGGTGGCATATAACCTGGTTAACAAAATAAAACATATTATGTTATGACCATAAAACATATTAAGTAATGCACCAGTTTCCAAATGATGCTATAATCTTTTGAGTCTTTATTACCTGAATGTTTTAGCCAGATTCCATTGAATAAAAAACTTGTTGTAGCTGCAAAAACAAGGGATAGTTCAAGAATACCAAGCCTAAGAGTTCGGGCACTATCATCCGTAATATCAACAATGTAGGCTAAACATGAACCGGTGATTGTTCCAAATGATCCTGTGAGGCCCTCCACAAACGAACCCAGGAAAACAACATAAAATGGCCAACCTTAAAGAAATGAACTTTATTATAGATTTTACTGGTTTCATATTTTATAACTAAAATGATATATAAATACCATTTTCATACCAAATGACACTGTTAATGAAACAATTAGGAGGCGAAGAAATGAACCACATGTAGCAACTAGCATAACGGGCTTTCTTCCTGTCGAATCAGACATTGAACCATACATGAAGGTTGCAAACACAGATGGTAGGCTAGCTACATGTATAAACGAAAATGAAAATAATACTTGAGTGAACAGAAGGTATGTGATTAATTTATGATAAGGATTCCTACAGTTTTAAAACTACAACATACCTGACATTAACTTAAATAAACGCAGGAAAATACTATTATTACACTAAACCTGTATCTTTCTACTTTCGCAAATTATCCATAAAACGAAAGAAGTGAAATACAAAATCCGTATTTAATTAAGTGACACTAATACACGCAATAGGTGAGGGTAAATAAATTATGATTTTTGGCATTTCACTTGATGTAGGTAGAAAGGGTCTTACAGGTTGAAAGGGTCTTAATTTCAAGTGGAATTATACACGCTTCAAATTCAAGCCAGGAACAGTCGATGAAAAATAAGTCAACTGTCGGTCCTCCAGCAGGAATCGAACCTACGCTTTTGCGATGCCGGTGCAATGCTCATGTCACTGATACGCAAAATACGCAATAGATTGTAAAATTATCAAGGACTGCTTACATGATAGACTTAGCCCGACAAACCAACGGGTTGCTTGAGTTTGAACATGATTTTCCAACCTTGTAATACTTTCATCAACATCAGTGTCATTGTTGCACAATTCTTCTTCCCCTTTGGTGAAATTATATGACCTCCCGAGTTCCTCGTAAATGTATTGTTGCAATAAAGGTGATACCATAGCTAAAGCAAAAACGTAGGCAAACGCTACTGGTTCAACTGTAACTACACGCATTTTCAACGAGAATTACGATAGTCCAGCATTACTTTCCAGAAAGCCAATAATCACGCATATTTTTGACACTGTAATAATCAGTAATATGTAATAATAACCAATAACAAAGTGGTAGGTCTTGGCTAAAGGGGTGGTTTGCGCTTTGCGTGTTCGTGGTACACGCGTATGGCGTGTAGTCCCCCATTATTGAAGAATCGATTTTATTATGCAAAATTCGATTGTGAAATATTGAATTGTGATACTGATACATTGTCGTCACGTTGTACTATATTCTGCAATTGTGATACCCTAAATGGTGAAAGTCGTAAATTTTAAAACAATAAACTGTGAAGAGCTAAATTATACAACATCAAATTGTGATGCATTAAAATTGTGAATAGAGAAATTGTGCTACATTAAATTGTGAAACGCTAAATTGTGCTACTTTAAATTGTGAAACGCTAAATTGTGCTACTTTAATGACTTTTAATGTTGCACAATTTAGCGTTTCACAATTTAATTTTGCACAATTTAGCGTTTCACAATTTAATGTTGCACAATTTAGCGTTTCACAATTTAATGTTGCACAATTTAGCGTTTCACAATTTGATGTTGCACAATTTAGCGTTTCACAATTTAATGTTGCACAATTTAGCGTTTCACAATTTAAAGTAGCACAATTTAGCGTTTCACAATTTAAAGTAGCACAATTTAGCGTTTCACAATTTAATAATAGAAAGCAAGCATAATTTTCAGTAACAAGGATAAAGTGTCATATTGTGCTTCATTCCAGCTAAGAATATTTTATTCATTAGAGATATATCCTTAAAAATGAAGTTACATCCCCAAAATGCATCTTTGATTGAAATGCTTTTGTTTTTCAGGTAACATGGCGGCCTGTTCTTTGGGGTTTGGTTCTGCAGTTCATTTTTGGTATTCTCATACTGAGAACCAAGGAAGGATACAATGCTATGAATTACATAGGAGAGAAAGTGACAAGATTTCTTGATTATACTGTAGCAGGCATTGTTTTTGTATTTGGGGAATCCTACTATCTTCATTTTGTAGCATTTAAGGTATGTGGACTAACTAGTAATCATACATAATGTGTATTAGTGTATAACTAATACTTGTTATATCCATTGGGAATAGTCATTTCATTGATAGCATTGTTCAGCTGCGCAACCCCAGCTTTCTTATTGTGTGTCAGTGGAAATATCTGGAATATTCTCTTTTCTAAGGTTTTAATGGTTGTGATATTTGTGAGCTCTGTGACATCAGTGTTGTACTATATTGGTGTTATGGAAGTGATCATTGTGAAGCTCGCATGCCTTATGCAAATTACTTTGAAAGTGTCTGGGGTAGAGGCATTGTGTGCTGCTGCTAATGTGTTTGTAGGCCTGGTAAGATATCATAAAAGAGTTTTTGGATAAATCACTGCATCATGCATCCATGTATTCTTATTAAGATTTTCTGTTCTAATTAGATTGAAGCGCCTCTTTTAATTGGCCCCTTCGTGAAAGATGTAACAATGTCAGAATTACATTCCATAATGACCAGTGGTCTGGCGACCATAGCTGGTGGAATGCTAGCTGCTTATGTTAGTCTGGGTGTTGATGCACAACATGTGTTGTCAGCGTCAGTCATGTCTGCACCAGCAGCCCTGGCTATATCCAAGTTAATGTACCCAGAAACGGAAGTCCCCACTACCTCTGGTCTCAACGCTATACAGTTTCAGAAAAGGTTAGTGGTGCGACCACCCTCGTACCCAGGCGTATCCTGACCTCTGTACAATACCTGAATGCAAAGTTATATATTTTACTATTAAAACCTAGCCTCCTCCGCAGGCATCCCCTTTGTATTAAATAATATTAGGTTATTAAGCTTGGGGGTTTTTTTTTTCTTGCTCCCCCAACACAGCTAGGCCAAGCCAAATATATGCAGTTGTAGAAATGGCAGAAAAACGATGAATCTACAGATTTAAGCTAGCAATTATTAAAATGAATTAATCCCGAATTTAGAAATACTAAGGTTTAATCCAGGTTATACCAAACCACAACCATTTGAAAAGACATTATCTTACATCCTAAATCTGACTTCTTTTTTAGAAACGAGAAAAATGTCATAGAAGCAGCCACGAAAGGAGCCTCAGCTGCAATTGGTCTTGTGGAAAATATTGGCACAAATCTCATTGCGTTTTTTGCGTTTCTTTCATTCATCAATGCAATACTATTGTATCTTGGTAGTTTGGTTTTATATCCCGAACTCTCGTTTGAGGTATGAATTTCAGTTTGTAAAATATCATAATGTCTTCTCTGTGTTTTTTAGTTGATTTGCTCATATGTCTTTGCACCATTTGCTTTCCTGATGGGCGTGCAGTGGTCTGATTGTACGAAAGTAGCAGAGTTAATAGGTGTGAAAACGTTTCTCAACGAGTTCTTGGCATTCGGACAACTGTCAGTGTTAATTAAGAATAGAAAAAGTATGTCACCTGGACCAGTTTTATCGGTAAGATATTGCCGATCTCTTGCCAATCTATGAAAAAACTATGTGTATTTCAATATCATGGGAATACCATGCAGGGGCCAGTTGTTCAAAGCTAGGTCAGCCCTAGCTAACCCTGGGTTAAATTTTAATCCAGTGTTTTAGTTTATGTGCTTCTGAAGTACCGTTCGTTTTAAAACTTTAGAAAATATTACTTCTATCGATTTAGAAAATATTTATGAAAAAAGATATTCAACTTTGTGAACTAGCGGTTAGAAAAATTAATGTAAAGATTTGCTTTAACCCTGAGAAAAATAGGAAAATTAAAAAGAATTCGAAGTTTCAAAAAAAAGGGAAAAATTCTAAGTCAAAAAAGGGAGGGGAGAGAGTAGACAGGATAGGAGAGAAGAGCATAGATCCGCTGCATGTATGTTCTCCTTTCCTTCGCTTCCGCTGCTGTCCTCCCTCTCCTCTCATTCTTCCTCTCCCTCTCCTCTCTCCCTTCTCTCCCTCTCCTCTCCCTCCTCTTTCTCCCTCCCTTCCTTCCTCTCTCGCTCTCTCTCTCTCTCCCTTCCTCTCCTCTCCCTTTTTTCCTCTCCCTTCCTCTCCTCTCCCTTCCTCTCCTCTCCTCTCCCTTCCTCTCCTCTCCTCTCCACCTCTCCCTCTCCTCCCTCTCCTCTCCCTCCTCTCCTCTCCCTTCCTCTCCTCTCCCTCCTCTCCTCTCCCTTCCTTCTCTCCTCTCCCTTCCTCTCCTCTCCTCCCATCTCTGCTCTCTCTCCCTCCTCTCTCCTCTCCCTCCTCTCCTCTCTCTCCCTTCCTCCCCTCTCTCTCCCTTCCTCTCTCCTCTCTCCCTTCCTCTCTCTCTCCTCTCTCTCTCCTCTCTCTCTCCTCTCTCTCTCCTCTCTCTCTCCTCTCTCTCCCTTCCTCTCTCTCCCTTCCTCTCCTCTCTCCCTGCCTCTCTCCCTGCCTCCCTTCCTTTCCTCTTTCCTCTCTCTCTCCCTTCCTCTCCTCTCTCTCCCTTCCTCTCCCCTCTCTCTCTCTCCTCTCTCCCTGCCTCTCTCCTCTCTCTCCCTTCCTCTCTCTCCCTTCCTCTCCTCTCTCCCTTCCTCTCCTCCCCCTTGTTCAAGCCCTTGCATTGCCTTTTGGAATTTTTTCTTTCTTTATTTTGAAACTTCGAATTTCTTTTCAAATGTCCAATTTTTTTTGACTTAGAATTTTTTTCTTTATTTTAGAAACTACCAATTTATTTTTAAATTCCGAATTTTTTTAATTGTCTTTAATTTTTTTTCCTTCTTTTGAAACTTCGAATTTTTTTAATTTTTCATTTTCAATTTTTCAATGTTCAATTTTTTTCTTTCTTTGCCTTTGGAATTCCGAATTTTTTAAATTGTTCAATGTTTCTTTGACATCAGATTTTTTTGAAATTTCGAATTTTTTTTAATTTTTCAATTTTCAATTTTTCAACGTTCAATTTTCCAAGTCTTTGAAACTCATGTTTTGACACTGCTAGGGCTTGAACCACCACCGCTTATGGACTAACCACTGTCCTAACCAACTCGGCCACTGCTGCTGGTGGTGAAAGACGACAGTTTTTTATTTCACTTAATCCTTTCTTCGACTTAAGACTTTTTAATTTTTTTAAGTCTTTCACCACCGGCTATCAGCGGTGGCCGAGTGGGTTAGGACAGTGGTAAGTCCATAAGCGGTGGTGGGTTCAAGCCCTTGCAGTGTCAAAGCACGAGTTGCGAATTCTTATTTAATCTAAAGTCTCCAAAGAAAGGATGAAATGAAATAAAAAAGTTGCGCTTTTGCCACAAGCAGCGGTGGCCGAGAGGTTTCGGACAGTGGTTAGTCTATAAGCGGTGGTGGGTTCAAGCCCTTGCACTGTCAAAACATGAGTTGCGAATTCTTAATTAATTTAAAGTCTCCAAAGAAAGGATTAAATGAAATAAAAAACTTTCGTCTTTAACTACCAGCAGCAGTGGTCAAGAGGTTTAGGACAGTGGTTAGTCCATAAGCGGTGGTGGGTTCAAGCCCTTGCAGTGTCAAAACATGAGTTGCAAGTTTTTAATTAATTTAAAGTCTCCAAAGAAAGGATTAAACCATAAGCGGTGGTGGATTCAAGCCCTTGCAGTGTCTAAATATGGGTTTCAGACTTGGAAAATTTAAAAAGTCTTAAGTCGAAGAAAGGATTAAGTGAAATAAAAAACTGTCGTCTTTCACCACCAGCAGCAGTGGCCGAGTTGGTTAGGACAGTGGTTAGTCCATAAGCGGTGGTGGTTCAAGCCCTTGCAGTGTCAAAACATGATTTGCAAGTTCTTAATTAATTTAAAGTCTCCAAAGAAAGGATTAAATGAAATAAAAAACTTTCGTCTTTCACTACCAGCAGCAGTGGTCAAGAGGTATAGGACAGTGGTTAGTCCATAGACGGTGTGTGGTTCAAGCCCTTGCAGTGTCAAAAATTAAGTTACAAATTCTTATTTAATTTCAAAGACTTGTAAGGATAAGGTGAAAAAATTCTAAGTCTAAAAAATTCTAAGTCTCACCACCAACACTGATAGCCGGCGGTGAAAGACTTAGAAAATTTAAAAAGTCTTAAGTCGAAGAAAGGATTAAGTAAAATAAAAAACTATCGTCTTTCACCACCAGCAGCAGTGGCCGAGTTCGTTAGGACAGTGGTTAGTCTATAAGCGGTGGTTGGTTCAAGCCCATGCAGTGTCTAAACATGAATTTCAGACTTGGAAAATTTAAAAAGTCGTAAGTCGAAGAAAGGATTAAGTGAAATAAAAAACTGTCGTCTTTCACCACCAGCAGCAGTGGCCGAGTTGGTTAGGACAGTGGTTAGTCCATAAGCGGTGGTGGTTCAAGCCCTTGCAGTGTCAAAACATGATTTGCGAGTTCTTAATTAATTTAAAGTCTCCAAAAAAAGGATTAAATGATATAAAAAACTTTCGCCTTTCACCACAAGCAGCAGTGGCCGAGTGGTTTAGGACAGTGGTTAGTCCATAGGCGGTGTGTGGTTCAAGCCCTTGAAGTGTCAAAAATTAAGTTGCAAATTCTTATTTAATTTCAAAGACTTGTAAGGATAAGGTTAAAAAAATTTTAAGTCTAAAAAATTCTAAGTCTCACCACCAGCATTGATAGCCGGCGGTGAAAGACTTAGAAAATTTAAAAAGTCTTAAGTCGAAGAAAGGATTAAGTAAAATAAAAAACTGTCGTCTTTCACCACCAGCAGCAGTGGCCGAGTTGGTTAGGACAGTGGTTAGTCCATAAGCGGTGGTGGTTCAAGCCCTTGCAGTGTCCAAACATGAGTTTTAGACTTGGAAAATTTAAAAAGTCTGAAGTCGAAGAAAGGATTAAGTGAAATAAAAAACTGTCGTTCTTTCACCACCAGCAGCAGTGGCCGAGTTGGTTAGGACAGTGGTTAGTCCATAGGCGGTGGTGGGTTCAAGCCCTTGCAGTGTCAAAGCATGAGTTCCAAGTTTTTAATTAATTTAAAGTCTCCAAAAAAAGAATTAAATGAAATAAAAAACTTTCGTCTTTAACCACAAGCAGCGGTGGCGGAGTTGGTTAGGACAGTGGTTAGTCCATAGGCGGTGGTGGGTTCAAGCCCTTGCAGTGTCAAAGCATGAGTTCCAAGTTTTTAATTAATTTAAAGTCTCCAAAAAAAGAATTAAATGAAATAAAAAACTTTCGTCTTTAACCACAAGCAGCGGTGGCGGAGTTGGTTAGGACAGTGGTTAGTCCGTAAGCGGTGGCGGGTTCAAGCCCTTGCAGTGTCAAAACATGATTTGCGAGTTCTTAATTAATTTAAAGTCTCCAAAAAAAGGATTAAATGATATAAAAAACTTTCGTCTTTCACCACAAGAAGCGGTGGCCGAGTGGGTTAGGACAGTGGTTAGTCCATAGGCGGTGTGTGGTTCAAGCCCTTGCAGTGTCAAAAATTAAGTTGGAAATTCTTATTTAATTTCTAAGACTTGTAAGGGTAAGGTGAAAAAATTCTAAGTCTAAAAAATTCTAAGTCTTACCACCAGCACTGATAGCCGGCGGTGAAAGACTTAGAAAATTTAAAAAGTCTTAAGTCGAAGAAAGGATTAAGTAAAATAACGAACTGTCGCCTTTCACCACCGGCAGCAGTGGCCAAGTTGGTTAGGACAGTGGTTAGTCCATAAGCGGTGGTGGGTTCAAGCCCTTGCAGTGTCTAAAAATGAGTTTCAGACTTGGAAAATTTAAAAAGTCTTAAGTCGAAGAAAGGATTAAGTGAAATAAAAAAGTGTTGTCTTTCACCACCAGCAGCAGTGGCCGAGTTGGTTAGGACAGTGGTTAGTCCATAAGCGGTGGTGGGTTCAAGCCCTTGCAATGTCAAAGCATGAGTTTCAGAAATTGAAAAATCGGAAAATTGAAAATTGGAAAGTTAAAACGGACGTTTCAAAGAAAAATAGAAAATTTAAAAAAATGGGAAGTTTCAGAAAAAATGGGAAGTTTCAAACTTTCAGCACAAGCAGCAGTGTCAATGCATGAGTTTCAAAAATTAAAAGAAAAAGATAAAAATTCTAAGTTCAAATAAAATTCAAAGTTTCAGAAGAAAAAATCGAAGTTTCGAAAAAAATAAAAAAAATTCGAAATTTAAAAACAATTGAAAGAAATTCAGAATTTCAAAAAAAAATTGGAAGTTTCGAAATAAAATAAAAAAATTCTAAGTAAACAAAATTGGACAATAAAAAGAAATTTGGTATTTCAGAAAAAAAAAAATTCGAAGTTTCAAAAAGAGAAACATTGCAAGGGCTTGGAGGGGGGGATGGAGAAAGGAGGGGGGGAGAAAGGAAGGGGGGGAGAGGAGGGGGGGAGAAAGGAGGGGGGAGAAAGGGGGGGGAGAAAGGAAGGGGGGGAGAAAGGAGGGGGGGAGGGAGAAAGGAGGGGGGGAGAGGGGGGGAGAGAGGGGGGAGGGAGAGAGGGGTATAGGAGGAGGAGAGAAAAGAGGAGGGCATAGATCCCCCAGGTGTATGCTCCCCTCTTTTCTATCCCCCCCTCTTTCCCTCCCCCCTCTTTCCCTCCTCCCTCTTTCCCTCCTCCCTCTCTCCCTCCCGCTTCCTCCCATCCCCCCTCTTTCCCTCCTCCCTCCCATCCCCCTCTCTTTCCCTCCTCCCTCTTTCCCTCCTCCCTCTCTCCCTCCCCCTTCCTCCCATCCCCCCTCTCTCCCTCCCCCCTTCCTTTCACCATCCCCCCCTCCTTTCTCCATCCCTCCTCCTCTCCCCCCTCCAAGCCGTTGCATTGTCTTGTGAAATTTTTTTCCTTTTTTCTGAAATTCCGAATTTGTTTTATTGTCCAATTTTTTTTTTGAAATTCTTAATTTCTTTGATTGTCCAATTTTTTTTTACTTAGAATTTTTTTTTATTTTTTTTCGAAACTTCCATTTTTTTTAAATTCCGAATTTTTTTTATTTTTTTTCTTTTGAAACTTTGAATTTTATTTTGGATTTTTTTTTATTTTTTTTTCAATTTTTGAAACTCATGCATTGACACTGCTGCTTGTGCTGAAAGTTTGAAACTTCCCATTTTTTTAAATTTTCTATTTTTCTTTGAAACGTCCAATTTTAACTCTCCAATTTTCAATTTTCCGGTTTATCAATTTTTGAAACTCATGCTTTGACATTGCAAGGGCTTGAACCCACCACCGCTTATGGACTAACCACTGTCCTTACCAACTTGGCCACTGCTGCTGGTGGTGAAAGACGACAGTTTTTTATTTTACTTAATCCTTTCTTCGACTTAAGACTTTTTAAATTTTCTAAGTCTTTCACCGCCGGCTATCAGTGCTGGTGGTGAGACTTAGAATTTTTTCACCTTATCCTTACAAGTCTTTGAAATTAAATAAGAATTTGCAACTTTATATTTTTGGACACTGCAGGGGCTTGAACCACACACCGCCTATGGACTAACCACTGTCCTAAACCACTCGGCCACCGCTTCTTGTGGTGAAAGGCGAAAGTTCTTTATATCATTTAATCCTTTTTTTGGAGACTTTAAATTAATTAAGAACTTGCAAATCATGTTTTGACACTGCAAGGGCTTGAACCACCACCGCTTACGGACTAACCACTGTCCTAACCAACTCCGCCACCGCTGCTTGTGGTTAAAGACGAAAGTTTTTTATTTCATTTAATTCTTTTTTTGGAGTCTTTAAATTAATTAAAAACTTGGAACTCATGCTTTGACACTGCAAGGGCTTGAACCCACCACCGCTTATGGACTAACCACTGTCCTGACCAACTTGGCCACTGCTGCTGGTGGTGAAAGACAACAGTTTTTTATTTTACTTAATCCTTTATTCGACTTAACACTTTTTAAATTTTCTAAGTCTTTCACCGCCGGCTATCAGTGTTGGTGGTCAGACTTAGAATTTTTTAGACTTAGAATTTTTTCACCTTATCCTTACAAGTCTTTGAAATTAAATAAGAATTTGCAACTTAATTTTTGACACTGCAAGGGCTTGAACCCACCACCGCTTATGGACTAACCACTGTCCTAACCCACTCGGCCACCGCTGCTTGTGGTGAAAGACGAAAGTTTTTTATTTCATTTGATCGTTTCTTTGGAGACTTTAAATAAAATAAGAATTCGCAACTTATGCTTTGACACTGCAAGGGCTTGAACCACCACCGCTTATGGACTAACCACTGTCCTAAACCTCTCGACCACCGCTGTTTGGCGTGAAAGATGAAAGTTTTTTATTGGATTTAATCCTTTCTATGGAGACTTTACGTGAAACAAGAATTCGCAACTCATGTTTTGACACTGGAAGGGCTTGAACCCACCACCGCTTACGGACTAAGCACTCTCTTAAACCTCTTGGCCACTGCTGCTGGTGGTGAAAGACGAAAGTTTTTCATTTGATTTAATCCTTTCTTTGGAGACTTTAATTTAAATAAGATTTCGCAACTCATGTTTTGACATTGCAAGGGCTTGAACCCACCACCGCTAATGGAGTTAGCACTGTCCTAACCCACTCGGCCACCGCTGATAGCCGGTGGGAAAAGACTTAAAAAAATTAAAAAGTCTTAAGTCGAAGAAAGGATTAAGTAAAATAAAAAACTGTCGTCTTTCACCACCAGCAGCAGTGGCCGAGTTAGTTAGGACAGTGGTTAGTCCATAAGCGGCGGTGGTTCAAGCCCTTGCAGTGTCAAAACATGAGTTTCAAAGACTTGGAAAATTGAACGTTGAAAAATTGAAAATTGAAAAATTAAAAAAAATTCGAAGTTTCAAAAATATCTGAAGTCAAAGGAAAATTGAACAATTTAAAAAATTCGGAATTCCAAAGCAAAGAAAGAAAAAAATTGCACAATGAAAAATTGAAAAATTAAAAAAATTCGCAATTCCAAAATAAATTGGTAGTTTCAAAAAGAAAGAAAAAAATTCTAACTCCAAAAAAAAATTGGACATTTGAAAAGAAATTCAAAACAAAGAAAGAAAAAATTTCAAAAGGCAATGCAAGGGCTTTAACAAGGCGGTTGAGAGGAAGGAAGGAAGGAAGGGAGAGAGAGGAGAGAGAGGAGAGAGAGGAGAGGGAGAGAGAGGAGAGGAGAGAGAGAAGGAGAGAGGAGAAGAGGAGGAGAAGAGAGAGGAGCAGAGAGAGGAGAAGAGAGAGGAGAAGAGAGAGGAGAAGAGAGAGGAGAAGAGAGAGAGAAGAGAGAGAGAAGAGAGAGGAGAGAGAGGAGAAGAGAGGAGAAGAGAGAGGAGAAGAGAGAGGAGAAGAAGAGGGAGAGAGAGAGAAGAGAGGAGAAGAGAGAGGAAAGAGAGAGGAGAAGAGAGAGGAGAAGAGAGAGGAGAAGAAGGAGAGAGAGAGAGGAGAAGAGAGAGGAAAGAGAGAGGAGAAGAGAGAGGAGGAGAGAGAGAGGAAGAGAGAGGAGAAGAGAGAGGAGAAGAGAGAGGAGAAGAGAGAGGAGAAGAGAGAGGAGAAGAGAGAGGAGAAGAGAGAGGAGAAGAGAGAGGAGAAGAGAGGAGAGAAGAGAGGAAGAGAGAAGAGAGGGGAAGGGAAGAGGAAGGGAAGAGGAAGGGAAGAGGAAGGGAAGAGGAAGGGAAGAGGAGGGGAAGAGGAAGGAGGAGGAGGGAAGAGAAGAAGGAAGAGAGGGGAAGGGAAGAGGAAGGGAAGAGGAAGGGAAGAGGAAGGGAAGAGGAAGGGAAGAGGAAGGGAAAAGGAAGGGAAGAGGAAGGGAAGAGGAAGGGAAGAGGAAGGGAAAGGAAGAGAGAAGAAGTGAGAAGAGGGAGAGAGGGGAAAAGAGGAGGAGAGGAAGAGAAGGATAGAAGAACATACACTTGGAGGATCTATGCTCTTCTCTCCTCTCCTATCCTGTCTACTCTCCTCTCTACCCTCTTTTTTTTACTTAGAATTTTTTCCTTTTTTTTGAAACTTCGAATTTTTTTAATTTTCCTAATTTCAATTTTTTTTTGAAACTTTGAATTTCTTTTAATTTTCCAATTTTCAATTTTTCAATGTTCAATTTTCCAATTTTTGAAACTCATGTTTTCACACTGCAAGGGCTTAAACCCACCACCGTAAGTTTATTTTATTTACAAGTATTTCACTATACGTAAATGATGTTACCTGAGGATTGACGAATCCAGTCATCCAGAAACATATTGGTCTACCATGCCAATATGTTCTCCAAAAAGCCACGTGGAGAACTGGTTATTCCTTTCGATCAAATCCGTAAACCAAAAGCCAAGTGTTGTGGACTCCCAGGATATCTAGAAGAGAAGTGATGTTTTTAGCATAATCCAAAAACGACATATTGATATTCGGAATTCAGGATTAAGGCTATGTACACGTGCATGCACACGGTAACGTTTTCGAGCGTTTTCATATTTGTTTTCGTGCCAAAATGGTTTCAAACAGTTGAAATGAGTTTAACGCGTATTAGGCGTATTTTCCATTGGATCGTGTGGACAGGGTGTCTAAACAATAAAATAGACAAAAACGATTTTGAAAACGCTGGAAAACGACGCTCGTGTCCACATAGCCTAAGACTGATTGTAAGAGGCAGGGTAATGCAAGAGTATGTTGAAAGAGTGGTTAGCTTTTTCCAAAGTGCTGGAACACCTAGACCACGTAGATTAGGACAGGCGTAGATGATCATTATGATGAAATAAATAAGGATGAAATAGAAAAGTTTTTAACAAGTTTTGAAAGTGAATTAGTGCAACTGTTGTTGGAAAGTAAAGATTGTACGGAGGCACAGACGATGAAGTCTGGTTTTCATGGATTTTAATCCATCGCAGATAGTTTTTTTTCCGTGGCTTCACTGATGCAAAAATGCACAAACACATTCATATTATACATGCTCTTCTGAAAACAATTTGCTCGTACGATATTACACTATATCATATTCGACTTAATATGAAATAAACATGAAGTACTACGCTCAGCCACTAGACACAGACGAATAAACACGCGTCTCACTAAAGATTTAAAACATGCACCACGTGGATGGGCGCCTTCCTTTCATTCATTCTTAAAACTCATTTCAATATTCAAATCATCATTCATTGCTGAAAAGATTCATTTTTACTTTCGTTTCTAAACTGAACGCTCCCTTTTTGCACAAAATATTACATTCAATCTCAAGAATAGTCGGTAAGCCTATAATTCTGCTACAACTACTATTTGAAAACTCAGGGAGAGGATTTCTGGAGTGTTATTGATGACTCTAGTGCGCAGATTGCGTTATGATTTGAATACATTTTGAATGAATGGCTTCTTGGCCTTTGTTGTGGGCGGTTGATGACACGAAAACAGCCAGGTAAATCAGACAAAAAACGTTACTTTTATACCTAGAAGTTATACATATAAGTTCATTAAGGGTATCGATAATCTTCGTCAAGATTTATACTCCTAAGGTAACGCTAATTTTCCTTTTATTTCTGCTATATCTTGTGATGTTTTAAGACGTCAAGTGAAACCGCAACTTGTTGCATGGCGTCGTAAAACGCTAATCTTTGATGTTTTGAATGCAAACCACCCAACCGTACAACGCTTTGTCTATCAACAGAATCGGCTGTTTGTTCAAAGTTTTGCGACTTTGAAACACACATATCCATATAGCAAACATTGTGTCATTTAGCCGGAGTTTCTTCCTGATCATATATCCATAATACAACGCACGCAGGATCCAGTTAAGACATCTCTCATTCGCAATGCATAAAATATATAAAATTTTATCGGACTGTCTTAAAGCGAACCTTTTGTTTTATACAGTTTAAGTTGACTTTATAGTCTGATTCTGTATATACGTGTGTTAATATCTGAAGAGTCAGAGTTTGGTCACGAAGTTCGTTTCTTGGCATATTACAGACAGTGTTTCGTAAACATCTAAATGCAGTAATTTATCTTTTCTCATCGTTATAGTTCCCTTTTGACACATTCTTCATCTCAATAGAAGAACAGTGAAACTCGCATGACATACTAATAGGTTAAGTGCACATTAGGGATAAAAACAATTCGGTAATCCTCATTTCGTTTTTTTATACTCTTCCTCACCTTTTGCGACATGCACGAATTCCTTTGTTCTTACATAAAAACATAAAAACACGAATCTTAATCTTCTTTCTAGAGTATCGTGACAGATATAAATTGCATGACAAGTTCATAGTTAATGCACCTCATGCCTGTTACATATTCAAACTTCATTTCCGCTGAGACAATTGATTTCATTGCGGGTGGGAACATGTAAGGAAACTATTCAGATATTATACACTCGCGATGGACATGTAGTCTATATAAAGCGGATATATTTAGGCAGATTTTCATATAGAGAATCTTTGTCGTGTATGGTGAGGTGGTGTATAAAAGCCTTACTATAGTTGAACTGAGCTTAAATTGATTTTTGGGGGATTCGAGGAACGAGATTGTATTAAAAACATAGAAGATTAGATTAGGAGGTAATAAAGTGATATAACGGTTTATGGTTTTGACTTCAGGTATATAATCTTTTTAATATTTTGCTAAATGATTTGTATATGTATCTAGCGCATGTACTGGTTGTAAATATCGTTATAAGATAGAATTATGTGCGACGCTTATCTCCGTTCAGTATTACTGTATATGTTCATCAAGTGTACAATGAGTGTTTGTAAGTAGATTTGTGCAAACTAAAGTGTTTCATCTTGTCTTTTAGCATCAGTGTTTGTGATAATCAACGATTGTAAAAGATGAAGAAATATTATGTAAGTATAACTGCGTGACTAGGAGGTATACTATATTCCCTAATATAGTTACTCAACAAAGCTTTATTTCATTTGCTCATGCAGTACGAGGATCTCACAGCGATGTCTGAACCAGCGAGGGAAATGTGGATGTGCGACCAATGTTCGGAATTTGGAAAAGAGATTGAAAATCTGATGACAGGCAGAGAGAAAGAAAGTTTTACAGAGGAAATGTATCGTAAACTACGCCAGGTAACGAAACGTTGGACATCCTGGCATCACAAGACTTTTGGGAATGTCACCTCAAGACAGTAAGTATATACATAGAGAAAGCTTGTCTAATTTAACGATTTCTGAGTGAACTGTGTCGTATTTAACGTTGATCCAACTAACTCCAGTTTCAATTACTTCTCCCAACGATAAGCATCGATAAGATTTTCACACATCATTAACAGATAATCCTAAATCCACTTTAGGTCTGTCGCGGAACTGTTAGCCTGGGAACAAAGTACAACTTTACTCATCAATCCTGTCATTAAGACCAGAACCATCACTCAGGAAGAAAATATCCTCGTGAGATTCAACGAACTGTGCGAAAAGCTGGAACAACTCCATCAGAGCTTCACAGACGATATTCTTGAACCGATGTGTGAATTCTTCTGGCCATCATCACAGAAGCTAAAACTCACGAATGTTGTTGAGAATCTTAAAACTTTGCTTTCACAATGGAAGGGATTACTCGGTCCAGGCACGATAGATCAATCGCTGTTCTCCGAACCTAGCTCGAAACATCTCCACACTTGCACCTTAAGAGGACGAAGCTACGATTACGATTCGGTGATAAGACTTATCCCAGATATTCTCCAGAAAGCCACACTTGCTCTGACAGTCGTCCGTAAGTGGAGAGTGCTGTATAAACAGGGTTGTCTTTCGAGGCAGAAAACCTACAGTTTGATGGGATCCACACGCTTTAGCACGAAATCAAAGTCCGCATCTCAGGAAAAGTTGGGCATATTGGAACAGCAATCGGACGAAGTACAAAACCGTTGCGATAACTTGAGAAACGAACTTGAAAACTGCCGTGAAAGGTGCCATGATTTAGAGAAAGATTTACACGCTCATGTTGAACTTTGTGACCGCTTGGAAATCGAAATCGAGAAAGCCAAAGAAGCTTGTGATGTAGGTAAAGAAAGGCTGGATGGGGCCAAGAAGAACGTTCAGGAAAATCCTGAGGCAAATTCTCAACAATATCGACAAGTTTTACAACAAGAGCTCAATGCAGCGAAGATCAAGTTCTGCACTAAAAGGATCAAACTAATCAATGCTCGTAAGCGCTGTGTCACTATATCCGAACAGCTTGAGAAAGCCCGAAAAGAATACGAGACGCTTAAAATGGAAGGTGAAATTTCTCAGAATAAGTACCTGGTTCTTAGAAGCCAACTGGAGAACTTTCGGAGAAATATCAAGATTCAAGGTGGCATGGTTGATAGTCTTCAACAGCAGTGTTACGCCCTGAAGAAAGAGTTGGACAACTCGAAAGCAAGTTGCGAGAAGGTCACTCGGGAGTTGACCGAGGTCAAGTCAAAATGCGGAGGACTGGAGAAGAGATTACGTCATAAGGAAGAGGAATGTCTTAAGACGAAGAATGAGTTGAATGAAGCTTTGAAGAGAGAGGAAAAATTGAGAGTTGAAAATACGAAATTAATGGATATTTGCAAAGGTAAATGGAAAAGTCTAAAATACTACATTTTTCCCTCTCGAAGTCTAAATAAGCTAGTGGCTGTTATGTTAATGTCAGTTCTTCTAATGGATTATGTTTTTCTGTTTTAGCACAGGAAATGCCTTCAGATGAAAGCAGTTTAACCACACCCATTGAAAGATGATTGAAAGATGATGGAACATCAGCAGGGATAAAATTTGTATAAACTATGTTATCAACTAAATTTAACGATGATATATTTAAAAAACAGATAAATGTTTTTCATAAGTAAAGATGTAAAAATATTGATGAAATAAAGCTTTTTATATTTACCAAATATCCGGCGATGAAATGGCTGAATCATTTTGCTTTCCCTTCATTGCATGGCCAATTAAGAAAGCCGGTGTACCTAAAAGAAAGATAGAACATCACTTACCGGTTCTCTCAACTCAGACAACGAATATATATAAACCACAAACAGCAGGAAATCTTATGCATCGTTTCCCGAATTATATTGTTTATGCTAAATTTTTTAACGTGTGTTCCAAAATACCCACTGGAAAGCGGTCTAAATTAGTTCAAATCTAAACAAACATCTTGGCATGATTAGATCCAAAAAATTAGTCGTTTGTATACATAAGATTGAACACGTAGCTTTTATGGGTATGAATTTTAGTCGTTGACAGTGTTTCTATCCGTATAAAAACACTTAAGAAGCCGTATTTGAGAGTGCTATTACTTCTATTTTTGTTCGTTAACTGTTTTCACCGCCATTCTTTAATATCGTTTCTTTAGTTCATATCTGTTGGGGTTAGACCCCCCAAGCTAGTCTAACAGTCGGTTGCGAGCATACGAGCAATTGGCAACTGTTGTTTGTCAATATCACCAATATGAACATACATGCTACCATCTGCTAGTTAACCAACATATAATCGTCGCAATTATACACTTCTACATAACCGAGTGTTGCAATTTCTATTTCGAGTATTCTAAGTGGGTATTTCAAGCTTCCAAGATGCAACGTTCATCGTTACGACGTAAAAGCAAGATCACAACAATGTTGTTTGTCTTTGAAATATTCATTCTTACAATGTATGTTGTCTTTATCGATTATGGCGAAGAACTCTTACCTGTTGATCCTCCTGACAGTGACCATAACCACGAGAATGATCCTATTAGACTGAATGGTAAACATTTGTTTTATTTATCGTATCGTCTGTTAAATGATTTAAACCATTTCTGCTCTCCTCTGACCTTTCTATGAGCAACTGGAGTGGTATTTTTTATTATTAGCATTTGAAGACGTTCATGTCATGGTTTTTGTCGGATATGGTTTTTTGATGATATTTCTCAAAAGGTATGGTTTCAGTGGATTAGGATACAACTTTATTGTTGGCACTGTGGCGATTCAGTGGTCGGTAGTCATGGCAGGTTTCTTCAATCTCAAAGATTCAAAAATTCACCTTACAGGAGACAGGTAATATTCGACAGCTTATTCACGTCACCGACTCCTTGTTGGGTCTTTTCATCGACTGATTATATCAACCTGAAAACACATATTACCTCGTTCTACAGCAATTATGATATTACTTTGATAATTTGTATATACAAACCCACCCAGTCTGCTTTCTCAGCGGGATAAGACATGAGACGAAATAAGAATATTTGCATCAGAAATCACCAAGAGAGAAAGTTGATAACACGAATACTTCATCATTAATGAACTGCTTCTTGCGTTGACTCCCAATATGAGTGTGATGAGATTGGAGACAAGACTGATAGAGCCAGCCTTAGGCCGTACACCACAGCATCGTTTTCTTTTCTTAGTGTTATCAAAGCTGAATTCGCGACAGCCACAGTTCTGATCACTCTTGGCGTGATCCTCGGAAAGGCCAGTCCTATTCAGTTGTTTCTCATCACGGTGGTAGAGGTATTCTTGTACTCGATAAACCGGGGTGTGTGTGAACATATCTTAGAAGCAATAGACCCGGGGGGAGCGTTTTATATTCACGTGTTTGGTGCGTTGTTTGGACTGGGAGTGGCAAAGATGATCTTCAACCCGCGAGCAGTTGCACATGAAGAGGAGGTATCTTTGTACCATTCTGACCTCTTTGCAATGCTGGGTAAGTTCAATTGTAGAATTGCCACCTCTTGCAAACCATTGCAAATCAATGCATTCATCGATGTCATTTTCTCATGTAGGAACTCTTTTCCTATGGGTTTATTGGCCTGGTTTCAATTCATCATTACTTCTTGGTCACATAAAGCACCGAGCCATCATCAACACGTATTTTGCATTGGCTGCAAGCTGTGTGACAGCTTTTGCCTGCTCCACAGTTTTGACTAGAGAATCCAAATTTAGTATGGTAAGAGTTCACCTTTAGAGCATCTTCGTACTAGACAGACCTCTAGGTAGGGCGTTTTTCTTTTGCACGTTAAAGAGACTCTGGGTACGAGGTTACCTCATACCCCTTCCTCAGACATTGCTAGGTTGATGAGCTATCAAAGTTTTTAGATATCATGTGTTTATTCTTACTTTATTTGTATCCGTTCCTGTAGGTCCATATTCAAAATGCAACGTTATCAGGAGGAGTTGCTGTTGGTGCTATAGCTCATATGATCATCCATCCTTGGGGGGCAGTTTTGATAGGTTTAATAGCGGGTGCATCGTCCACTGCAGGTTATGAGTATTTCCAGGTGAGTTTAAAAGTATTGCTTTAAAGTTTTCTCCTCACATCGCCTTATTTTGGTCGCAGTCATGAAATTTCCAAACGTGTTCTGTTTTCCAGCCCTGGTTAATCAAACAGTTCAGTATGCACGACACGTGCGGTGTGACAAGTCTTCATGGCATACCTGGAGTGTTATCAGGAATATGTAGCATCGTGATTGCTGCCATCGCTGGATTTCCTCAATACAAAAACAGGTAATGGATACAATGTACCAGTATGGATACAATACCATATACCAGTATGGATACAATACCATATACCAGTATGGATACAATACCATATACCAGTATTAATGCAATACCAGATATTACACGCATCATAATTTCTCACTTCACATTTAGCTTGTACAAGATTTACCCAGCACGAGCGCCAGCCATGAATACCACGGAGTATGCAGAACTGACGCAACATTTTCCCGATATCAACGCGGGTCAGGGAAGATCTGCCAACATCCAATGTGCCATACAAGTTGCAGCTTTGATGATCACTTTAGCGATATCCACAATCGGCGGTCTCTTTACTGGTTAGTAAGATCTTATGTAGTGGTACTCAAAGATCCTGAGACCTTATTCGTTCTACCATAGACTATGTTTCTACACTTGTGACCATATCAATGATTGATGTCTGTTTCCAGGTTTCATAGCCAGGTTGAAGTTTTTTGATCCCCTAGACGACAAAGATTTCTATTTGGATGAACCATATTGGGAGGTAGGGGTAGTCTAAATACTTTAGAACTCTCTGCACTCTCTTGAAATGGTTCTTCATTGAAGAAACAACTATTTTCGCATCCGATTTTGACATTGACGGCCTCTTCCAGGTGCCAGATGATTTTGTTCCAGTTCGCCCCCAGATTCTTATTCCTCAAGTGCCGGGAGTAGCTTTGAATGAAGACGATGATGATGAATATGGAGAACAAGAAAGCGAATATGGAGAAGATAAAGAAGAAGAAGGTTTTGTGTTGAGGAAAAGTATTGATTTCTCACATGCACTTGTCTGAAAGTTTGGAACACAAGTAAAACGCACAAAGTTGAAGACTGCGAACTATATCTCTGGAGAAGCATCACAATTTTTTATAAAGTAGAAAAAAAATTTAGGATTTAGCATTACAAGTTCTGTTAATGAAATTTGCTTGTTTCTTTTTTTCATTGTGTCAAAAAATTGTAATCCAGCGAGGATTCTTACACCTTTTAAAAAGTTCCCGCGCCCACCGCGATTTCTGAGATGTAGATACAAGCTACACTTATGGAGACATTATGCAAGAGTGCTTTTTAGATCGAATTGCCACACATCTCATGGAAGATGATTCACTCCACGTTTAAAATATCAACAACCATTTACTGCGCGCTACCTCAGTTGCAAAGCATAAAAAACGTTACCTTTCAAAATATAAATTTAATCAATTATACAATCAATATTTTATCGCAATTAGTTTTCTTACAGCTATAATAAAGCTAATAATCATCTTTTTATATATTAACCAGCAACATAATATATTATTTTTCCACTTTTTTAAAATTAATTATATAATAATAATTCATTTACTGTGATAAACTGTTAAAGTTAAGTATTAGGTATCTTACATATGTATTTTTAGTTTAGTGTTTTGTTACTATGTGATAAACAAATTTAGGTTACTCAGGTTAGCTTGTTACCTTTGTACATGGTCATTTTCAGCTAGGAATCTAAAATTTATACAACAATGTTTGTAATTACTGATAGCTGAACCTAGAACATGCAATTACATTACCTTGAGTATGGATGTTCCCGCACGAGACCTCTTCGAACTTTTGGATTCCCACCTAATCCAAACAGACCACCATTTTCTAACAATGAAAAATATCTATCAAATATTTTTTTACCATGCTTGTTTTAAAAAGCCAGAGTAGTACCTATGAAAGATCCATCCATTGAGATATCCACAACACCTCCCCGAGATGAGAATCCAAAGTCGGTTCCTGCCATTGCCGTTGACAAATGGTTTCCAACTATTAAATTGAGTGAATGATAAAATATTGAACCGATTGCAAACCTGAATACAACCTAGAACATTTGATGTAATAGGCGGATGCAATAGTTACCTGCGGGTGATCTAACTCCAGGGAAGGCACCAGATACTGGCGTTGCAGGAGGACTGAGCATGTTCATGTTACCATTACTGCCTAAGGTATAAAATTAATTATGGTTGTTTTATACATCAAGCCAAGGGTGATGTTCGCAAACACAGCTGAGCTCAGAATACCTGGTGGTCTGTATGTACCATTAATGAGCGCCAATGTTCCCAGTTGTTCCCTCTTTATTTCATCATCACCATCCTCCTACAAAGTTTAACAAGTTAATTTTATCACAAAGACTCACTGATATATTTGTACTAAAGCAATGATTCAATAAACTATTAACACAATCTTAGAATCTGTAAGATTGTTTAGTTCTCTTAATGCAATTGTACATACCACTGGTTTCATCAGCATTTTGATTTCATTAACAGCTCTTTCCAATCTTACACTTGCTCTTTCTTGAGTATCTTCAACAGCTATCAGAACATGAAGGTCTTCCTCCAAATGCTCATAGTTTGGTTGACCACGCTTCTCTTCCTCCTGTTTGACAAGAATTATTCTCCATCATTTATTGCCTAGTTTATTGAATGATCTAAACAGGCCACTTAGTTCATCACTGATGCCACAAAAAGTAACACAAAAAACATGCAAAAAGCTCATATCAAAAGCCTTACCATTTTTCTATCTTTCATTGACCCTTTCCCACGAACTAAAAGCTTACAGCCTGTCTCTGCTTCAATTTTTCTTAAAGTTAATCCTCTTGGTCCAATAATCCGTCCAACAAAATTGAACTAATAAATTTGCATTGCATATTAGAAAACTAAGTCTATGTTTTCTTTTTAAGTCTTCTTTCTTGCTGACATTACTTTTGTTTGGTTAAAATTATGTTAGTTGTGTTAAACTGACCTTTGGGAACTCTTTGACAGGAGCAAACACCTTTTCAGTTAGTTTTACATTTTTACCGTTAGATGGTGGTAGGTTAAGTGGTGCAGAGGCGGGTAATGGTAGGCCATTGCATGGACCATGGAATAGCTCAGTTCGTATACGGTTAATTTCTAAATATAAGAGGTTAACATTGATAGGCTTGATAGTTAGAATGGCTATGTTGTTTCAGTTGTTAGACCTTACTTGCAGAGCAACTGTCTTTATATTTTGGTCGGCACTGGAAAATCTCAAATGTCAATTACGAAAGATTATTTACAGATAAACTGTCAAAGATTGGATTTTGGTAAACACATTGGAGTTTTTTAACCAGATTGGAATGGGAAATAATTAAACCTTAGAACAAGTATACAATGCTAGCATGCAAATTTCATTTCATTTTGAAAGATGACCTATATCAGAATCAATTAAAATAATCTATCCTTCATGTATCAATGCATGTTATCTCTCATTAACTATTTTCATTAAAACTGTTGCATAAATTAGCTTTCGTTTAAACAAAGCTGGGCAAACAGAATCAAGATATTTACGTTGCTAAGCCAACTACTCCTATAGCAAGTGGAATTCATTTGAAGTATCCTAGGAAAAATAGAATTGTTTAGGTAGAATTTTTCATCAATGTTCTACTTTCAAATGCTGCAATAGCTAACAGATGTGTTTTTAAGTCTATATTCAAGCTATATTTCAATAGCCTTGATTTTAAAACTCAGGCTGAGTTTGATTTCTTTACAAGGGAGAATTGATTGTCTAAATTTTAATCTGTTGTAATCCTTGTGTTTTGTATTATAATGTACACACCAGCATCCCAATGTTATAACATTAGTATTTTGTGAGCTATACACCTTATTGAAAATACATAAGCTACATGGAATTGATGGAAATATTCTAATTTGAAACATAACGCTTTTATTTAAAAAAAAAAGACCTGGAAATTAATTGGCTTTGAGACAATGTATTGTTATAATTGTTTGTGTGTGAAACAGCTTCTTATGTTGCTATGGAATTTGGCACGAGCCAATGCTATTTAACGCATGAAAAAGCATGGAAAACCAGCTATTAATAATTTTAAATGTCAGTTTCATTTGTTTTGGGAAGAAAAGGAGATACTTTTTTACGGTTTTATAAACATTCTGGGCAACAGAGTCTACTCCAAACCGCTAGATAGCTTACAGAAAAGCAATATTAAATGTTAGCGTCTTCGTAACTCGATACTTTTGACAGCTACACAAGCGTAATTAATATTTCCCATTCAAGTTTACAACCCATTTCTACGCTTTCGCTGGAAGAACTTGCTATAAAATTATACACTTTTCATTACTGTCGCTCTTCCTACTGACAATTTAATTTTGTTTAGTCGACGGAAGGGCATTGAAATAATAACAACTTTCGTTTTGAATCTCTAAATACGCATAAGAGGTGACCTGCAATGGAGCAGGTGCTTGCGCTGTGCTCTCGCTCGGGTAAACATTACAAAGCGTGGGGAAAGAAAGAAGTATTACGTCTGCAAGATTGTGGTTAAAATATTGCGATCGAATCTTGTCAAATTAAATCCCTCCATTTGTCTTTTAAATGAATGCGGCGAAAATAATCACAGAGGCGCAATTGAAACTACTTTGCATTACATGTTGCTATGTGTTTGTTTTATGAAAATGTTACAGCCTTGGAGAGCAAAGTAGCATTATAAATTCAAATCGTCGCTGAAGCGAGGATGAAATTTAAAGCAAGTGCATTTGGGCTACGCTGTTTACAAAATGATGGAATTACAATCTATCAAAAGTTCATCATTTATGCGAAAGCCCAAGTATCATGAATGAAATACCGCGCCACGGCGGCCACGCGGAGCAATCGAAATCGAGCAGCTAGTCTGCAAACTGTGTCCATGCCAAGTGCCTTTTCAACGTGATTTTCGAAGAAAAACCCAACTCTTATTAATACACTCATCTAAGATTAGTGTGCTAAGCTATTTTACGATTCCTGTTATCAAAGCATTAGTTCGCAATTAAAACAAGTAGAAATATAAACCATGAAATCTATATGCTATTTGCTACGCCAGTTGATCGATTTTGTAAACATGTTACATTTCAAATAGCGCACGAAGATTTAAGCCTGGATTTTGAAGCCATCCTAAATATAAACGCCGTGAAATGAAGACTATATTTAGGACGCTTCTACGCATAAAGCAGACTTACCAATATACTTGAAAGCCGCTATGTTACGAAGAGAAATAAACAAGTTGAAAGGTGTTTTATATTTCGAATAGTTGAGTAAATGTAAATATTATAATGTCGGCTCACCTTCGTCGAGTAGTCGTTCCAAATGTAGAAATATCTTGGGCATTTTTGAAATGGTTGTTTTATCTTTTAGTAGTTGGTTAAGATATTCGCTAGTGTTCATTTTGAACTGATATTCGTTTAAAAATTAAACGGTTTTATTTCATTAAAGGCCAAGACCTGCTGATCTGAGTAGTCCCTTGTTCAATTTGACCGGATACCGCGCGCTCTGGAGCGTACAGCGCGGGACAATCCGACCAGGTGACGTATGTCCGGGGTTCACTACCTGGAAATTTGAGATTATACGAAGCAGATATGGTAGTTGTATATTGATTTCATCGTTAAATGACTGTCGTTAGCTACAGTTTACATTGTCTAGTTCTACTAGAAATTATCTTTCTGCGCAGACCAAGTGTCTATGTTTTGTGGCGGAAAAGTAAACAGTGCCTTTTTTTTTAACGAGCAATCGTTCAGGACAATATCATGTCTTTGTATCCCTGATAATAGGCTTGTCGTGGATAGCAAGCACTGATAAGAAGTGCAAAATAAGTGGAGAGATTGAGAGGTTATGAACATCTGAATTATATATATATATATATTATATATATTTAGTATGCATCACAGACCGCAATATTAAACTGGACACAACTACCAGCTTTCAACACGCGCGTGTCTCGTGGTCTCGTGTGAACGTTTCTTCGAGACTTCGATACCAATATGGCTGCCTCTGAGGAGTTAGCCGCGGAAGAACAAAAACAAAAGTATTATGTTTTCTATTGCATGAGTTGTCTTAACATCCTAGGAGATAGTTTTGCAACAGCGAGGATGAACAAAAATTTAAAAAGCATATCACTTAATGGTTGGTATACAGAAAAATAGCTGTACCACAATAGGTTTGGTAGCAATCTGCCAAATATCTAGCAATTAGCATCGCTATTTTCAAGGTGAATGTACGGATGTACAAACAACCTATTAAATCATCTATGTTTTTCAAGCTGTCACTGAATCTGTGGGAATATCTCAGGAATGCGAGACATCCGGTGAAGGAGATGATAGAGGAAGGTGAAATGATTTCTAAGCTATTTGAATTCAAAGATAAAGTGCAGCCCTGGGAAAGTTTTTACATTTGATTTCTTTGAACTATTACAGTACCTTTCATATTCTGGAATGCAAGCACTGTCACCGTGCTATCGGCCGAATGTACGACACCACACCAAAGAAACTAGACTGCATTAGGTAAGTTATTGATGTTTATCAACATCATCGATCATCAAAATATGGTTTGGGACTTTGGGTAACTTAGATCAAACTATTTGCCATTCATTAATGAATATATTTAGAGATCTGTACACACTAGACTGGAACAAAGTTAAAAGTTACCAACTTGGACAGGGCACAAACACAAGCATTAAGCCGAATATACAAGATGCGGAATTAATAGTATGTATCAACTTGCCTTGAATGTTTCTGCCATTCAGCTAATATGTTCATATTTATCCTTTCTAGTTATTTAAACTCATGGCCACTGTTTTCTATGGCAAGGGTGATACATACAATTTGACTATCTTATCCTATTTCTGTTATGTTTTATAGACACATTCAATGTTGCTCAATTTGAATGAAAGAGTTAACAAGCTCGAGGGTTTAGTTGAAGAGGTCATAAGTGAAGATGAATTATCTGAAAATGAACATGATGCTAATCGTTATGATAAAAAAAGAAAAATTAGATGAATCATTTGCAGAAAAACATTTTGTGTTTATATGAAATATGATGTTTATATGATATTTAAATAATGATGTAACTACAGTTTAGCTTATAATATAAACCTATTGTTGTAAAAGTGTTAGATTTTACTTTCAAAAATAGTTTAGTAATATATCGTTAGTATGTTTGAAAAGGTTGTGAACAAATAATTTAAAATTTGCCTGAAAAAGATTAGGCAAAAGAGTCACAAAATAAGAACATCAGGATATTTTTCCTGTGCACTTTTCACCACTGATGCTGGTATTTTAATAACAAGTGATGTCTGTGTTGCCTTTATCCAACTACCACTTGCAATCTCTTTACTTGGTACTAGTTAAAGGAATTTTACAGATCATAGAATCTGCTTAACTTAGCACTGCGATATATTCAAATCAACTAACATTTGAATATATTACACACAAGCTTTTGATGGCCGGTACTTACAGTATAATCCAACTGCTTCAATTGATCCTAGAGATTGGTTGTCTGCATACAATTCACCACATCCTTTTAATATCATGAAAACAACATCATCTGAATTAACACAGCACAAAATATTGAGAACAAAACTGGGATAAGCAAATTCCAACAAAAACCTCTTGCACAATTAATACATACACAACTCATTTGTGGCCAATATTTCTTTGCCCACATCAATTTCCATCGCATTAATAGACAGGAATAAAGTATGGAAAAACCCAGCTTGAAAAGGAATTTGGAGACCTCTCTAATCAAAAGAGAAAATGTATTGTGTCAATGCATGCAGAAAATATGTGAAGTTTACATGTACAAAATCTTACTTGTTGCAATGCTTGCCATAGTTTCTAAAAAGCAAAGAAGGTTTAAAGGAATGAATCGATTAACCAAAAAACACAGAAAATGAGAAAAAAGTGGAAAATATTTGAGGTGTAGACCATACCATAGTTATGATCTCTAAATTGAGCTCCTCCGAGTACTTAGAGTAAACTGCCTTATCCTTTCGCATCATCACATTTTTCCATTCATGGGAGAGCAAATCATACTGTTCTCGTTCCTCTGCACACTAAATAGTAGACAATTTATAGCTACCAACTAATGAATTAACATCAGGTTTCATAATTTATATTTACCTGGATATCACTGTAAAAAAGATGATCCAAATGGTCTTTATTCAATATTAACACTAAGCAAGGACTTTCTGCCCTAAAGATAAACACAACATCACAATTGTGTATACAATTTTATACATTTGCAATCTCTTCTTGCAGTCTTGATCCTTAGAAACAGTTTAGTTTACCGAATGTGAAAGTTCCTTTTCAACTGGTTAAAGAATTGTTCTTCACCCATACAGAAGCTTGCTTTATTAGCAGACACTGTCGCAAGTTCTTTCTTATCTGATGTCAGCATTTTAGCAGTACCATGTATAAGGATGACTATTTCATGAGCATGATAACCTTGACACCATATGTAACTGCCAGCAGGAAACAGAAGGATAATTTCTATTGGTAAAGGTAATTGTCAGATATGGTACTCAGATATGCAAGTGAGTATATGACACAATTATTAAACAGTAATTAGGTGTAAAAACCTGGAAATGTCTGTTCAACAAGAAAATGTAGACAGTCAGAACTCCAATTGTGAAACATTGGTACCTACAATACAAATCAATAAAATATGTTTTATGTTGTGTTTTAACAAAGATTGAATACATGGTATATTGTAGATTCTAACCTCTTGAAGACTTTGATATGCAATTTCTTTTGACAAAGCATGTTCTTGAAAAATCTTTGCAGTATCCATGTATTTCCTGTTCAAAATGAAAGTTTAATAAGTGACAAACATCAAGTTTATATATAATCCACTGTACTAACCTTTTAATGAACCATTGAAATAAAGTGAGTTTGGGTTTCTCTGTAATCACATCCAGAATACTTTGTGACTTGATAAACAGTAACGCTGCTCTAAATAAAAACAAATTCATTGTTAGGTCTATAAGTATAAGACATAATTTGGTTGTTGTGTTCTATGAGAATGTGTTGGATAAATATAACTCACCCTTCTTGTGCTCTGACAGTGATAGGTGCAGGGATACCAAAAAATATTGAAAGTTCACCAAAAAAGTCACCCATCCTCATAAGTCGAATAGCAACCCCGCCATTGCTAACGGCTTCAACCTTCCCTGAGACAACGATGTATAATCCCGGTGAAACATTACGCTTTACAACGACGTGTTCTGTTGTTTCATAGTTTTTGAATTCAATTGCTTCGATTAGGCTTTGAATTTGACCGTCATTTACATCAACAGGTAATTTTTGGACAGCTCTTTTAAACAGTAGTATGCTGCTTTCTGCTAGCTTGCTTTCGTTACGTTTACTTTTCTTTTTAAACATTGTACATCGTGGAATGAAAATACATAAAAGTTTTCAAAATGAAGCCTAAGGAAAAAGCATTGTTCAAATTGTAACAGGAGAACTTGCGAGGGTTTACATGGAGAGCTGGCACAGAGAGTTGGAGTGGCGCGAGAGCTGGAAAGGTAAAAAGAAAGAAGACGTGGTAATGTTCCACAAATGATTGATACATTTGAGAGGGGGCTGAGATATTTGAGGATTACGAGTTAAATAACTAGGACTGGCAAGAATGAGAGATGACAAGGATGAAGAGTTGATATGAGGGCATAGCAAGGAACCATGTCTTACAAGTAAAGCTGGCAAAGATCTTCAAGAATTTGCCAACAAGGAGAGTTGACAGGGATGGAGAATTGATAAGGGGAAAAGAAGAGATCTGACCTGACCACGCCTACGAGAAGGGTGATATTCTGTCAAAAATCAGAACATGGACTACATAGAAACCTGTCCTACAGAAGGTACCAGAAACTTTATTAAAAACACGCGTTCATGTCGGCATCGATTGCACTCAAGTGATAGTCCTATTGGAGTGAAATTATATTCACATTATTCACCACAATCGAGAAACAATGGTTAACTATAGATTTATAGGACTTTGATAGTCGCATGACTAGTCACATTGCCATCTCAAGGAGAATGATATCCGGAATCCCTATCTGATCAATGATGATATTACTAGTTATATTATTCCATAAATAGACCCCACGCGTACTACAATCTCATAGATAAGTCTACAAACTTTGGGATCTCCTGACACTGGAATCATTGACGTCACAGCTGGGTAGATCGCGGGGAGAATGGGTTTGAACTGCAGGGTGGGGAGGCGAAGTAAGGCTTCTAACATATCAACCGTCATCATAGTCCATGTTCGTAATTGCAACAACTCATCGTATTTCTTCACGTGCAAATGTTGTTGATCACGTGAATAAAAAGCGTCGCTTCTTAAAATGTCCGGGCTATCTAGTTTTCGTCGGATGCTCGTGAAGGAATCGTCGCCGAAGTGGGAGCGAAGCTTAGACGGTGACGAATCTGGCGTTGATGTTAAATTCCTTTGCTGAACCTCGTTTTCGTAGCTGCTATAAAGTCTGTTGTACACACTGCTGAGTTGTGAGCAAGCCTCGTTGAGTCTGCGAACAATCCATTCAGCGTCTCTGTCTTCAGTCACATGATCATCAACCCCTTCAGCATGGGAACCTTCTCCGTCTGGGTTCGAACCCCGGTCGCCGAGAAGTATTCGTTTGACGGACGAGCCCGACATATGTTCCCCGTTGTAGCGACAAATCTCGAGCAATGTCTGAAGATAGAACTTGAAAGCCATCGTGGATTGTCGGAGGAGGTTCGCTGGCGCACAGAGCCGAACGATCATTTGAATCAAAGATCGTAAACCAAAGCGGTTGTTGAATTCATAAGCGACAGTGTGGGACTCCATCAAACAGTCAAAAATGATGGAAAGATTTGCGGGAGTGAGGTAAGTAAGTAAACCAGGCATCGAGCTGTCGTCTCCTGGGTTCACAACAGGATTTTGAGAGTTTCCGAAGGAACAATCACGTTTATCTAGGAGCACCAAACCCAGGGACTGCAGGAGAAGCTGATGAGCAAGAAGACCAACAACAAGCCCACGAAGAGGAATCCTGGGATAGAAAGACACAAATCTTTAAGAAATATATACAGGAAGGAGGATACTGGATTCTTTCAAACTTATTCAATTTAACAAAACAACTCCTCACATGCTGAATGTTGCCTGTGTTGAATAAAATATAGATGAATGTTGACTTTACAATACCTTGTAGTGTCCTCAGAACTTTCTTGATTATCAACCGACGAGATGACGAAGAAAAACGATCGGTGATCTTCGTCCTCCTTCGTTGGGAACTCGTCTTCTCGGTCAAATTCCTCTTCCAGTTGCGACTCCAGTAGAAAAACCTAAAAATTTAGAATAGAGCTGACTTAGAATGGATAGTCCAGTTATCTCATTTGCTAGAGTACAGAGGGAAGCTAAACTTGCATTTGGTTGAAGAAATTAATATTAAAACACTCTTTTATTATCATGAAAACTGCATAAAAATTTCAGCGTAAAGTCCGTGATATCACAGTACTAACACGATGGCTATTTCCCTAAACTATCTCTGACGTAATTCCACATACTTGTTCAGCCAACTGGCCATGTCTAATTGTCTGTTCCCACGATGCATCACGACGCGTCAGAACCCTCACACGACATCCATCATCGCCGCTGACACTGCTCGAGCCAACTTGGTAACAGGGTATCAGGTGTTTTACAGGAGCAAGTGTGGATCGCATTGCGCCACGAAGCCCCTCGCAAATAATCTTCCAAATTTCTTCCGTGAATAGCGATCCACCGGACATCAACAAATGTCTGGAAAAACAACAACAAATACCATCAAATATCTCATGCATACATCCAGTTATTATTAGGATATTGAGGTCAGTGCTGAGGGAAGGAACTTCGGTATAAACAAGGTATTATTATAATACCTGAAACATGAACAGCCAACTCTTGCAATCACCTCATCAGGCTGAGATACAGCTAACTTTAGTAAATCTAAAACTTGTTGCATCAAAGTCAACACGCACTCAGAGGCCCCTGAAAAGAATAGAGTCACGATTACAACTGACAGTACAAGACTTTTTGAGATTCTTCACGACCCTTACTAAAGATAAGGCATCTCACCTTGATCACTCAAAAACTGTCCCATTTCTCCAACAATCAACTCGGTTGTCAACCCGCATGCCTGTTTAAAGTTCCCTGCAGTTCTCTCCCAATATTCAGGCGTCTGAGTACCTTTCTCTAGCCAAGTGTGAAGCATTGGCAGCAGTAGATTCGTGAGAACGAGGATGGAGAATTGAGGGCCTGGAACGGAGGACACGGAGTGAAGGACGTCAAAGAGCGTATCGAGGGCATGAATCTGATGTTTGCGTGGGCACGTGATCACAGTCGTCGTCAATACGTCTAACATGAGGTACCATACACGAAAAATACCACTGTCATCCATAGCTGTGATACTGCGGGCGTAGTTCGGTGCGAGAACTGAAGCATTCTTTATGGTGTCCGCTATGGACATTATGGGACTTGATGGAGAGGTGAGGGGTGATGAGGAGTTATCGAGTTTTACCGCGTGTGATCCATGAAATATGACATTCGCTGGTTTCACATAAATCGATGCCAATTTCTTGGAAACTTTCGACAAAAGTTCTAAAGCAGGGACACACATGTCACCGTAGGGTCCTTCGCTGAAATTGCTCTCAGTCTCACTACCAGGAAGACTGCATTCATCACACGCATCATCGGGTGCCGTCTGCACGTGAAGACATTTCGACAAACACAGGATGCAGTTCACCGCTGCTTGAGAGAATACCAACGCCGTCTTGTTTTCTACGAACAATGTGGCAATATCTAAGATTTTAGGAACTGGTAACTCGTTCTCAGTGATGGCCGATCGTGATGGCACGTGAACAGCTCGTGCGGCGGAGCATATCGCCCTCCAGCCAGATTTGATGCTTCCAGTATTCGACTGCGCTAATTCACACAAGATTTGTAAAACCTGCAAAGAAAAGTTTCTTCTGTTAGTCGGTGAGAATGCAGGTGACAAAGGCCATTGCAGATCCTCCTACATTTTGCTTAGGCTTTCAGACATAGCATAGAAAGGTATTTGGCCCAATAGTAAGCAATGGAGTGATGGACTTGGTTGTGATAGAATGACTTTAAGACTTGCCTGATCTTGATCTCCATCACCAATCTTCCCAGACATGAGGATAATCTCGAAGGGTTTAAACAAGGTTTCGTGAAACCAGAAATGAGCTAGCTCGTTACGATTGTTCAGGAGCACAACCAAAGTATCTTTTATCAGATCCAAAGCAAAATTGAAAATTTTCTTGTTCTCACACATTATCTAACATAAAGAATGAAAATATATTCACACGGGATAATTACACAGCACAGTCAACAGAAATGAAACTAGACTGATCGTTTAGACCTGGGAATATCGCCAGTCTTTTCTAGTGGTTCAGTTTTAAGGAATATACGTAATAAATTTCTGCGACTTACTTTGACAAAATGCTTGGAAAATGTTGCCCATGATCTTGTAATATGAAGAAGAGGTCTTTTACCATCTCTGGTGCACCTCAATAAGATATCCACCATACGGCAGAAATGAAGATTTGACGACAGTGGACCGTTGCCCTGGGTTACCGCGTGATGATCATACGTCAGCATGCCCTTGGAGATATTTTCTAACTGGTCAGCGGATGCCTCGGCCAGTGATTCCAACATGGCTACCATTGCATCAGAACTGAGGGTGTTAGCTGCGTGTTCAAACAAACGATCAACAGAGGTGGACAGCGCGTATATAGCTCGGGAAGCATCGATCGGATTCAATACTCGGGTCGTATCCGGTGTACTGTCGTGATGTTGCCGGACAATGTCGGAGGCACTTCCATCCGACGAGAGATCAGCGGAAACCGACGATGATTCGGAGTCTGGCGAAGGAACTTCGACTACTTTCCTGGATGAATGAGATTCTGGGGTGTCCGAGAGGAACTGCATATTCTGTAAACCAGCGATATACGAACAACATCTAACATATTGATGAAGATTTTGTTAGAAGATAAGAGAACACTAAAATTTAAACCTCCGCTAAATATTTCGCTGGGTTACCTGAAGACATGCTTCCAGCATTTAGGAGCGTGGCTCCCTAGTTCCAAGCCAACAGCAAGGAGTGCATCCATTGTAAGCACGTGCGCCGCATGCAACTTCATCTTGTTCTTCACGTGTCCACCTTTCCATTTAGGTACAGTATGTGGAACCGTCTCACCACCACACGAGGCATTAGCTAGTTGTGATAGAACGGTTTCACAGCCTGTTTGGATTCCTGGTATGTAGAGAATAAAGAGATGTAATAGTGTAAAAATCAAATAAAACCACACTGGAATAGCTTCTTTTCACTTTAAGGAAGAGTGAAGGAAGAGTGAAAGAATGAACTAACCTAACTTTTACAGACTAGAAAACTCTATTGGATATTCTAGAAACTCTATTTGAGTCCATTTGTACCCGAAGGTTTATCTCACAACAGATTTGATGCTAGTATCGTTGGAAACATTTGAAAAGCAGACTCACCCAGCGTACAAAACAGCCGAGCAATTCTTCGTAATCCATCCAGACTGAGGCAGACCGTATCACGTTCTTTAGCGTGATGTTTTTTGCTTTCAGACGCCATCATTAAGGCCACACCAATACTTTCTTGAACTAAGAAAATGAATATCATTGAGCGAAGACGAAACAGAATGAAACACCATCGCAAATAACATATACACAATCATTCCCAAAATTTACGAAAATGGAAAATCAAAGTCGTGAATATCTTGCAGACGCCATCTCCCCAGTCCGTTTAATCAAAATGTTACCATTTCGAAATGTAGTTTTATGCGACAATTTATGCATTCAGACAGCGTTCATATAAAATTTCATTACCTGTGCCGACTAAGGGGGACTCAATGGGAACACGAAGGACATCGAGAAGAGAGTCCCAGGTGAGAAGCAGAATTCGTCGGACAAATTTCACGCCTTGCTTTTGTGTGGCGGTCATGGAGGACTGGTCTTGAACGTGGATGAATATCGCTTCGTCAATGGACGTATCCTCGCTGCTTCTCGGAGTCTTATTGATATCCGACAGCAAATCAACGAGAGCGCGATTTGAGCTGACATCATCCGCTTTGTAGCCAGCTTTCTCCAAGATATCATACGTTGTAACCAAGCGATAGAGTTCACCCAACCAAACTGAGGAAAGACCAACATCGACACCACAATTGTGAGTGTTCTTAATAAACTCCTCCTGTTTTGAGAAAAGAAATTAAACTGTTAAAAATTTCCCTCATTTGTTTAAGTAAAAATCACCGTGATGGGTGCCTTTGTAGCACAGTACGTAATGCATGAACTCTTTCTTTCTGTACGTTGATAATTTCATTCCCACAACATACTATTGTGTGGGTATAACCTCATCTGACAATCTGTCTGTCTGATAAACCTGTCACACCTGTTTGACATCCCGATATACCTGTGTGACACCCCGTCATACCTGTGTGACAAGTTCTTGTTCTTGTTTTTTGCCATAGTAACCAGCACGATGCAACTTCAGGTTCAGCTTGAGTGTGGAATACACGGCGGCGTAGACTCCGTCAGCGTTCAGGATTGGATAATGTAAGTATGACGTAGCACCTTTCCCCGAGGTATCATCGAGAAGATCCGACGAACCACGTAGTGTTCCGAAGTTTGGAACATTCTTACGTTTCAGTGCCATACACGTGACCGCCTCGCAAACATCTGATGCAAATTGCTGGAGTGCTTCATCGACTGCGGCTGGATCGTGCAGGCTCAAAACTGACGGTAAAATACCCAGAAGACAACGCGCGAAATTCCGTGCTCCTTCCTTTTCGTTTTCCTCGACCGATTTTCGTTTTTCGAAAACCTTGCCTGGGCCCGACACGACTTTTTCAGGAGAAACCTGGGCTTTAGGATCACGCAACCGACTAATGAGGATACCGTTTATCTTTACTACACCAAGTTTCTTATTTGTTAAGTCGTTCAAGTGAGAGTTCATAAGAATCCCTTTCGGTTTAACAGGCTTTTCATTGCTTTCCACATTTTCAGAACTTTCCGAGTCTTGTTTGGGTTTTCTCAGAATCGATCGGGATGCATTAGAACGTTTTTCGAGAAATTCATCATTGTGCTCGTCCGTAGGAGAGTTTCCAACATCTGAGTTTGAACGTTGTAATCGTTGCTTGTCATTTCTTAAAATTTTCGGTTGCATGTGATCGCCATTAATTCGTCGTCTATCACTAAAGCGAGATTCCAAAAACAGAATAAAGAGTCTATAAGCTTTTTCTGGTATTGTTAATAATGTTTTGAAGCGCTATCTTGATGTGTACATGGAGCTATTGCATGCACTCATCGGAATTGTGTGAACTTACTTGATCACAGGTTTTGACTTTGATTTCCCGTCGAGAGATGCCGATCTTCTTACGACGCCGGAACGAGCAGATGACGAGGCGATCCGTCGAGGCAAAACTCCTCGGCGAGGAATGCCATGACGTTGCGTGTTACCATAACGACCAAGTCTTTGATCTTCCCGATTCTCGATTGTGAATTCCTCCTCCAGGTCTGTAGCAAAATGCACACTTTTTGGATGGTTCAAAATGCTGCCTTCATCTGTGGCTAAAAGAAAAAGCGATGTTTCCACTAAGAATCTTTCCTAATTCCTTCTAGTTATCTACTGGCCATGTTTTAGTAAGGAATCTATTAGCAAACTAAGAGATGACAAAACTCACTGTCCTGCTCTCTTCCATCAGGTTTAGTCCTGCTGATATCCCACAATCTGTCCGTATTTGCAAACTTCTGAGTAACCGTCTCTAAGTCCATTTGATCCAAACTTAGTTGCATCTAAAGACAAGACAATATTACAGTAAAAATTTGTGTCTTTGAGATCAGATGGTAATTCCAAGATCTGTCGACAGATTGAATGCCGACAACTATCACCTGTTTCTGTGACCCTTCGTCCATTTCCCAGCGAATGTGTTTAGGTTTCCCATGATGCACTTCGATATTCTCATCTTCATCAAAAGCCTCGTTAGCCAAGGTGAATTTTGGGATAGTTTGAGGCGAATCCTCCGTTGTTTTGCTGCGGTTTTTCTTCTCCACGTCTTCCCATCCATCCACATCCTCGACGTTCTTCAACAGCTCGACTTGCTCCTGAGAAACTCCTTCTCCTTGACTGAGTTCTTCCAAAGAACCAAGCAACGATACCACACATGCCACACTGCCACCAACAACACCCAGGTCTGGACAATGCGAACACTCCACAATGCCATCCAGTAAACTAAAATGAAAAATACTCAATATGAAATGAAGTGGAAGATCTTGCCAGGAAAGGTTCAGTTAAGCACAATCTTGAGCCAGAAAACAAGGCTCCATCAATAGGGCTGTCGTGCAATCGAAATCGATAAAAATACACTTGCATGAACTTACACTTTAAGAAGATCGACTTCGGTTTTATTTTGCTCGGTTGGCGAGTCCGGAGTTGGTGGAGTACTGGGATCTAATACGACTGGACCGGCTATATCAACCACGTGACTTGGACTGGCAAAAATCTACGAATTATAACGATGAAGAATGTTCATCCAAAGTGTTCAATGTTAGAGCTGACATGACTAAGGAGACATAAAAGAAAACTCAGATCTTAAGGATATGGATGGAAACCTACATCATTGATCGCTTTCAAAGCTTCACCTCTCTGTTGTGGAGGGGGATAAAGTATGATTCGATGAAACAGGGACTCCAGGACAGGCCTCATGGCCCCTAACGGGCCAACCAACCGAATCAACTCTTTGGAAATATTGTAAATAATTCGAGCGACTGATTGAAGTGGTTTCGACTTGAGTGGGGAACCAGTGCCTCGACCACCACGACCCCCATCTTCTGGGTAGGCACCACCGTGGCTTTTGTTTTTCCCACCTACTTCGCTAACTGGACTGCCAAGAAGATGGATCAACGTTGGACACAAATATTGCCTGGAATAAATAAAATGCATATATTTGACACCATAGAATGGTGAATCCATCAGCTATTTGGTGTTTGGCATTTGCAATGGAATTGCATATTGCAAGAAGTCGAAGCCCAGACGACCCAACGCCATCCTGCGCTTGCATGAGGATCTATACCGGCTGATCCGGAAAGTACTTGAAATGCTGTGGATGTTAGAGCCATAAAAGCAGGTAATTCCTACCATAAAACATCAATGAAATCTTTCTGCTGACGGATGGAAACAGACAAACTGGATACTAAGACGTAGACAGCTTCAAGATACAATGACAACACATCACTTAGTTGGGTGCAACCACTGAAAGTGAAAGAATAAACACAATAAAAATATTGAAATATGAAAATAATGAAACACAATGAAAGTGACACAATGAAAACACTGACAGACTTCCGGACCTTGCACTAGATGATAAAAAAGAGTCTCTGGGTTAGGAATATTACCTTTGGCTTGGTGATAACCGGGAACAAAAGTGTTTCATCAGCATGAGGACATCTTGCGTCAAAATTTTGCTTGACTCATTCAAGATCAGATCTAAACCTGGATATCAAAAGATTATGGCCCAATGTACAATATGAAAGATCAGGAATTTTACTGTATCTTACTTACCTCGTATAGAATGTGGCAAATCTTTGGAATGGTGAGACAACTAGATGAAAGGTTGGACATACTTCAATCATTTCAGCACTTCATACAATACTTCAGTCATTTCAGCACTTCATGCAATACTTCAGTCATTTCAGCACTTCATACAATACTTCAGTCATTTCAGCACTTCATACAATACTTCAGTCATTTCAGCACTTCATACAATACTTCAGTCATTTCAGCAAGCATGATTACACATCGAGCTACAAACGGCTATACCAAACACAATCTAAATCCTCATACAAAAATACTAAGCTAAACATCAACCTACCATTTCTTTCTTTAAACTCTCCTCTAAATCATTACAAACAGAACTCATCATTTGTGTCAGGGTTGCACGACACGCTGTCTTGGTCCAAGACTGGCTGGAACGAGTGTATGTTTCAATACAAACCTACAGGATATAATACAATGAATCCAATGAAGAATATAATACAATGAATACAAACATCGAATCAAAGGATATCTCAAGACATGTTGATACTTACTTCAGCAATCTTGATAAGATATTCACCATGAACCTCGCAGGAAGCTGAGCATGTTATCATCAGTAACATCTGAAAAGTTGACCCGCATTAGGATATGTTCAATGTATAGGGTGTACTATAAAATCGCCTACACCAATGACAAATACAACAGTCAAAGATTGTCTATCCATCTTCACAAACCTTCATAATTTCCACTTGTATCTCATCCGACATCGAAGGAGTGGAAACAACAGCATTGACAAACTGTACTGGAAGTTGACGGTGGACGTCGCCTTCGACGATTGATTGGAATCGTTCATCAGATATCAGTTTCTATGAAAACACGATATTCAGGTTAGGAGTGATGATGTATGTAAGTCGGTCCATTTTTTCAAAGACTATCGTACTCCATCAACTTACATGAAATCCTCCCAACGCATGACTCGATAGTTTCGAGACACGGGATTCCAAAGCCAGCTTCAACGGTAACAGACATTTCTCTCTGCAAAAAGAGAAAGACAGCTATAAATGTTGAAAGAAATTAAGACGGTGTTAAGCTAGTATGTATATGAAGAGTGCTATTCATCACAAGTGTTAAGTAATTTTTCAATGATTTTTCCACATTAAATGATAAAATTAACAACTTGCGATGTAAAAATTTGCAGTAACTTGCATCTCGTTTTAATAATCGAGATGATAGAATTTGCAATGACTTGCATATAGTTTTACTTTGGCTTTGAAAAGAGTTTCCAACCGGTTTGATTTCAATCAATTGCTAAGTTTTTATGCTCTCTGCCCTCAGGTTTTGAATATTTTTCATGCGATGTAAAGTCACACTCCTGACAGTTTGGCTGAGTTGCAACCAGTTGAAACTAATTTGCATATGCTGGACACAAAGACAATATATTTGATCCAGACTATTTCGCGAAGACCAAGGCCTTCAAAAGATTAAAAAACTGAAAAAAAAACTCTTTCAGTGACACGTCAAAAATATATATAACTGTCTATAGTACTATAGGAATTGCTTGGCCCAACTGTTTTAGCAAGACTGTATTCAATACAAAATATAAATTAAAATTCGTATTGAATCAGTGATCCATTTAATGACATGCACGGCACACTTGATTAAACAAGTTAATTGCTACCTTAGCTCGTACGGTTCAACTCCTCTAGAACTTCGTTCACGAGATAAAGCCTCTATAAGTAGAAGACAAAATTAGCAAAACATTGAGATAAATAGTTTTGTAAATCTTGAAGTTAAATCTCTAAATTCTTACCTAGGCCTTCATCGCAAGCATCAGTTATTGCCTTCAATTTCCCGGCCGTAGCATCCATTGATAAATTCTCTAAAATTGCTTCCATTTTTGATTGAATAAACCAGCATAAATATAACATAAATTTCACGGCATATTTAGACTAACAACCAGGCGAAGTTAGATGTATATGACAGATTTAAGTCCAGTAATTTTGTTCATAGTTTTCTCAACGACGGACACAATATTGTAGTAGTAATGTTACCAGATCTACCTGCCGTAGAACAAAAGTCGTCACAAAAGATGAAAAGCCATGTGGTGGAAATGACAGGTACTTGAAAATGAAATAGCGCGCGCAAAGAAAAATGAGGTGACGACTACATGTTTTAGGATATGCATATCCTGGATTAACTAGATAATTTTAAAAGTTTTCTTCAGTCAGACCCTGGTGAAATTGCCATCAGTACTGACACAATGCTATTGAAGAAGAAATAAATATATTCAGAGAATTGACCCGTTTCATAGAGTACATACACCTGATTTTGTCATTCTGTCACAACTGACAGAATGAACTTTCATTCATTTTTACGTTAATAATGGAGAACTAGTGAAATACCCGAAACTTCTTCATCATAATATATCGAATACATTATATATTTTGCATTTCAAATTTCCAATATATTTTACTATACAATAAATTATAATTCTAGGTTAGCTATATATCCAGTAGGTGGCTGGAACATAGCAATTACAAGTTTTAGCATACTTATTCTCGCTGTGAAATTTTAATCCACAAATCTCGAAGCCCGATTAACGCGCTGTGATTTGCTAGTTGAGCGCTAATCCTGTGATAGTTCTAACCCACAGTTTTAGATTAGGAATGCCCCCAAAAAAACCCATCGAGGGGATGGACTATACTGACCCAGATAAAAAATCTGGAATGACATATTGCATTAATGGCCTTTAATATAAGATAAGGCAGGATTTTGGAACTGAACAAATGGCCCGGAGTCGCTTCGTCAGTGCCTAAAGAGGTCTGTTCACACGATCCAATTTTGTTGGATCTAATTCACTTCTGACGTATGAAATATAGTCGGTTATTGATGAAGCCGTAGTGCATTGGCTTCAGTGGATTTGCTGCTCATATACATTACATGACAACAGACTATAAAACATCCACCAGAAGTAACAACAAAATTGGATCGTGTGAACAGACCTTAACTAACATCACTCTTGATTGGCCTCTGTTGGTTCCAACCACCGGTCTAACTAGCATGACAATTCGGGGAGGTTACACTCCCATATTCCCCATCGCTATCATCACCATCCGTTCGCTCTCTTGTCACCGTGTATCCCAAATTCATCATCATCACTTCGAAAGGATCAGTCTTCATTCGTCTTTGATTATCTTTGGCGACCTGTGCGAATTCGTTATCTGGTACACGTCGCTCATCACCAGACTCATCTGAATGCTCGGCCTGAGGGCTCCACAAACGAACAACCGGGTCGATACCACTGGTTGCTAGAATACAGCCGCTAGGATGCGGTTGCAAGCAGTTAACTATTGATTCATCCCCTTTCAAAATCCTCAATAAGTTCGCAGTTGATTTCTCCCAAACAAAAAACGAGCCATCATCGCTACCAGCGACAATATACTCTCCATTTGCACCAAAAAAATTCGCCTCTTTTATATCAGTTGTGGTGTTGCAATGGCCACAAAATCTCGATTTGTAATCGTTGGATGTAGTTCTCAACTCCCGTTCAGAATCATTGATCCTCTTTAGCGATCCCAGTAGCGTGCCGGAGTAAGTCTCATGTCTTCTTGATCTGTCACGGTTCGAAGATTTTCCATTACCATCTAAAAAGAGACGAGTTGAAATTATTTTCGAATCGAACCGCCTTGAGTTTGTAGTTATGTTGGTAGAACCAAAGGTGAAGGTGTGGAGGGGTACAGCTAGGGGATCTAGGGATCAGTATAGCCTCCTCCCTAATATCCCATGGGGGATGTGATAAGAGATGTACGTACTCTACTTTAGGATTTACCACTCGGTGGAAAGTTGTTCTAGCAAAGTAATTATCGAGGGACTCAATTCTTCTTTAGTAATTACCTTCAGTTTGCGAAAACAATGCTGCTTTAATATCTCTTTCGAGACATTTTACTAGTTTCGAATTGCATTCGTCTGGAAAACGAGATATGAATCGTTTCAGGCATGCTTCGGCCTCCGGAAACCATTCGAGTTCAAACAAGCAGCGAGCCTGTCTGTAGGCCGCTTTTGAGCTGGCCAAATCCAGAGTTAGAGCGTGCTCGCAGTCACGAAGAGCTGAATACACATCACCATACCTGGGAATAAGAGAAACAGGCTTAGAGATGGATATCATCAAATTGACAGTTCCTATTATTTTTAACCCACTATAAAACTGGGAATGCACCCAAATATATTTATATCACACGTAATTATTGAACTCTGGTTTTACTCAAAGTACTTTTAAAATGCTTAAGTCGTCTTCTAGAGTGTCTAGAGTGTTCTAATTCAAAAGGCTTACCATCCTCGCTTCAGGAATGCCGCAGCTCTGTTAGCGTAGAGAACAGCAGAATCTGGCGACAGAATGAGAGCTTGGTTGTACAGATTTATCGCTCCCCAATAATTCTTATTTTCATATTCTGTATTTGCTCTGAACTTCAACTCCAATGCTTTTCCAGAGAGTTCTGTGGATTTTCCTGCAAGACCTCCAGTCTTTTCTGACGTTTTATTAGTCTGATCATTTGTCTTTGTAAAACCATTAGTGCCACTCAGTTTAGTCTTACTTAAGGTGGCATTACCACCCACCATTTCCTCTTCGGCACCAACACTTGATTTATGGTGAACGAAACCGTTCTTAGATATGCTACAAGAATTGTCGCTACTGAAAGAGTCTGGTGTGTAGGTGAGAGGCGGACGCTGTCTTCGGATATCAAACAAGTATAATTGCTCCCCGCCTAAGTTGACCAGAAGCTCCTGGCCATTTGGGCTGAATGTGAGATAAGTTGAAACAACAGACCTTCGTTTTCCACGGCGTGTTGTACAAGGGAGATGGCCTGGGGTGAAATACCTGGCACAGCCGTTTGGTAAGGTGGCTATGCTGCTTGGGCAAGTTTCAATGCAACAATGGCTCACCCCTGAGTCGGAGGTTAAGCAATGTTTTCTGAGCATGCGTCTATCGTACATTCGAACGTACGGATCACTGCAGCCTACGGCTAGCAGCTCAGATTGACAAGGATTTACTTCGATACATTTTATCTCACAAGAGCCAACGTGAAGAGTGAGGTCAATGAGGATATTTTTGCAGTTCTCATTTGCATGGCAAATGTGAGATTCACGTAAGTCAAATTGCCTGAAAGATAGGAAGAAAATGAAGTATTTACACAACTCTATTCACAATTCTTTTGAGAAGATTTTGAAGTGAATTCAAGGACAAAATAACTGTCATGCAATATACAATGTGTTACCTACAGGGTATAAAATGAAAATAATGGAAAATTTCTGTCAGAATAGGAATGACTGAATGCATAACCAACCTTATTGTGCCATCTTCCGAAGCACTCCAAATCAAATGCGGAGCATCAGGACTTGACGCAAGACGCTTGACTCGCATTGTATGACATTTAAATGTTTGGATTGTATCATGCTGTGGTACAGAATGAACACAGACATGGAAATCACCAGCACCTGTGACCAGAACCTCATCACCAGTATTGGGCATGAACTGTGCATTAGGACAACAACAGGTTAAAAATTGAGTAAAATGTTTGAGAGTTACAATTAAATACTATTGAGTAACTCATATACCTACCTTTACAGAGAAAATGTTTGCACTATGTCCTGTGCTTATTTTATGCCTTATTTTGCGCTTGAACGGATCCCATAATATTACATGAAGATCATCAGAGCCCGAAGCTAGGACACTGTAAATAAAAATATAAGTATTAACTAACTTATATTCCTTCTATTCACAAATACATTTCAATCACAAGGCCCATTTACCAAAGGCGATTTTTGCTGCGATTTTCTTCTTTCAATAGATGTGAACGAATTATTAGTTACGAATGCTCTGATGTGCACAAGTTCCTATTTGAACATCCGTTAACTAATCCACTCGTTCACATCTATCAAGAGCAGAAAATCACACATAGAATCACAGTAAAAATCACAAGTGTAAACAACAGGCTCTATCTAAGTTACCTGCCACTAGTGTTCCATTGCAAGCAGTTAACACATCCTTCATGGCCCTAAAAACGCATCACAATGAATAGAGAAGAAATGAATGAAAGAAATAAATGAACAAGTGAAAGATCTTGATGTCATCATGTTGCCTCGACCACACTGACCTCCGAGTCATTATATCTTAGATAAAAGAGCACCTGGAAAGTTTCCTGAATTGTTTCAACACCATTAAATAATATATTACCTTGAGGGCATTGGACCCTCCCAGTTTAAATTGTTTCTCACTTTTCACCATGAGCTCTCATATAGCATGGAAGTGAGGCTCATTGGTGACAACCATAAGCCTCACTTTCATGCTAATCTTATTCCCCACATGTATAGAATATAACTTAATTGTGGAAACATTGAATGGATGCTTTTCTCATGCAAACTTTGAACTTTGAGGTTGTTCTGTCCATATAACTTCTAAAAATACCTGGGAGGTTTTGTTTAGGGTAGTGAATAGTAGAAACAGTCTTTGTAACTATCTTTAATGGCATATGCTTGCTCTATGGTCATATTTTGCATTCATCAATGTAATGTTGCAAGTGCTCAGCATTTCTCTATAGATTCCATTCTCTGTCCAAAGGTACTCTGAACAAGTCACCCTCGACGGTATTGACATTATTAATTGACTTTTTATTAGAAGAAGCAATCATATAATATATATTTATTGACAATACCCGAAGTTCTGTCTCCAAACCAAGTCGCTGTACGAGTTGCCCATAAACCTGTAATTTTCTCTGGATTGTTCTGTTAATCCTTTCCTGTTTGTAAAAGGTAAAAAGACATAAGGCACTTGCCGATAGAAAACATGCGAATAAGACATAATTCCCAAAGATTTGAAGCCTAAAACATATCATAAATTGTAAACTTATTGAACATACGCAATATATCTATTTGAAAGCAGCTAGCAATTCTATACGTACACTTTGTTCCCTTCCTTTTAAAAGGTTTGGCACATTCTTCGATAACATAGCAAAGACAAACACAGATGAAGAATATCGGAAGTCAATGTGTCATAAATACTGGGCCATCAGTGTTGTCGGTATAGAGAATAAAGGTCAGTTAAGTCTTCACATTTCTCGTAAATACGGCGCTGTAAACTCGATTAAATGGATCTGTTTCGACCTCCAAGGCACCGAATTAATGTCCAGTAGTATACAAGCCGCAAGACCGCTCAGAAATGAAATAAGAAAGTAAATATAACGTATTGTTTGAACCAAAATTGTGAAAACACAACAATGTTGACATATTTTAGAGTGAAGGTTACGTCATGTGTTGAGGGCTTGGTAACCGCGCGGTTCTTCTCTTTTTCCTTTCACTTCCTTCCCTTTCATAAATTTCATTCTTTTTTTCTTTCTTTTATTCAATCCCATTGCAATCGGTATCAAATTTTAACAATGCGCTATTTTCGTACACGGACTATACATATCGAAGTTAAACGGGTATAATTCAATTATAATTAAGAGCTGAAGTTGACAACGTCAGTAGAAATAAAGCAATATGGAAAAGGTCTTGTCTGTCGGCCTTCGGTGTATTTTGGGACTGATTCATATCGAGATGTCGGAAACGAGGGAATTTGAAATTATATTTGATTAAGTTATTCAATTAAGACTTCCCGAACGGAGCCATAATAAATCACCTTCAAAAATTTGGAAACTGCAAAAACTCACACAATTCCAAAAGAAACTAGTATTGAATGTTATCAAGACAAAAGTGTTTTCTCTCAAAGTCGGTGTCAAAACGAGGTAAAAACAGCAGTTACTAACGATGTCGAAACAGCAGTTACAAATTTGTTTATCACATAAGACACCCAGCTTTTCCGTCATAACAGTGTAAAGAACAAAGGTGTTTTAGAGTTAAATGAAAAAGAGACGTGAATGGATTGCCTGGGAACGGAAACAGTCCTGATAAAGCAGAGATGGCTGAGATTTTCAGACGAGATACCAGTTGCTTTTTGTATGATTTGGAGACAAAGTGGTGGCGTATCACTGCTGCTTTGGTAGTGCGATCTTACGAAAAACACTTAAGTCTGCATAGAAAAACCAATTACAGAAGTCTTTAGTAATCCGAGATGTTTTCTGACTAAATCGAAGCAACCAAAATATTGATTTTTAGGTATTGAGGAATTGATAGGATTGGCAAAAGCTGGGATATCACAAAAACACTTATCTCATGCAGTTTCTTTACTTTATTATTTGCGAAGCGTCACCTACTCATATATCAGTGTCACCTAACCATGACCCAAAACTGGCTCTAGCATAAAGTTAAATTTGGAAAGATGTAAGCTTGGTTAACGAAAAGAATGCTCTAGAATGTATTTACGCAGGGAGTAATTAACCTAATAGGTTTAGCCAACCGCAATCATGGACGACAGAGCCAAAATGTATAGAAACACAACAGTGAAACAGTATTAAGCACTCAGCGTGCCTTCCATTCTATTTTTTCTTCTAAGAAAAATTGAAATCCGCATTCCATTATAATCACACCTCCCTAAATATAACCAAGTTTTTTGAACTGTGGGATTCAAATGGTTAAAGGAAAGCCACGCAGCATTTTGGTATTTTATCTTTTTCTTAAATAAACTTTCCATGAAATTGGAAGAAACTAATCTACAGTCAATAAAGATAGAAAACTTGCATGTGTCATATGAAGGAAATCAATTGTCGTGAATATAGGAATATTTTTTTAAAAATAATTTCTTGCTAGAGGGTAAATAGAGCAAATTAAAAACATATATATCTTTTGACCAATTTTTCAAGCTTCACAGCAGTAAACCATACAATTATCAGACCTAGTGTAATTAGAATGAACATTGTTGCTGTGTAATTCACTTTCTGTTGCTTTTAATAAACTGATCATCATAACTATTTTCGGAATAAAACTTGCCGCATAAATTCCCAATATTTGCTAATAGCTATGACGATAAAAAGATGTACTAATTTTAATTTTAATATAACCACGATTTCCTGTTTTTCAACATTATCAAACAGGCCGACGTATGCATGGTTAACTAGTTATTAAATTACCATCTTATTGAATTATATCGAGGCTTGTTTGGGAAGGGCGTTTCTGCTATGCACCAAAAAAGCTAAAGCACTGTAAGTCCATGTTTAGACGCGGTAGATACGTTTGTTTATAAGATATCTGGCATAAGCCGAACTGAATTAATGTTAATTTGTAGCACATGCATGCAGTGTAGGCCGCAAGCCTGACGATTCAGTCCTGCCATGCTGATATTTTGGTTTTCATTAACATTGTGAAAACAATCAAATATGGAACGAATAGATACTTATTATAACAAAATTTGCTTAGCCGGACTAAAACGACTGGTTGAGATGCAATTCTGAGCTGATTAGAACGAGGTTAATAAGCTATGAATCAGTGTTCTCAACAATCTCTGTTTGGTCTTACGATGAACAATGGTTCCAAACATGGTCATAATGTAGCTACTGTAAAAATAATTCAATATGGAAAACCACTTTAACAAAATTCCTCAAGATAGACTCGAATCTCTGTTTCAAACAACTCCTCTTTAGCATGATTTATGAACGCGGATATACCTCACGGATTACATGTGAATGCCAAAAGATATTTATAAAATGGTATTGCATAAGATCTGATATTGACTTCAGCATTTATCAAAACTACTCAACCATCTGACTGTACACTAAAGCTAGTTTCACTTAAGTTAAGTATATCTTGAATATTTTCAAGTACATCATAAGTATTGCTAGACAAATTTTGAACAAATCAATTAATAAAGAATAGACGAAATACATTAGTCTTCTAGATAGGAGGTATCCTGAGGGAATTTTTTTCTGCCTACCAATTACCACAATCTCTGTGAAATCGAGATTTTACGCGTTGAGTTTAATTAAATTCTAGTTAAAAAGAGCGAGGCATGCAAATGATGTTGAAGAAGGAGAGCTTCGGGACAGATGACATTATGATCCTATTTTTAGGCTTTTGTCGATCAACATTACGATATGCAGCTGTCGCTGTTTTGTCTGGCCTTACTGGAAAAAATTACGAAGTGCTAAAGCTTTGTTTGGGAAAGAAATCTTGGCAAAACTCTCGCGTAGCCTGTTTCATACGAAGGAATGCTTAAGCCATTTTAAAAACATCTATCAGGAATGCGAAGGTAACCGTTTTGGTCTTATCCAATTCAGATACATCATTATGGTAAAAAAACGAGCACTTCCGTAAATAATGACACTCTATATAATATTGAGAAACATCGACAATGAAGAGAGTGGCAGAGAGATATTTTCCTCCAAGAATTTTCGATTATAATTACACCTGTCTCACCTGCAAGGCTGCACGTCTTACAACTCAGCTCCTCTTTAAAATCTCGCATTCTTAACCAGCACGTCGTCTTTTTTCGAGCACTTACGCAATAAGAGCTGCCACTTGAGAATTTTTTTCATGAATTGAATATGCGTGCTCTTTTTTCGGTAAAAAAGGCGCGCTTAAAGTTAAGTGCCCCCCAACCGACGTTGATTCTCAGGCCCAAGATAACAGATGATTCAGATGAATGGTTTGGGATCCTATTTTTTAGACAAGCAAAAAAACTAATTTTAAATAACACGAGCTATCTAACACGAAAGGCTAATTTTGCTAAACATGCATGTCTTCGCTTTGAAATTGCCCATATGAGAGCACTGACGTATGGGCTATATTAATTATGTGAAAATAAAATATAAAATATTTTATCATCATTTTATTTATCAGGAGTATAATAAAACTATAAAATGCGTGTTTACTTGTGTTGCTTTGACCGTGTCGTGATTATCAGCCAAGATCTGGCAAGAGGCAGAGATTCTGGAACTATAGTAACAGTATAGATCTTTATTTTCCTGTGTTTAATCGTTTCCAGTTTTTTTTTACTCATTACGAAGTCGTTTGAAAGTTCATCAAAGTGTTCGGTAATGACAGTCGCTACTTGATGACAAATATCGTAACAGAATGAAATATTTTTCGAAAGATATCCAGGAGTTTCCACATGAATTTTCACATGGTATTACGTTCAATTCATTTCTGTGTCTGAGTTTTCATGTTATCTCATAAAAAATAGGACAGGACATTCGTTAAAAAGAGTTCGTGTTAATAACTGACATGCGCGATGGAATTAAGCCAGGTGCGGCTCCAGCTAGCGCAGAGTGCAGTAATCGATAAAAACAGGTTTATGTAACGTTGTGCATGAAATCCCCTTTAAATGACCTCATAGAAAGGCACAATTCCTTCGATGACCCCAACTCATCAGATAGTGGAAAGTGTATGTTATTTCCATAGGAACCATTCGCGATTATGTGCAAAATAAAAGTATCTCGCGTGATGTCCGCGACTTCAAAATTAATCCAGGATGATTGCTTAGTTAACGATATACACAAGAAACTCGTGTGGTTTATGGATGACGTTTCAAGCGGCCAAACGATTCCCTGAATCATGTCCATACCTTACGTTAAGTTGATATAGAACTTACGACCATCACTCGAGACCAGGTTCTGCGAAGATTGTTAACCAACTTGGTAGCATAAAACTTGGCTGTCTCGTCTAGAAAAATAAATATCTGTATTAAGAAGGTATAAAGAAAGCACCACGGTTTAATGATGTCTACAAATCATATACTAAGCCCTGGTAAATCATATAAATAAATCATGAATCCTGGTAAATCATATAGTAAACGATGAAAGATTTGCTATACGCACACTCTCCTCGATGGAAAAAAACTTGGACAAGTGTATAATTATCGCCGCCCCCCTTCTCACGTGTTAATCACACATTATCACCAAGATACAAAATTCTCGAATTTTCCCTGACTAAACATTCCCACAAAATCTAGGAATAGCATTTCAGGAAACTTAGATTAAGAACAGCATACCCCTTCTCTAGAACACTCCAGCTAACAGCATCTACTTATATCGTGCTTTCGACACGCTTCGACATGCTTTGGGACAGGGGGTGGGGTTGATTCAAGCCAAAAAAACTATATTATACACCCCCGGCTATTAAGACGGATTCTTACGGGCGAAAGATCTTGCAAAGGAAACTACGGCATACCAGGCCCTATTAGTTCTCAGGACTAATATTATGAAGGTATGGTTTATGTCTATGATTTCCTCTCTTATGTTGTAAGGACAATGGCAATCAATGATCAATATTTCTTCACCTTTGTCTGCTCTATCCGGATTACGTTTAAATCACAGACTGCAATCAAACACGATAAAGGATTTTAACCGATTGCTAATCTCATTTACGTGCGCGCACTGCTCAACTGCGCGTGAACTGAAGTTTTGCGAAGAATCCCCAGCTTACGCATACCCACACACGAAGGGCAAAAGAAAAGATTTCGATTCATATATGCATGCATACGAGACAAGCGTGCCTCACGTTTGAACCTCATGGTCCGGTGTGGTAATAAGACATAATGGTACCACGTCATGCTTCACTTTTAGAAATATGTAACGGCTCTTTTATTTGCGGTTTCTTCTCAAACATGGTGGTCTAAATCCACACTAAATTGCGCATGTTTTCTTTCTCGTTATTAATAGCAAAGTTTTCTCTGATTAAAGGAAGCTTAGATTTACTTTGACGACATTTGCCATGCATTAATGCAAACTTCCTAACATTCTTTCCTTGGCACATATCATCACCGCCTCTGAAGGGCAAAACTTTCCTGAGTTTTAACGTCTGTTCACACGATCCAATTTTGTCTGATCCAATTCACTTCTGACGTATGGAATGTAGTCGCTGACAAAGCAGTACTTCGCTGGCTTTGCTTGATATGTTACTCATAATGTACCTTGCAAGTCAACAGACGATAAAACATCAATTGAAAGTCGATTGCACCTGACAAAATTGGAGCGTGTGAACAGACCTTAACCTGCAGTTATTAATACGCTGAATATTGAACCAAATCTCACGTGAATAAAGGGTGAGTCAGGAATCATTCTCACAGGTTGCGTTGAAACGCCGGAGTGTTGCTGAGTTACGAATGAACCTATTGACAAATTGCAATCAACTCCTAGGTAACTGCACCCAAATTTCGAGGTTAGAAGTTCAAGTCCCATAGAACTGAACATTATCGTTTGATATAAAAAAAAGGAAAGAGATTAAGAATATTGAAATCTTTGCATAAACATTTACAGAGTATCTTTATTGTGCATGCAATGTTGTTTAAATATACACACATCCAGCATTAATCTAAAGGCGATCTTTCGATAACAATCGAGCACTCAGTCAGATATATCTGTTTCCCTAATCTACGCAGCTATGTTCTATAAACAGCAAAAACCTCACTGAAATGCACCCCATTTAAAGACGCTCACGTCAGAATGCATGATTTCGAACGACCTGTCGATCAAAGGTAGACGGGAATCAAAGTTCCGTCGATGAAGTCGAGAAGAAGAATCACAAGAGTCGTTTCCTTCTCCCAAACCCCTGCCTGATCATGCCCCTATTGCAACGCGGAGGAGGTTAGGGTCATACAGAGAGTTCAATCCTAGCGTTTTACAAGAGAGTTTTCGAGTTAGGATTGCCAACTTTTTTTTTGTTGAATACTATCTTATCTTGCGACGCTCGTCAAAGACATCGTTCCTAAACTAAACGCAAGATGCCAAGAAGCCCTTTTTAGCCTTACAGTGTGAATTTCCCATCGTATAGTGTTTTGTCGTTCAGAAACGCGCGCCTAACCTCGCTCGAGTCCATCGTCTATGTCTCATTATGATGCATTTCTACCCAATCAAAAAATGCGGAATGTACGCTAGATGCAGCCTAGCTGGATAATTAATGATCAGTAAGTGGGTGAACCCACGCACCAGCAGATGTATGGGAATGCACGCAACCAAGCAGCTCCACTTAGTATAGTTTATTACTCTACCAATTCCATCAACACATTTCCACTTCTTCCACTAGTCGGGTACTGTCAGTTAATTGGTCAACAAAGCTATCCCCCAGTGTCTCGTGTTGACCATCATTATTGCATCGGTTTTGGGAAAGCTCTGATGGCAGATGTTTTTTTCCAACTGATAGAGTGCTGCAGTGGTCTCACAAAAGTGTACTATCTGCATGCCTGATGGTCTAGCTAGCTCTAAATGTTGCGCATCCATTTTCCTAGATATTATCATTGCATGGCATTAAGAAAGATTGCAAGGAAACATTAAATAAAAGATTGCAAAGCGATAAGCATTGTAGACTAGTCAGCCTTGTGATAACAAACAACTTTAAGTACTCAGTCTAGCAGTAATGAAATGTATGGGCAAACCCGAACATTGACGAAAGTTAAAAGTTAATTAAACACTGCATGAGTAAAACATTGGTAAGAGTAACTATTATAGATATACGGAATTGAAACGCTGCAGTGTTCATGAGCAAAACATATAAATATCAGTAAGCAAACAACTGAAGATATCTTCACGGGCTGAATCTCATATGATACTGTGTGAGAGGGCCCGAGACAGACTATAGACAAAACAAACTGCAATGCTCCACAACAAAACTTGCGTGCCGGAATTTTCAGAAGACCTCAAAGGTCTCAAAAAAAGGTGAAACTGATGCTGCTCAAATGAAACACCTGACACAACAATTTTCTTTTTTAAACTATACTTTTATTTTGCGTTTGCGTTTTATAGATATAATTGCGTTCAAATAATTACAGTATGTTGTCTAAATATTATCAACTAATGCGTTTTCTTACAATATGTACACTAATAATAGATTGGATTGTTCTTAAATAAGATTTTCTCCTTCATTCATTAACGTCCCCGCTTTTGTGGTCTGATGGCAATCATTAAGACGAAATGTTTTTCTGACAAGTAGAGGAGTCCCCCTGTTCAAACAATTTTGATGTCGTCAATTTCTACTCTATATCAGCCTCTGCACACGGAGACGAAACCCAAACTCGTTTCTTCTTAAAGGTTGAGCAGTACTCGCTTCACAAACTTCCTCAGCTTTCGAATTTTTCTATCTTGTCTGTCCATGCCTTGGCCTGCTGGGGCATTGCTCTGAAACGGAAATATGCATATTAAGTATAAAATTCCAATTCTAATTCTAAACTGCTGAACATTGCCACTATATATGTATACTACAAGCTTTACAAGTTGTCTCAATGCTAAACCATCACGTTTTGCCTGCCTCACGGTTGTAAAGTTGTAAGAAATAGCACGCATTTTCGCTGCTTGAACATCACAGCTTATAAAGGGCTTTCAACAAGTACAAGTAATTTCAACTATGTGTTGTATACGCTCTGATCTTCGCTCATGCGACTTTTCATGGTTTATTTTTTTTCAGTCAATTTAGACATAGCCACGGGATTATCGTGTGCGTTCAAAACACGCTCTGAATTGCTTCTCGGGCTAAAGAGGTCAGACATTGGGGATAAGCACAAAATAAGCTGCAATACTCTGTCCACGGCAACCTCAAAACCATTCAACGGTTAGTTTTGAGAATCGTTGTGCTGGTATTATGTTCGGCGTTCTGTCCGAAACTTTCCGGTACGAAATCATTTAGCTTGTTGAGCAGCGCTAAACTCCACGATATCCCAGGCAGTTTAATGGTCTACAACGTTTACGACATCATTACGACGATAAAAGCATGCAGGGTTTCCGGCATACGATAAAAACTCGCGAATTAAGAAAAAAGCTAAGCTCCTCAGCAGAATGCAAATCTCAGGATGCAAAAGCAAGCGATAGATAGATGACTTCCAAAATGAATAAACTCTCTTACCTTTTTTTTTTGGTTCTTTTTAGTACACTTCCATCTGAAGGTGCATCTCTGTGCCTTCGTCGTGGCTGTGGTACCTCGTTTAGCTCTTTTTAGCCCCTTCATTTGTGGCGCACTTTCCACAGGCTGTTCACATACGAAAAGAATCGTCGCCAGCACTAGTGCCCAGGCTATCAGAACACTCGGTTTCATTGTGTATGTCACTTGCTTTGCTTGTAGTTAAACTTTTTCAATGTTCTCCTGCTCGCTGTTCGAACTGTTTTGAACAAGACGCTGAACTCGCGTCACTTTTATAACCCTTAAACTCCGCACCAGGTCGTCAAATGACAAAGATGTCTTGTTTTTTTACCTACCATACAAGGAGTTGATGGCGGCTTCGCTAATACTTTCTTAAAATAGCCTTGCACGCTTTTTATAAATATATGTTGTCCATGATCGGGTCCTTTCGATCCATTTCAAAATAAACAGAACCTGTCGGACAGTCTCGCATGCGGGCGTTTATTTTAAACTACTTTTGACTGATAATATCTATACGGAATAAGGCAGAAGACTACACAAGGAATAAGCGTTGAATTTTTGAACACAGGTCTGGTGGAACTTTTGAAAAAACCCAGGAACACAGTTAAATGAGGAATGGTGATAATCTTAAGGGAATGTTAAATGGTTATGACTGCCAACTATAAGCATTTTTTATCTGTATGAGATCGTCACTTAAAATATTGGGAAAAAACGAAAGCGTGTAGCTAGTCATGACTTAGGATGTGCTAGGGCTAAAAACAGAATTTGTGGAACTGTCCCAAATAAGACAATCACTTTTCATGTCATTTTTTGTA